GGCGCTTGGTCTTCCCTGCAACAACCTGACCAGTCCATCGCCATCGAGATCGCTCTCACCATCCTTTTTAGGCTACCATCACATTCGACACGCCCATGGACAGCTATGACGCCGTGCATGGCATTCTGACATGCCCGTCTGTGCAATCTGGAGCAGCTGGGAATGCTGTGTCCCGTCAGTGCACCGCTGCTTTCGCGACTGGGCTGGTCCCGACGTCATGGATCTGACGGGTCTAGACTCGAGCCTCAGACCCGCATCCAGTCAACACATGACCATCTATTTGTACTCATCCCAACCAAAACTTCAAGAAGCTCAAGATCTTGGGTATTGTGAACTTGCTTTTCGTAGGCTTAATGCCTGCTTTTAGACAGACAATAATAGATGTTTGTATCCCGCCATCCGCAGATCTGTACTGGCCGCTTCTTCCTTTCGCTGCTACCTCCTGCCAGTTCACAGTACTCCTACCCTAACAACACCAAGCCTTCCCTACTCTTCACCACCTGCCAGTCACCTGGTTGTCAAACGCGACAGACGCGACAACCGTACAGGACAAGGTCCCGGTTGATTCTCGGTACCTCTCAACCATGGGTGAGCTTGTCGTTGCGTTATTCCCACGTGCGCGCACCGTTCCGCGTCCGGGCCCGGGCCCGGGCCGACCTCATGTTCTCGAGTCATCATCACGTGACAGGCTGGCACTCCCTCCAGGTACCGGACGCATTCATACGCACGCATCACCGTTGCTACCCAAGTCAGCTGCCCTGCAATCCTAGATTAGTTGCACATGTAGCACATCTCTTCTTGTCATTGGATTCGTCGCACTCCATCGACATCCAAAGGCCTCGCCGTTATCGCCTGCCACCACCCGCTTTCGCAACGACGCGTTTTCAGACATGCGCGGCGGTGCAACATGGCTAAGACTATCGTACTCTCCAGTGACATCATGCAGCATGCGACACTTGTTGTTTGCAGATATCGTGGCACAATAGCGGCACGAGTCGTGTCGGCTGCAACTGCCTCATAATTTAGCCACCGTGGCGGGGCATCCTTAATGGCGCATGCGTCGCCAATGCCAGCCACACTACGCCGTACACCACGCCCATCGATAACGATCCCTTGCTTCCGTACTGGAGCAGAAATTTCACACTCAACTGAAGTCGATTACTGCGATCAGATCCAGAAAAGAAGGAATTGAGGGACTGCCATCAATCAAAATTTCTGCTCGACTTGTCATCGCATGAGGTCAATGAACACGTCTCCACGACCCGACACTGAACGCGTAGGGAAGCGGCCCTCATATATCCACGCCAAGCTTCACTAATCGCACTCTTGCAAACCATGGAGCTCCGGCCAGCCGCCAGACGTATCAGGCTGGTTCATCACCCCACTTTTCCTGCCCGCCTGTTAGTAGAGTGGTCAGCTTCGACATGCCCCTCCACTCGAAGCCGTGCTGCTTCCCCTCATGCCATCTCCATCTGGCCAAGCATGTACAGCATGAGTGATTTGCTCAAAGACAACTGGGGCAGTGCGCTCCGGGGGTGCTGAGATGCCCCACTGGCAACGGACTGTGCACAGATCGATTTGCTTTAAAGTCCTGTCGCGCCCCGCGCATACTATCAGCTCCAAACTTGCTTCTCTCTGTATTTCCTACTACCCCGCATACTGTGCTCTTAGAGATTCTCACCAGACAAATACACAATTGCCAGGTAACAAACCGCCATGGATTTCCTCAAGAAAAAGATGAAGGAGCTCATGGATGACGACGACAAGAAGCCAGCCGGTGAGTAAACCCACAACAAATAAAGAGACTAATTGCTTATCTGGAAAGATTCTCAAGCTGCTCCTGGCGGTGCTGGCCCTGGTGATCGTGCACTCTCTGATAGCTACTATGGAGGTGGACAAGGCGGCCCTCCCCAAGACCAAGGCTATCCCCCCCAGGGTCATGGCTATTCGACTCAGGGTCCTCCTCAAGGTCAAGGATATCCACCCCAAGGATATCCGCCTCAAGGTCAAGGTTACCCACCTCAGGGCTATCCACAACAGCAGCCTTATGGCGGCGCTCCCACACCCACAGGTCCACCAGCGCCTTATGGAGCGCCTCCTCCAATGCCACCGGGCTGGACTCAGCAGTGGGATCAGAACAGCCAGCGATGGTTCTACATTGAGCAAGCTACTGGTCGCACTCAATGGGACCCTCCTTCGCATATGCCCCCTGGCCCATATGCTCCGCCCGCAGCAGGCGCACCCTACATGCCACCGGGCGGTCATGATGAGCGCGGCCTGTTCGGCAACACCCACGGCCACCAAGGACACGACTACACCCAGTCTGGCGCTGCCACGAACGAGGCCGAGAAGAAGAAGGGTCATTCTAATGCCATGCTCGCTGCCGCTGGTGTCGGAGGTATCGCAGCCGGGGCCTTCATTGGCCATCAACTCGGTATGTCGCTTTTGTGTATGTGACATGCAGCATCGACATTAACGTATCTCAGCCGACGACAGCGACGACGAGAAGCAGCAGTCATATGCGCCTCCAGCGGCGGCTCCCGCAGCTGCTGCAGGTGGCTACGGTGCTGACCCTGGTTATGGGGCTGATCCCGCCTATGGAGCTCCTCCTCCATCAGACCCTTATGAGAACCACCCGGCTTTTGAAGAGCCTCCCCCAGTTCCCACCCATGACGCGGACGGTGACTCCATCTCAAGTAGTGACCGTGAGTCCATGGAGGAGAAGCGCGAGGAGCTCATCGAGGCGCAGGAGGAGTATCAGGAGGAACTTGAAGAGAACTATGACGACTAAACGCAGGACTTTCGGTTGTCGATCGATCGGTGCGTGTCAAGGGGCGAGCTCATAAGCGTAAGCATGGATATGTCCTAGGACTTGTGAACCATGAGTATTGTTAGCGAGGCGCAGAGAAGGAAGGAAGAGGTGCAAGATCAGCCAACTTGTGATTCTCTCACTCGGATCCAAGGAAAACAGTTTCAGATTTGTACAAACTAAGGCAATACCACTTAACTCCATCGTCACTACAGTGACGAACCAAGGCCATTATTCCATACTTCTTCACTGTTGTGTCCCCAGCGAAACCCATGGATATTCGCACCCTCACAATGAGAGAATGTAGTGAGCGTCTAGTCGTCCCCTTCCCTTCAAACCGTCGTTACTGTGTCGCAAGCTAGAGTGAGCGTGGCTAGCAGCAGTCGCAGCAGTCCAGGCAATCTAAGCAGCATTCGCATGTCTCACCGCAGAGCCAGCAGCAGCACAAGGTCGCGAGACTAGTCATTGCATTAGCTCAGTTCCACTAATTCGAATTCTCTACACCCAGGCAGTGTTGCGGTAGGAAAGGAAACACTTACCAAGCAGTCAAGCATCCCCTCTCCTTCTTGGGCTCCTCTTGTGGCGGTGGTGGTCCTTGTTGGTAATACATCTAGTTCACGAATAGTGTCAGCCACACCCAGATCTGTCTCAAAGTTGCATTTGACAATTTGATGATAGATTAGACTTACCTGTTGCTGAGGCGGCGGGTATTGACCATAGCCCGGCTGCGGAGGGCCATAGTAGCCAGGTTGTTGAGGTGGTGGGTAGCTCATATTTGCTATCAAGTGTTGTAGACTTGACGTTGGAATAGAGATGCGGGCTCGTGGCTGGTGAAGCGTCTAGCTCGTGGTGTGGCAAGTGAAGAGAGGCTGGTGGTGAGGGTGCGCTGTGGCAGAGGAGTGTGGCAGTCGATATGTGTGGCACAGCAAAGCGGAACTTTAGGGGGACCAACCCGTGTCTTTAAGATTACACGTCTTAACGCGCTGGCTATTGCGTTCGGAAAACGGCAACACCGGATCTGCGAGGTAAAGGGCGCAAGAGGCTATGCACGACCCAACATGCTCATTGCAATTCACCGCGTCGATGCCGTTATACGTTCCATACTTTTAGACAGCTGCGGGTGAGCTTTGCTCGGCGCCACAAGTGTGGCAGTCATGGCACATAGCTGTGGTATTTGCTCGGATTACTGAGGCAAGAGTGGGACCAGGCAAGCCACTGCTGTGATGATAGACGCACGAACCTTGTCATACGCGTATGCAAAGTCTTGGTACGGAAGGCGCATGACTTTACGGCGTTTCATTCTGCGTATGTGACTGAGAAATGCGGTTTACATTGTGTTACTGCGTGGTGCGGTGTTGCTAGCATATCTGTTGAAAATCTGATATTCAGTACGCAAACGTCTTGTACACAGGGCCTCGATATCCCCAGCCACTGGTGCGGGAAAAGCGCGAGCTGAAATGACCTTTCTGTAAATCGCACATGTGAGGTGGTCTTGGGCGCATATGCGAGCTTGCCGTGCGTTCCGTACGCTAGTGACCAGCATAGCTTAGCTGTGGCGCCACTTTTTCAAGAGGCAATATTAGACGGACCACTCAAGTGGCTCAGTAATCCTTGGCATGAGAGCGACGAAGCTGGTGCTTTGTAGAGATCTTGCCGACGAGATTTCCTGCCATAACTCAACTTGCGAACTCGACACGAAGACGAAAGTACCATCAAGAGATCCGAAAGCTACTGCGGTGGTGATGCCGTGGACGTTGAGCGACGCGGATGCGTCTGGCACCAAGGCAATAAGCCGTCGGCGACCAAGTGGAGAGTCTGCGGTCCGAAAAACGATGTTTGACACTCTGGCTGAGAGCCGGCTTGGCAGTAAAAGGACTCTGGAAGGGTCGGCCCAACAGCACGGTGAGTTCTTGTGGCGCATGTGAGGCGCAGTCTCCATACAAGCAATAGGATGCCAGGATTGTCAGTACCAAACAAACGGGTTGGTCCGTATGACAGCTCGTCATATCGTAGTGTCAGACTACGCGTGGATCGGCAGAAGAAGAAACAGAACAGTCTGTAGAAGTCGTAATGTGGAACTTGGAAATGGGCCTCATGCGTGATCTTTGGCTCGTTTGACAGGAGATACGTTTCGCCGTCGACTCTTACAAGGAGAGGCAGCGATGGTGTCATGAATTGACAGTGCTTGGGGTTACGGCGCCTCATCACGAGCTTCCAGTGCTTCCGCTGACCGAGGTACAAAACCCCGTTCATCCCTCCGCTTCTGTACCCACTCGCCGAAAGGTTTCCAGATAGCCTCTTTTTCGGCCGGCTTGAGACTTGCCGCTAGACCGCTTGTGCTCGTAGTAACAAACACCCTGGACCCGTTCCATACGTTCCCGTCAGCATCCCGCTCTTCCTGGCCATCCTCGCTTTTACCCATGTTGTGCTCTTCATCCTGCCACCCATACTTGAAGTCTTTCTTGCCCATGTTCTTGCCATAGCGATACCGCCAGATGGCTTCCCAGATACCCTTGCCTACTATGCACACAGCCTCTGGCTTGTATTTGAGGAATTTGGCGTCGAGTTTCGCGGTACCTGCCGCAGTCTCCTCTTTCGAGAGTTCGGCAGCGTCTTTGGAGGGTCTCTCGACAATGTTGGTGTTGCCCATGCAATACAGATCCGGGAGACTCCGATCTTCCTCAGGCTTCAGTCGACGATCGGTAAGTCCTGAGGAGTGGAGCAGCTTCCAGAAAAGATTCGAGGGGTGTGCATACGCATGCCCTGCAGCGGCCGTCTGAACACCCGGATTCGTGCCAACGAAGACACAGATCAAGTTAGGCTCTAGTATGTCGACCAGCGGGGATAGATGCGCGTATTTGGACGGGTCAGCATATTTGCTGGGCTTCCTCTTCTTCTTCGGTCGTGGGGAGGATTCTGGTGCACTTTTCACAGCCGCCATCACAGTAGTCCTAGTGCGCTTTCGAGATATTATTGGCGATCTGGATATTGGTGTGGTAAGCTGCTCCGTCTGCGTATCTGTGTATTGGAACTTCTTCAGTCGGTCTTGAAAGGATGCGGATGGTGATGTCGCCAGCCTCTCATCGAGTTTTCCGACATCATCGTCGCTCGGAACTGGTGGAGATGCTTCACCTTGCTCACTCAGCTGCTGATCTGAGCGTGTCCGGGCCATAAGCGTTGCGTTGTGTCTGAAACTTGAGAACGAACATAGCCGACGCGTCATTTCGACATTCAGACGCGTTGACGTCATCTGGCCCACTTTTATCTAGCGCGAAGTGTTTACCTGCGCACTGGAAACAGCACGATCGCAAGGCAGCCTTCACAACACCGTTCTGTATTTTCAAAAACACTCGTCACGCTGCTATTTACTATCTGAAAATTTGTGTATACCCACTCGTCCTTCTCTCCATATCCTTCATGGGCTTTGGCTGTATCTGGGTCCACCTCTTTGACAACCGTGAGTGTAGAGACAGCCACAGAGTATACATCTTCGTGTGAGAGCTAGCTGAAGATGATGGTGCCGTAGTGCTTTGGCGACATCGTCTCATCATGCACATCTCGACTGTAAGCCCTGGCCCAAAGCTGGTCGCAACAATGTTCTCTCTGCCTTCCCCCATTCGGCGAAGTTTGTCTAACACGATGAGTACGGTTGGGCTGGATGAATTCCCATAGTTATGGTACACGTCGAGTGAGGCTCTGATGTGCTCGTCTGTGAGTTGCAGAGCTTGCTTGGCCCCCTGTAGAATAGTTGCACCGCCAGGATGGATAGCCCAATCGAAGTTCGAAGCAGTACTGCGAGCCACCGATGCAGCGGGGTGGGTAGTATTGGAGGTGACATGGAGTCGTTCGAACATAGGTAGGATGGCTTTGATGACTGTTCCTGGGACGTCTTTGCTGATAGTAGCTATCATGCCTGCTAATATATTAGCACCGACTCAAAGCAGCAGAAACGCAACATTGGACGTTGCAGGAACATACCATGCTTCTCGATATCGTACGAGATGTAGCTCGAAGTACCCGGCACGACTACACTGTCCCATTCTTTCAGCTCGAACACTGGCTTTTGCTTGTCTTCCAGCGCAAGGCCGTTGCATACTGTTAGCGCTGCTGCACCATCTGAGAATAGCGCTGGAGCTACGTGCAGCTTGTCGTCTTTACAGGCAGCTTGAATCTCTGCCTGGATAGAAAGACTGCATAGTTCACACGCCATCACCAAGACTCGGGCCGGGCGGCCTCTTTGTGATGCCGCAGCGGCGATGCTAGCGGCTGCACGAAGCGCGGATAGACCACCTGCACACCCCACGCCATGGAGTAGCACTCGTTGTACACTCGGAAGAAGTCCGAGCTCCTGGCATACAAAGAGATCATAGCCGGGGTTACTCTGATCAGTGCAAGTCACTGCTACCGTGTGCGTTATGTCGCTGGGCTCAAGGCAAGCTTCTCGCATAGCCTCTTTGCACGCAGAGGTAGCGAGCCTTACACCTTCCGTTCGGAATATGCGGGAGATGGAGTCGACATCCGATGGTGCAGCGTTTTCTTTGGTCCATCCTGCATAGCTGAGGGTAGTTGGGCGGGAGATGATCTTAGTTTTGTTGTTGAATTGGATGAGCTTCTGAATACTAGTGAGACCATTAGCATTGGACCAATAGTTTTAATGAAAGACACTGGATGACTGACGCTGGTGAACTTATTTCGTCGGGGTACAAGCGCTGCAAGAAGTCTTCAAATTGCTCCTGTCTTACTGAATGGGGCGGGTACTCATGGCCCAGGCCAATGATGTATATAGCATTGGTTTTGCTACTGCGTAACATGCCGTTCACTGAAGACATTTGCCCCTTGGATCAAAACCGACTGCGACGTGGAAGACGTAAGCTTATCACTCCCTACGTCCTTACATCCGTCCCATCACCTTACCGCAGATGCGGTCTTCGTATCTACACCCATTCTCGATGTATATTCCAGGCTCCGCCACTCTTGACTCACCCGTAACCCGGAGTTCTCAACACATCCATACGGAGACTTGATATACTACGGCCTTGCTTCTCCCCCTTGTAATCCACGACTCGAATGAGCCTTCTCCGTCCAGTGAACACTATTTCTGCCTCTAGCGAGGTATTGATAGCCTACCGCAGGCCAGTAAGAGATGAGATGGGCGTGCTCTCGCTACATTTGCTGCAGTCTCAGCACACCCGCGAAGACTTGGTATGCCACCAACAAGTTCCACTCGCCAACGAACTGCGGCCTGTTCGAAAGACCTCGAGCGTTGTGGCCACACGAAACCAGCATTTACGCCGTCGATAGTGCGCCGCTGACGGGGCGAAAATGGTAGAGCCTTAGTATTCGTGTGCCTAAACCTTGTGATCTCGCGAAGCAAAGCCTCATTAGGCATCCAGACAAGACTTTTCGATACGTAAATGTAAATGTGCTGGAAGATATTGCTGGTCCTTCTTTGCTCGATTATCACGCTGTGATCCTGCCGCTGCGTTCGGGACATTTTCTTTGTTGAAATATTCCCCCTTGACAACGCAGCCATGATCAAATATGGAAATGGGAATTAGAAATTACACAGAATTCCTTGGGCCTTCATATGCGGGCTCAGACATCATTGAGGAACTCCGGCGGTGTATCTTCTGAGCTTCTCATACGTGAACGAACGCGGGAGAAAGAGATGCACTAGGCGCTGGCGCTTGCCACAGTCGCTAGCGAACCTTTGAGTCGACGATATGCGTATCTCACTGGCCTACATGGCCCCCAGACATCGTGTTCGGCCGTGTTGGCGCCCCGATCATCTACCAATGGGTTTTTGTGATAACGAAGACCGTCGAAGATGGACTACCGGTCAAGTCCGCATCATACTAGCCTGGAATCTCTCGATCCAAGCGAGCGCCACAAGATTGCCTGACCGGGGCGTGCAAAGTGAAAGCCTATCAAGCTACTCAACGCCTTGCAGACTATTTTTCATTTTACCACTGGAAGAGGCGAGTACGTAAAACGGGATATGGAGAACAACGAGATTCTAGATCTGACGATTAGCTCTAGGTCAGGGCCAAGAGATAGAGTAATGACAGAAATGGGTTGACTACACATGCAGCTAACGCGTGCCGTGTTCGAAGAACCGTCATTCCTTGGGGCGATAGTAAGCGTAGTCAGCGTGTACCATCTGGTGGGCGTGAGACTTTACGAGCCTCTCAACTTTCAACAACATCGCCAAGGAGTCGTGCCACTACCGTCACACGCGGTAGGGTACGGAGTACACTATTTTGAGCGTTCTCTAGTACTCTTCTGGGGCGGAGATGATCTCCTTGGACTTTCAGAGGAGTGTAGCGGTGGTCAGGAAGTAAGATGGGGCCACGGCACTGCAGGATAATTTGAGTTGCCGAAGGATTCGTGTTGTAGGCTAAGAGGACGTTCCCGAGTAAGCGTGGGTGTGGTAGATACGATACCCGGTTCAATACCGAGATAAAGGTGTGGAAGGATCTCGGTAAGAGCGTGGAACGGTCCCTATCTGGAGTGACAGATCTCCATGGTGTTTATTGCTAGTGTTGTGATGGATGTTGGTGGAGAAAAGTCGTGACGTGCAGTGCGAGGAGACCTGCTCCTGACCAATCGATGGCAGAGAGGACGAGAAATAGATTTGGAGGGGGTGTCCATCTTCGCGATCGATTGGCGGCTTACGGTGTGAGCAGATTGCGATTCAGGGCGTATGTAAGCGCTGTCTTACCTAGAGGTGGCACGGTAGACGCATGTCAGATGCCATCGAACTTCGCCGACGGCTGCTCTTCTAGGAAATGGGGTCCTTCATCAAACTTACATACGTGCCATCATCGTGCTTCGCTGTCATTGTTGAGCATGCTCTGCCGCATGCGGGGGTGCTGCCAATCCGCGGTCCGAACCGTAGTGGATGTACTAAAGTCGTTGGACGGTTCGCGTCTGTTGTACAGAACTCTTCCCCGGGAAAGATGCTCGGTTCCAAATCATCGACGGGTGGAACGTACGATGACTTCCGTTATCCATGGGTACCTGCCCAGGTGGGTAGTGGGGCGTAAACACGTGACCCTGAGAACCATTGTACCAATGAACAATTCAGCTCGGCGAAAGCGGCGAAGAGGGGCCAACAAAGTGTGCGCGTAATCCATAGGAGAGGACTAGCTTGTATGTCGGATGCTGACCATGTGCGACTAATATTGGATGGTCTTGTACAAAGCAGGAGCCCTTGCGAAGCTGTCCAGGTGTCGCAGAAACCTACACACGGCGAATTAGGTATTTAAGGCGGTCAGTTAGGCCTCAACTCGGGTCATCTCATCTCGGCGACTGCGGCGTTGCTTTCGGGCTTATGCTACCAGACGTCCAGTGATTGCTGCTGTTTTCGCTTCCTACAGGATCCGTGCCATGCGCAATGCTTTCCTAATCCGGATTACTTCGTGTGGCGGCCGGACTAGTGTAAGATGTACCGCGAAAGCACTCGCGAAAAGCATCGTTGCAAGTTAGCCCTCACGTGGTTGCCTGTGTGCATTTGCGAAGTGGGTTCGAGTTTTGGATGAGACACCGCTGTTTAGGAGTATATATGCTAAGAATCGCATGCCATCATAACATACTTTCCGATAGCGTTGTCGATCACGAAGAGAAACATGATGGATATACGCAGATATGACGACGTTTCATACGGATTTGAGATTATGCGACAGCATAATTTTGGATGGAATAGCAAGCTCCTTGTGGAGCAACCTAAGAAGCAGTGAGCGAAGCATGCGACAACGACTTGACCAGGACTGATTTGCAAGAAACGACAGCCAAAAACCTCGTACACCTCGAGTCGAAGATGTAGCTTCAGACATCTATACACGTCTACCACGTGAGCTCCGCAATCGCGTGTATGCATTCTGCGTTCAGGGATCCTATGACAACGAAGTCATCGTTCGGCGCACAGCAATTGGAAACGGCCGACGCTTCGCGCACCTCATCCGACAGGCGTGTGGCCAGCATTCCTACCAGTGGATCGAAGACCCTACCGCAGCTTACATGAGCGCAGGAAGTCTGGGCAGTGAGGTTGCTAGAGAATTGCTCGAATGCTACTATTGGACGCGTACATTCAAGTTTGCCCATCACGAGCTTTTTCTGCTCAAAGCATTTCTTGAAACGGATGGGTTCGGGCTTGGAATGATCCCAGCACATTACGCAAGACGTTTGCACATACAGGTTCGGCCTCTTGACTTCGCGTTCCTGTTGCCGGAGAAGCGGCTGTTTGAAGAGCGGCGGTATTGCAACATTATCGAGGGCCTCGCTATCATCAAGACCGCTCGTACTGAGGTCGTAATCGAAGTCGACCTAGCGCAAGGGTCTCTGGGGGATGCTGATTACGAGCGCTTCTCGAACGAAGCTGCGCAGTTCATGCTCAAGATAGGAAGTGTGGTAGAGACGCTCAGACGGACGGGACTGCGCATAAACCTAGCGATCATGTAACCTCAGAAGTCCGGAGGATATCCACACGGTTTTAATTATAGGGAGCATAAACTTAGCATTAGCGTAGGAGTCAATTGATAAATTAGAGTGGTCGTGCCTTTACGTAGTACAGCTGCCTTTCGCTTGCTCTTCTAATATGATCGGTATAGTCTCGACATGTCCTAGAGATTCTGGTGGCGTGGCCAGGCGTAATTAGGCCGCCGTCGTGTTTCGTCCTCCGTATCATGCGATTCGTAGCTAGGCAATTGCTTCTGTTAGCCTGCACAAAAGCCGAGAAAACAACCTCTAAGAGAGACTTCGAAACAGAATAGCCGTGATTAGACACTGTTGTGGGCTTCATGAGACGATGAAATGAGACGAAAAGACGGTGTTGGCGAAAGTTTCGTTGACGTGTGCCGAAGCATAAGCACGCTAGCCAGCAACGGGGGCTGAAGGATCGCGACTGCTTCCGATCTCCACCAGCGCAACTTGGCTTAAGCCACGATGCAACACTGTGCCGACCATCCAATCCCAACGTCTCAATCCCAGAGCTTGAATTGATCATTTCCATCTCGCAGAAGGGCCTGCGCGACAAACGCACTGTTCACGCGATGTACGTAACTGTCAGCTTCTATCGCAACTCTTCTATTGCTTTATCAACACAGGAAGCATCGACAACCTCCTAACGTCTATAGACCATATATGTTGGTTTTATCGAAGAACACAAGTACTGCTTCGCTACCTCTCACCTTTACTACAGCATCTGTCCCGACCGCTTCGACTACCACGTTACTTATGGGCTCACCCTGAGGAAATGACTGTCCAGCCCAAGATGTCAACGAGCTGTTCCCAGTGTTGACAAACGGTGCTGTCAATCTCTTCACACCCAAACATCCGCCATCGGAACCCACTGCGCCCGATAGATCAACACGTACCGAGAAGTCCTCGGTCGAGTTGGCGTAGAATGGCTTCATGTTGATAAGTGCTAGTTTCGATAGGTGATCGTCGACGTAAAACGCATATGCAGAGAATGATTCTGAATCAACACCAGGAGGTGGCTCGAGAGCGCGTACCCGTGTTTCAGGCACAGCAAATGCCTCGGCCATGAAAAGCTGCGCGAGGAAAGATGGTAGCGTTCGTGCTGGACCTCTCAACTCGCTGTCGCGGGGGTACAGCATCGAATAAGTGCTGAACCCCGGACTACCGTTTGCACCGGGCGTGTTGAGCTGTTCGTTCGACTGAAGAGCAAGTGTAGCCCCCTGGTGTAGATGCGTAGAACTGGCGTTCCTTGTGGCGTAGATGAGCTCGCTATCAATGACCCAGAGTGCTTGCGCGAATGTATCGGTAACGTTTGGAGCTCCAGAGCAAGAGACGGAGTTGAACTCGCCGATGTTCCAACTTTTTCCGGCGTCAAGAGCAGCGCGGGCAGACGGATATATTTCTTCGTCACAGTAGCGTGCGAGCTCGGTATGATTGAGGATGTTTTCGATAGTGGCCAAGGCGGCGCGTTTTGGATCGCAGGTTGAGAAGGCGTATGAATGTATCGAATATATGCCGACCTGATCTTCTGAGTCGATACCTGCTGGAATGAGTGCAGCAGGTCGAACTTCGAGGCCTGAGTCATCGGTCGTGGCAGAGGATGCCCACCAGCGCTCTTGAGGCAGATCCGAACTGTTCAAAGCATCCAGCGCGGTATCTATGCTAGCTGTGTACTGCTTCCATTGCTGCACGTAGGCTGCAGTCGAGTCATTCCACCGACTCTCGTCATAGTTGGTCGGCTCGTTACCAAGCTCGAGGTATGCGACCTTATCTGATTGATAGGTGAGCGATGCGACTGCGAGGCCTGTAGAAATTTTCAAACTCTCATTGCCAAAATTGAGAGTTGAGATGAATCTGGTGCCATTGGGGAAATTACTCCAGCTTTTGTAGTAGTCGGGTCCAACTGTAGTTCGCCATACGCCGCCTTCCGGGCTAGTGGTACGCACCACGTCGCCACCGTCTGCGTCGAAAACCATACTGTCCATGGTGATGCCGCCAGGTCGTATCACAGGACTTCCGCCATGCTCATGGATTCTGTTCAAGGCACTGAAGGTAAGGTTGTTCGGAGTGCTAGCGTTGCCAAAGAACTCAACCCAGAAGGCAGGTTCGAAAGAAAACGAGGCAAAGGAGTTGCTATGTGGTATCGAAGCTCCTCCTGCAGTCTTTGGTACGCTTAGGTATTCGGCTCCGGAGTGGTCTGTCGTTGGGTATGCGTAGACAGCGGAGGCTGCAAGGGAGATGGCGGCGACTTTGAGTGAGGCCATTATGGAAGTCCTGAGATTGTTGGGGGCTTATGGAGGTAGCCTTACCAGATTCCTATGGATATCTGAGCTTCATATGCCATCAGAAGCTATGACACAATGCGTGTCGACATCATCGTGCCTCTCCTTCTAGGCTAAAGCGGACGAGATTATTCCGACGGCCGCGAGATGTTCCATTGAGCTGCCGGAAAGGTTGCTGAAATGGTCCTAGAAAATGTGGGGAGGTTTGCGGGGAATTGGCGGATCGTCGGGCTCGCTCCATAGCGGGGGCAAAAGTCGAATTTAGGAACAAAGGGTTAAAACCATGGCACTAATCACCCGCTCATTGACCTGCGATATATCCTAATAGAGACAGAATTTGCCCCAGCGCATAGCGATCTTCTATCCTACCTTCTTAATCTGCCATTATCTAACCATGTTATCAGACTATCAACTGGAGATTCTGAGTAGAGTCCCCAGGCAGCAGGGGATGGTAAACAGAATCTAGAAACGTGGTTCTTGCTGCGTCCATAAGACAAAATAAGAAATGCCGCGGATTGATAGCAAGTATCGATCGGCTTGATTTATTTCTATTTTGTACCCACGGCTCCGTGTGGTGCACCTGCCCTTCGTCGCATCATGACCTCGCCCATTGCATTTCTCACCTCTTTCTCCTGATGTACCACATTCTGCACCATGTACTTCTTGAGTGCTTCCCTCAGCTCACCCTTTGCCCTCTCGTTGTCCCTATATGGTACACTTTCCAGCTCCAGCAGTCTGTTCGCATCCTTATTGCTCTCAGCGACAAGCGCGCTGAGACGATCAAGCTGCTTGTGGCGAGTGTCTTCGGTATCGTCGTTGGCTTTCGCGGCATGTTGGGGGTCGCTTCGGTAAAGTGGCATAAGTAGACCGAGAAACTGCGTGAGGGAGATCGCAGCTTTCTTCAATATGGTGATGACTTGAAAGGGTAGGTATGCGGGACGGAGGTTGGTTCGTGCGACGAAGGGGTTCAGGTATTTCGAGAGGAAAGTAGGATAGTCTGGGCGAAGAGCGGTACGGATCTCGAAAGTCGCAACAGCGAGAAGTCCCAGGTAGCGCCAGTACGACCCGTCTGTTAGGAAGCCGAGGGCATTTGCGCCGACTAGAACGATGAGGAGTACGCCGTAGGTCGTAGCGGTAGTAAGCAGTGCGCTGTCTGTGTAGTCCTTGATGGTCAAACAACTCTGGCATTGCGCAAAGATGCTCGGTCCGAAGCGGTCATATGCGAATCGCTTCACAGGATCGATTATGATGTCTTTGGCTCGCTTCAAATGAACATAGAAGTCATTCGCCCTGTCCCTATCCACGTTCGGCCCAATCTTATCTGGGTGATATCGAATGGTCAGCCTCCTGAATCGCGTATTTAGTGCGCTCTCGTCGACATCTAGCGGTACGCCGAGGTCGTTGTATGCATTGCTAGAGCGCTGCAGGTTGAAGTCGACTTCGTATATGGTGAAGGCGAAGTAGGCGGCGTAGATGGCTATGAGGATGTTGCGGCGATGCTTGATAAAGCGCGGAGTACCGGGCTGCGGTTTCGGGTCGCCTGCGCGAATGAAGATGCTATAGAGAATGGATTGGGCCCATCCTGCTGCCTGTGACGCGTTAAATCTTGCTGTGCCAAAGATGTAAAGGCTAGCTTACGATGGGTATGAGGAACTGCCACACTAGGAAAGGACCCAGGGTGTCAAATGACACGTTCGATATCGCCATGGTGCTCGGTCACTGGTGTGGAAACATGAAGACGTAAGGTCGCTGCATCGAAGAGTGAATCGGAAGCCAAGTGTCATCGCGGAGCGAGTTCGGAACGTTCCGAGCACTGCCGAGGCACGTGCGTTCGCCGCAGCACCTTGAAGCCCTGACAGAACTACATGGTTGCGTGAGATATGTTGTTACACATACACAATAATTGTTCTAGTAGGGTACATTAAACGTCGTGGGAATGTTGAGCCGCTGAATAGTCTGTGTTGACTGATTCAAAAGGCCTTATAACATTCACGCACCATAAGATTGCTCCCATGTGATAACGAAACATCCTTGCATTAAAGAAAGATGAGGCTGCGCCTTTGGCTGAGACTGAGGTCTGATCGTGGTTTGGGCAAGTCATGTTGGTCAAGGTTTGGTGTGAGGGATAACTGTGATACTTGGGGAACTTTCCAAGGTTGAGTCCAGCGACCTCGCTCACGTACACGCACGCATAATAATCTTAGAAACTCATTCAAACCAGCGACAGATACCATCTACACTCTATGGATACTCAAAAGGATGGACAGTACCGGCGATATTGACAAGGCGTTCACTGATGGCTTAAACGAAGCAGCCGATCTCTAGAACACCGACCGCCTGGACGAATGTATCGAAAAAACCCGCGCCCTTCTAGCTAATGACACTACACCACGATATCACCGTATGAAAGCGCTCATCTTGTTGGCTTCAACATTGGGCAACTGGGAAGACGCGAACGACTGTCACGTAGAGGCGGAGACCATGTGGCGTGTGGTTAGGCGCTGGCATCCAGAGGGTGAGGACGCTGAGCTCGATAGGTTCATGAAAGATCTGCGTGAATCGCTAGACGAAGTGGGTACCGAGTTGCAGCGAACTGGGCCTGGAGTCCCTCGAAATGACCGACGATGAGATGGAAGATTGACCACCTGCTGGTATTCCCGCAATCGAGATTACTGCGCCTGGCGGTGTCCCCACTATCAAGATGACTGCGCCTGCCAAAGGTGCGGGTAAGACTACAGATGGTGCTGAGGCTTCTTAAGACCAAGCAGAAGAGTTATGCCCCGACCTTGATCGATTCCTACTTCCCTACTCCCCTGCTTAATATATCCTAGTCTCGAAGTCCGAAGCTGTGAATCGATGCTGTTCTTGCCAACGTTCAATCTCAGGCGCAGCGAGTATCGTCGTCGAGCTCACCTGCACTAAGTTCGGCGCCGTCAGCCTAGAGGCCAACTAGCACCTTTAAGCTTTCTTTCTAAATCTTGAGCACATTCGAGTTACTCTTCATTAGGGTGTGCATGTTCAAGGGCGTGAAAGATATGTTGTGATGAGAAAAGTCATAGATTTCTATGGTTGACGACATATGTCGATCAATGGTATAAAGCGATGCTATGCAATTAGAAACAAAACGAAACTCACGCATTCCTTAGACATGCGACCTAGCAAATTCCTCCATGCATCTCGAGCCTAGATGGGTGACGTTTGTGCGTCGGGTATAGTTCCTCCAGGCATTATGCATAACAAGTAACGACTCAACGATACCGTAGCGCACACAGCGCGCTCATTCGCAATCATGTACGACCAGCGCTCGTATCTTCGTCTTGCAACATTCCAGATCTTACATCTGTCCTCCGGCCTGAGGCATCAGCTCCTCGTCTTGCTGACGCTTCTCCTTGAGCGATCCAGCAGCCGAGCGGTTCTCGACGTCGCTGTCAGAGAGGTCGTACTGGCGGACGGCTTCGGCGATCTGAGCCTCGTCCATCTTGGGGAGCTGCTTGGCAGCCTGCACGTAGCTCATCTTCTCGGTGTAACCCTTGGCGAAGATGAGGTCAATTTCCTCGAGGGAACGACCAGCAGTCTCCGGGTAGAAGAAGTAGATGACGGGAATGAAGGATGCGTTCAGAGCAGCGAAGAGGAGGTAGGTTCCCCAGCCGATGTTGGTGATCAGGACGGGTGTAATCATGACAATGAAGAAGTTCCATAGCCAGTTATTGATAGTTCTTAGGAATATTAGCGTTGTCTTTCATATAATGGGTGCAGTAATAACTTACGAAAAGGCGTTGGCCTTCTGGCGGGTCTTGAGGGGGTTGATCTCGGCAGGGTACAACCAGGGAAGCGGCAGCCATGTAACACCGAAGAACGCGATGTACAAGAATAGACCGACAGCGGCACCCTTGGCAGGTCCCTCGTTGTTCTCGTTCTCTACGCCACCGGGGAGCAGGCAGGCAAAAGTGATGATCATGGCAGTCATCTGGCCGACGGTACCGATCAAGTATAACTTTCTGCGGCCAACACGCTCAACGAAGTAGAAAGAGGTAGCGGCGAACATGGCGTAAACAACCATGTTGACACCTCCAAGAAGTAGGGCCAGGTTGTGGTCGGTGTTCAGGGCACTCTGGCACAGAATAGGGAAGTAGTAGATGACAGCGTTGCAACCGGACAATTGTTGCATGAATTGCGACGAAGCACCGAGGATAGCACGACGGAAATGCTGGGACTTGCCGCCGGTCAGAAGAGCCTTGGTAGGGACCTTGCCGCCACCACCAGATGCGTTGACTGCATCGCGGATGACTTGCATTTGGACAATGACTTCTTGGTCGTCGCGGGGAACTCCATTGAGACCAGCCAGTACAGTAGCGGCTTCGTCTTCGTGATGGTGGTTAAGGAGCCATCGAGGAGATTCGGGTAGCGAGATCATCATAACGATGACGATGAGGGCGAAAACACACTGGAAAGCAATGGGGAATCTCCATGTGAAGTCATCGGGACCGTAGAGACAACCGTAATCGATCCAGTAGGCGATGAGCGTACCAATGGCAACCATGGAACCCTCGATGCAAATAACTTTACCGCGGTTCTTGGCCTTGCAGCACCTAGAAATAGTCAGCAATTGTTCGAAAGAGCAAGTTTTAGCATGACGTACTCAGCTTGGTAGGTGGGAATGGTAGAAGTGTTAATGCCGTTTCCAACACCAGTAATGCATCGTCCGACAATGAACTGGGCGGTAGCACCACTGTTGGGAGGAACGCAGGCAATCTGAATGATGACACCGATGATCATAACTCCGGCACCCAGGAAGATACTCTTGCGACGTCCAAGCTTGTCACCGAAGACGAAGACAAAGATGGCACCAAGCAGACAACCGACGGCATAGATGGAGACGACGAAACCCTCGTAGGTAGAGTCACCCTCGACTTCAGGGAACGCGGCTTGGAAGGCAGGAGCAGAGATGATTCCGCTCATGACACCCTGGTCATAACCGAAGAGTAGGAAGTCGGTAACAGCAACGATGGTGATGAGAACCTGGAGGGCCCTGCCGGACTTGCCCCAGTAGGTGGGAACACCATTTTCGGACTCCTTGATACGTGGCGGCATGGTTGCGTTGTATCGATGGAAACTGGAGAGGGGTGAGGAGATGCTGGGGAGGAAAGATCCGTGGGGAGAGAGTAGAGCTTTAAATGATCATCGTCCGTCAGAGTACAAGGGTGTTCGGCAGAAACGTGGTTACTGGTCGTCTACCCTCGGCCCACTAAAAGATACGCTACCAAGATTCCGACTGACGCGTGGAGAAAACTAGATAACGATTTTTTCCAACATCTTGGCCTTGGCTGGTGTAGCAGTATGCGAGCCTTGGTGCGGGCGGTAGAGGCGCAAATAAACTGTGGATACAAAGGCGAACCTAACAGGGTCTGGTGGTGGAGCAAGCCATCTTGGGCCAATCTTGGAGAAGAGCGGAGGACGCTTGCAGTCCAACAAGCGCGCTCGGCACAGCATGTCTCTGCTCCTAGCCCGAGGTTACCTCCACATTACGTCATGTGCGCAGGGCTTGGGGTCAGCCTGGGGAAGACGCAGGTGAAACGAGTGGTGAACGGCTGGTTCGTCAGTCGGCACAGAAGGCTCGAAGAAGTTTCTTCGCGGCCTACGCCACCCGGAAACGCCTGTCAAAATCTACGGTACGCATGTCAAGATGATGCAGGAACTCTGTCGTCGACTAGGACACCGGTGTAGGTCATAGGCACCATCTCGGGCTACATGCCGCCGTGTACGGATAGCGTGCTAAATCCTCCCATAAGGCACGGTTTCAGTCTCAACAAGAGGGCGCTTGACGTCATGCACCGGCGACTCGCGTCCGTCCCCATGCAGGGTCTGACCAACCGTGCGCATGCGGCTCTGCAGCCTTTGCAGCTTGGCCGATGATCTTAACCGACAGAGACTGCAGGTGGTGGAGCTTGAACACGCCATGTGCTGCAACGGTGACGATGGTTGCTGTGATGGTCGATGGTCGGCTGTACTACCTGGTATGGAGTGCAGCAACGTCGGGCGGCACTGCCGGCCGGGAGACGATTTGGCGCACGTGATAGCGGCATCTCTCGAGACATTCAGATTAAGTTGCTATACAGCCGAGGATTTGCCCATGCCGTCGGGATAGCACTTGGTGTGCAGACACTTCTCCTACATATTCTCGCCGTGCGGCCGATCAGCTTGGTCGCGCCGTAGAAACTGCTCGGTAGTCGCGGTCGCGCTTTCTGCCATGGCGGGACAAATTGCCAATGCATGCTTGGTAGTCGGGAGAGGCTCGTGTGGAGTTCGCAAGCCTAGCGTGGGGATGAGGCTGACATGTGCATTGTCTTGCAGATCTCGGGCCTTCCTGTTTCGGGACATCCGGGCGCTTTCCTCTGTCACAACTCCTTTCTTGTCATATAGGTAGGAGTAAACATCAGCAACAACATCGCCGAAAGCAGTACTCGTAGCATACGAAGGAGCTCCATATTGACAAGTCTACCCCGGGACCCAGCTAAACTGCGCAGATCTCTCCAGTACCCATCAATCCGCCCCAAATTATGCTCCCGCAAGCATTCCACATGCCGGAAAAGACGGCTCTCAAATCGTGTGCTAAAACACACCAAACGCCCCAACGACGTGGTAACTCCACATAACACAGTCAACCCCAATTTTATGTCGCTTTCGGTGCCTACTACACCGCACTCTCGCTCAAGTCCCTGCCAAGCGGCACATGCTTCAGTCTGTCACCGGAACCGCCGTCTAATGTCGGGGTCTCCGCTTTATGCAAATGCCGTATTGATAATCACACTGATAATCACACTCCACTTTTCCATCACTCCCTCCAACGCAGGGTCACTCTAAAATCCGCCAATTACTGTTGAATATGCATCATCATCGTGACGGACCTCCACCGAGTTGCTGTTTTGATCCCACTTGGTTGTCATCGTCGACCCCATTGCCAGGACTCTGGGACTGGGGAAAACGGCGGGGATCAAATTCAAGAACGTTCTGCTACGATCTCCTAGCTCTAACGTCTCGGCTCGATGCGAGGGTTATGGTTGACAGATCCACTTCCGTACTCAGCCGCATAAAGGCGTGCCACTTCCCCGACTGATTCGACCTCCGACTTGTCATCGGAGCGACTTAGTCAACCCGATCCCAAGACCCAACCTCCGTACCAAGGATGTTGCCAATGTCCGATAGTTCCATCCGATGTCCCAAGATAGTGTGGGGATCCCACCATCTCCAGGATCTACTCCTCCTCAACAGTCATGTGTCCCACCATCGCTAAAGTCATCAGGTCCCTCGTGCATTGCCCAGGTAGTCGCCAATGCTAGTCGCAGAACAGCGGGCCCACGGACGGACTAGAGTTGGGTCTGGGGGCCTTTCATCTCTGAAGACAGTCGTCAGTCGTTTCCCCGTCTATTGAACCGAGGCGGCTCTTCGGTGTAGCTGGCGTGTCTCTTTTTGCCCCTAGAAGAAGGCCCCTTCTGGGTCTACGGATATCCAGAGCTGCTTGTATTTCTCATTTGCTTCATTGTACCCGCGAAGTCCTTTCTTGCTTGACTTCACACCAGGCCGCTTCCTTTGTTTTTGAGATTGCGCGGCAAGAGCATGTTCGAGCTCTTTGATTTTTCAGTGTAATAACGGGTACTCCTGGAGTGATCAATTTCCGTCCTGCTGTTTGAGTTTTCGTATCCCGTGCCAACTGGAAATTGCGAGCAAGCGAGCTGTAACACCGTCATCACGGGCGGCCGGTATCTATAAGAATGTTGAGTGTAGCGGCGTATTATTCAGCACCATTCGCGTGGACCACACATGAGGCGCATCCAGACGTGATAGCTCTGTCACAAATCTGACACTGTTGTGATGACCGACCGCAATTACCAGCGACGCACCGTCGAGTAGATTAGGTTCGGATGGCCACCACTACATATATCTTATACATATTGCTGCCGCATTCGTTAATGAGAACAGTTTTGGAGTTGAAGTTGCAGCTGGCAAGTCCGAAGTACGATGAAGCATGCGCGCACGGATCACGTCATGTGTTAGCGTGTCTTTCGACGCGTCGCCGGCACGTAAGCACTCCACTGCCACAATCTCAACACCGCAACCGGCATATCACATCTCACGCGCGGAAGATCTACAGAAGAGTCCTCTGAAGGTTTTGGTCGCTCATCATTCTGGTTCCGCCGAAAGACCCTCGCGCGTAATTACACAGCTCCATTGGGCGACTTTGGCACAATCGACTGCGTACCCCGGGTTTGGTCGCTACCCAACGATACCATTTCAGCTTAGTGAACATCATCCGCTCTCATCACCATGGCGCGCAAAATGTCCCCGGAAGAGTATCAGGCGATTGGCCGCAGTTACTATAAGCTGAAACAATACGAGAAAGCCTTGGAAACCTTTTCGAAAGGCATCGAGGCTTGTGCAACCGCTGATCTGTACGACCATCGGGCTGCTACGTACGACAAACTTGGAAACCTTAACGCCGCGGTCAAAGATGGCAGAGAGATGATCAGATTGAACAAGAAAGATGTTAAGGGCTACTTACGCACGGCGAACATTCTGGAGAAGTTGGAGAAACCCGAGACGGCGCTTGGGATTTACAAGTACGGAATGAAGAATGTGCCACCTAGCGACAAGAACTTCAAGGTATGTGGTGTATTCTTTGTCCTGTTATGAGGACACACCTTCCACTTTGTCTTCTGCATGGATTACTGAGTGTCGGCAGCTCTTGCAACAACTTCACGATAAGTTCACTCGAAAACTATCACCTGCATCGGCCATCGATCCGTTCACAGTTCTGCCCGCTGAGCTAGCGGAAATGGTACTAGAGTATTGCTCCTTCCGCCACATGGTCAACTGCATGCGCGTCAGCAAGGGATGGAGGGACTATCTCTCCAAGTTACCTAAGCTTTGGATGCATCTCGATCTCTCCGGCGCCCGCAGACCAGTCCCTCGTTCTTTTGTTAATACATCTTTCAAGCGCTCGGAATACCGAATGACACGCATTACGATCCATCGCTTCGAACACATGGACGTACTCAAGAACCTTGTGAAAGCAGCCAAGGACCTTTCAGAACTAGAGCTCATTTCCTTACCACATACCATGTCAGCTACGTTGATCGATATTGTCAAAAGCGCTCCGAAGCTAAAGAAGTTCACGGTACATCCAGAAATCACGCAAGATACTGCGGAGCAGATAATGCATACGCAACCTGTACTGGAACACATAGCATTTGGCGCGTTGAGGGCTTCCAGAACCGTCACTAATTGGACGGCTTCATTTGGAAATCTCCGCACACTCAGCATACATTGTTCGTCCCCCATCTCGACGACGAATCTCAGACTAAGCGACCTCCTGAGTCGAACGCCATGTCTCGAATCCTTGTCACTCTCCAATATACTTCACTTTGAGTCCCACCAAGGATGGCCCGGAGACGAGGCTCAACTACCACCATTGAAAAGCCTGGCTCTGAAGCAGGTGGATCTCTCTTCAATCCCTTTACTCCCGCCCACGCTACAACGACTTGTCATTGAGAATGGCGGCGGTCGATTGAACATAAGAAACTTCCTGACGTCGCGGTGCTGTGTACCTGAGCTTACACACCTAGCCGTATCTGGCTTCAGAGGCCTCAGTGTAGATACACTAGGAAATCTCCTGGATCACTGCCTGCACGACAGCGAAATGCGAGCATGCTTAACCTCAAAACCTCTACAATCGTTAACCCTGAACGGTCTTCTACTCGATGAAGTCTCACCGCTCCTGTTCGGAACCGGGTTCTCTGGGGGACAAGAGTCCATATGCGGTAGTTCCCCACGGGTTCTCACACCAGCGTTGGAATCCCTGGATATTGCCACCACGCCCTGCAATGATGATGAGATAGAGAGACTCGTCAACTTCTACAGGACCGGGCTCAAGACAATCGATCTTTCGCATACCCACATCACCGGAGCGTCGATCAAGATGCTGGCGGACAAACTTCCGAACTTGACCATGATCAAAGCGAACAATTGCGCCAAGATCAATGGGCGCGATGCGATCAACTACGCAGAGCGAAAGGGGATATCAGTGAGTTGCCAGATGGCTGAGCAGAAGGGTGGACGAAGGCTTCGCTACGGCTAGTCTGCTGCGCACCTGGAATTGTCGACAGGCATTCTGTTTTAGAAGAGCAAGGTATAGTCAGATCAGAAGTCGTGGAGGAGCCATGAAACAACGATCGCAGAAGAAACGTTTCGTGGCATCTATGTAGCGGTATAATACGGGGTGCAATCATGTAATCGTGAGTGCCATCAAAGGGGACTATTAGCTAAACACCAGCGCCAAAGTCCCTGCGCGCCCACGCAATGCAAATATCGAATTCAAGCAAACCCCTCCCAGTTACCCTGCAAATTACCAACGCCGCGCCAATATGCTTGTGAAGTAACAGAGCAAGGAGTAAAGTCGCAAAAGAGGCAAACCCATGTGATGGTTACAAGCCTTCGTGTACACCGCTGAATTAGTTCACATCCATACCATCATCCTCCACTTCGTCCTCGCCATCATCTTCGCCTGCCGTTAGTACGCCCGCACTACCCAAACTGCGTTTGCGGTTGCTGCCGCCGAAAGAGCGACCAGTAATTTGGCTGAGAAGGTCCAGATCCTCCCCGCCAACGATCCGGGCTTCCGGAGTGGCCTCACAGCTGAGCTCGATCAAGCTTGCCGGGCTAAGGTTACGGTAGCCCGCTGTGCGGACAACTCTGCCAAAGTTCTGCATGCAGAACGTAGCTGCTCGCTGCTTGAGCCAGTCCTCTCCAGCAGTAGCAGCACGCTCCCATATTATGGCTGCGTGCTCAATATCCAGCTCTCGACCCAAGCGGTTGACGCAGAGAAGGCGGAGCCGAGGCATGTCGTAGATGTTGGACATGACGAGCATGCCCGCCACGTCATTCAAGCTGGGTCCATTTTGCGGGTTTGGGGCAATGCTGTCAGTGTAGAGATAAAACAGAAACGCTCGAACTGCTGAGTACGGTTCGGGAATGTGCATCTTCTTCGAATGGAACTCTGCCATTTGGGCACTCCAAAGACGGGCAAAATGAGGCCAGCGAGCATGTAAAATGAGCTTGTGAACGTGGATCGGCCGCGATACTGGAGCCACAGCAGTTGCTGAACCGTTGGGATCAGGTACTGCGACATCAACGTAGTCATCATCATCCGGATCGGCGGTGATAATGAAGTCTGCGCCGCTGCCGCTCTCCGGTGGCTGATCGAAAGTAAGAGACAGATCCGCACCAATACCGGTAAGGTGCGAAGAAACGTTCGCATCGGAGGAAGGCATCATCTTTGAGCGCGTGTCGGAGGCCAGCTCGTTGCCCAGGATGCCATACTTTCGAAGATCGATGGCGAGCACATCGCTTAGATACTCGCCGTTGTGGTTGCCATCATTCGCCGACTCGATTGGGCTGCCTAGAAGCCAGGCATGTGTTCCTTCGGGGTTGGTGGTGCAGTAGTGCCAGCGGTAGTTGGGGCTGTAAAGGTCCTTCCCGTCGGCGAGCTTCTGCCATCGCAAAGTGTCTAGCTCCAGACTGGACAAACTGGTTTCGCAACTCAACTCTGCCGGGGTGACGAAATCGAGCATGCAACCAGACGAAAAGATGTGAAAATGCGTGCCCGCCGCTTGTGATGGTAGGTTCGGACTGGAGTGAAATTTGAGAGATGAAATGGATCCGGGTGCAACGTAAGGTGAGCGACTTGATCCCATTCCGTGATACGATTGGACGCTTGAGTTTGCGGTGTAACCAGTGCTGCCGGTCGCGAGTTGGCCAGACGCTGGTACGGGGTAGCGATGTCGGGACGAGATGAGCTGCCGGTCGCCTGTTCCATATTTCATAGCGTGATCAAACTCCGGACTGCCGCGGAGATCGAGCCACCAGATCTCGTTGCTCTTTTCCATCTCGTCATTAATACCACCAAAGATCCAGATGCGACCGTTCCAGATCCAGCTGGCGTGATCGTAACGAGGGACGAACCTCCATGTCCGGGACCAGGTCCACGTTTTGAGGTCGAGATAGCAAATGTCGTCTAGTACACTGTCGTGCCCAGTCTGACCACCGCTAATGTATAGCTTATCGTCGTATATGACGGCCGAATGGCGAGCGCGGCCACGGGGTATGGGCCCATGAAGTTCGGGCTGTGTCCAGTGTGCGGTCTTCAGGTCGAATACGATGACGTCGGCGAGATGTTGACGGTGCTCATTCTCACCGCCGAAGACCAGAAGTTTACTACCTTGCCATAGGCACGCGGTATGTCCTAAGGCGCTATGTTAGTTACGACGAAAGTATCGTTGGGAACAGAGCGGTGAGCACGTACCCATTCGTACGCCCGGAATATCCCCGTAGTTATCGACCAGATTCCATTGTCGAGTGACGAGGTTGAGGCGAAGGACGTGGTTGTATACCTCGTCGGTATACTGGTCGAAGCCTCCAAAGGCGTATATCTGATCATCACCAACATATGTGACAGAGGCATTGACCAGGCAAGCGGGCTTGGCGCCGATTGTCGAAATCATTTTCGGTTTGTAGCCTTCGACGGCTGATCTGCGGCTTCGGACGGGGCTCGCGGACATGAGGAACGTGTTGTTGGTAGAGCTGGCGGATCCCGGGGTATTCGAGAGGGAGTGGCTGGGCGAGGGTGTAGAGGTGACGGCGGGGTTGAGGATGTTGGACGGGAAAGCGGATCGAGCGGATGTTTGTGCCATGGATAGTGAGCGGTGGATAGCGTGAGTCTGGTTTTGTGGTGAAAGCCCCGGTGGGCAGAGATGGCCTATGTCTAGGCTGCGAGAATGTTTGACACAGGAAGTTGAGTTGGCTGGCCGTGCATATTGCCGCCCGTCACCGCCTTTAACCCGAAGCGGAAGCGCCGACCTACGACGACTCAGCCCTGCCACCGACACGGACAGCGCGAGCCAGTGCGAGGTTTGGCCACCCAAAAGCTGCAGCCGATTAATGCGCGACTGCGGATACTGAGATTGGAGATGAGCGAGTGGCTGTGAAGAGTCGATGAATGGAGAGACTGCTGAAATACAGTACGTCGCAGTCTGGCACGAGAGCTGACGCTATGAAGCGATTGCCATCACTGATGCAGCGGTAAAAGCAAGGCCATGCATGCTGCGGCACCGACACGACGACTATGCAGGCCGGCTTCATAAACCGGATGCACTCTCATGCCGGCGAGGGTCGAGCACCGTCATGTGATGTCATGTGCCTTGGTCGTCCGGCCAGCCTCGCGCAGGGTCCTGGCCTCGTTACCGGGTCAACGCAAGCGTAAACAAAGGATACTTAAACGCCCTCATACCTGCCACTCTACATATCCACTACCACGCACTCTACCATCCGCGTTACCCTGCATCTCCTTCTCCAGAGCGCGAATCACTCAATTACTTTCGAATCAACACTTCAAAGCATCGATTACAGCATTGTCTAATACTAATCCTTACACCATATAGCAGAAATCAAACCACATACTGTATGCCACCAAGCCAAATGTACTTAGAATTCAACTAACCCTAGTCCAGTAGGAGACTAGCTAGCAGTCATGGCAAGCACCGCAGTCTGCGTGACTCCGGTCAAGAAGCGCTCTGCAGTCTTCAACACCCGCACCGCCGGCGGTCGGATGCCACTGACGCCCTCTCCCCGCACCCCGCGCACCCAGACTCCCGATGTGCAGGCACACGAGTCGATCCACGGTAACGACTTCAAGTCGCGCATCCAGCGCTCCGTTACCAAGACGACGCGCGACTCCCCCAAGTCCAACATTGCTCGCTCCCACACACACACTCCTCGCCGGTTAGAACTCGGTGTCTCAGAATGGGCCCTCACTGGATCCGGTACTACTGCCACCAACAAAGCCAAGAAGGAGAAGAAGGAGGCGGCCGCCATCCGTGCTCGCCCTACCAAGACGCGCATTGCCTACAACGCCGCCGACCGCTTCATCCCCAACCGGACGGCAAGCGAGGCTATCCGCAGCGTCGGTGCCAGCAAGCTCGACGCTGAACAGCGCCCCAAGTCAAGTTCCAAGAAGGAGGGCTCAACCGTGCTTGCCAACGCCGCAAGTGCTTTCGATCTTGGTGGCCGTGGTTCAGAGGAGGATGTCACACTTTCCCTCGAGGGCCTGAGCCTTGAGGACGATGAGGAGGAGAGCCGATCACGCTCCAAGCCGGCTCCTAGCCAGGCTGCATACCAGTCCACTCTTGCCTCAGCATGTGGCATCAACACAAACACTCGCATTCTTGCTTTCAAGCCTGCGCCGCCTGAGTCGTCCAAGCCCATTGACCTTCGCTCCCAGTACAACCGTCCTCTCAAGCCAAGCAGCAGCGTCAACGCACAGAGCCGCCGTCGCATCCCGTCAGCACCTGAGCGCGTCCTTGATGCTCCCGGTCTTGTCGATGACTACTACCTGAACCTGCTTGACTGGTCTTCTGGCAACCAGGTCGCTATCGGTCTTGAGCGCTCAGTCTATGTCTGGTCGGCCGACTCTGGATCGGTCGCCTCTCTCCTCGAGTGCCCTGCCGATACCTACATCTCTTCCGTGAAGTGGTCCGGCGATGGTGCCTACGTTGGTGTCGGCCTCGGCACGGGTGAGGTCCAGATCTGGGACGTCGAGGAGCAGACCAAGCTTCGTAGCATGTTCGGTCACGAGACTCGCGTTGGTGTTATGGGATGGAACAAGCATATCCTCTCCACCGGTGCCCGCTCCGGCCTTGTCTACAACCACGACGTCCGTGTCGCGCAACACAAGATCGCTGAGCTCGTCTCCCACACTGGAGAGGTCTGCGGTCTCGAGTGGCGTGCCGACGGTGCCCAGCTTGCCACTGGTGCCAACGACAACATGGTCAACATCTGGGACGCGCGCGCGCTTGCCGCCCCCAAGTTCACCAAGACCAACCACCGTGCTGCCGTCAAGGCCGTCTCATGGTGCCCATGGCAATCCAACTTGCTTGCCACCGGCGGTGGTTCCAACGACCGTCAAATCTACTTCTGGAACACCACCACTGGTGCTCGCATCAACCACATCCCCACCGACTCTCAGGTCACCAGCCTTCGCTGGAGCACCCACTACAAGGAGATTGTCAGCACTGGTGGCTTTCCCGACAACAGCCTGAGCATCTGGAGCTACCCCTCCGGTGTTAAGAACATGGAGGTCCCTGCTCACGAGTCTCGCGTTCTCCACAGCTGCCTCAGCCCCGATGGTCAGATGCTCGCCACCGCTGCTGCCGATGAGTCTCTGAAGTTCTGGAAGATCTTCGAGAAGAAGCCCGGCCAGCCTTCCGTTGCCGCCGCCGGCTCTGCTTCCATGAAGCCCAGTGCGACTAAGCAGATGACTATCCGCTAAGTTTTTGCATCCGACAACGAATGAGCTTGTATCCAATAGATATGGGTCGGAGCATCAGGCTCAATAAGCATCGCAAGTGTCTAGCACGGACATCAACTACCGGCTTGCGCAATGGAGCTGGTATCATTCATCCGACTCTACGCGCAACGGTAAGTTGGTAAGTAATCACATCTCGTTTTGGGTATGTGACGCGATCCTCTCCCTCATTCACAGGGACAGGAATCTCCACATCTACCCTCGGAACATCTGTCAAGCGTACAACTGGGTCTCATCATGGCTTTTTTTGTCCATTCAACAAGCGAGGCGTCTCGGAAGCATTGCAAGGCGTTGAAATTAAAGAACTGGCTTTTCGAGCGTCCTATGGACAACGAGGTTCATGAAATTTACGAACATTGGGAAAAGACGACTCGGTCTATTGTCTTTCGAGGGAGTTCTGTATTTGTACATTCACCGCGCCTTGATGCGCTTGGGATTGGGACATTTGGGGGCAAGGAAGGCGTTCGATCTTGAATAAAATGATAACATTACAACACAAAAACGTCGCGGTATCTTTGCCAGTTTTGGTGACCTCCCTTGTCACTGCACCCTGCGTAGAGAACTCCATCGAACCGTCTTATATCAATGTTATGATCGAATCATTCGGCGAAGAGACGGGTTGTATGATTTCACATACCCATCAAGCTCCTCTGCCTCACCAAGACCTTTCAGGGTATGATTGCGTTGTATTTGGAGCTTGCGAATGCGAGGGAACTACCGCCGATTAGGATGACACGTGAGGTGGATGTTGTTGCTTTTGTGGATGCGCCGCCTACGGTGGATGCTGGGACGGCGGTGCAGGATGACGTTCGTTGTCCATTTTGCTGGGGCGCTTTTGGTACGGATGAGGATGAGTGTAGGGGGGTTGTCAAGCAGGTTGGGTGTTGTGGAAAGAGATTTGGAAGGGGTTGTCTTGTTGAGGCTATCAAGGGCAGCGAGCTGTGTCCGAACTGTAGGAGGGATTTTGATATCGTGCGTGTTGCTGATGAGGAGGGTAGCTAGTATGTGTATCGCGAGCGAGGACATCTCTCCCAGAGACTTGCGATATCTTAAGATACAATCTATTTACGAACGCCTGCTTATTTCCAGTATTTGATCCACTCATTTTCTAGATCCGTCATGCTATCCTGGATGATGGCCGCTTGCATCGCCTTCTCATTTGCTTTCGCCATCTGCGCGTTTGTTATACTCCAATCAATCTGTATAGATGTTAGTCATCATCATACCCTCTCATGACGACATGCCAGTCAGTTCAGAACTCACCGGCGGTGCGCTCCAGCCACTGACAGCCCATTGTGTACTGCTCATTCTAGCTTGCGACTGAGCAATTGTCATCTGATTCCTGTGCATTCTCTCCTGCACTTTGAGCTGCTGAATTTCTTGCTTCATGCGCCCAAGCTGAATCTCGATCTCTTGCATCTTGTTGTTTCGTGCCATGAGCTTTTGTCGGAAGTTGGAGATGTCATTTGTACGACAGGCGTCTGTGAAGTACGACTGGAGACGTGGTGAAAAGAGATCACACAAGAAGCCTCCATTTTTTGCCTCTTGTTCCTCAAGCTGCGCAAGGATCGCTGGTTGAGGCGAATCGGAATAGAGGGGCTCGATATGTTTGAGGTAGCATTCCTCGCAGGCGGTGAACTCCGGAACCGTAGAAGGGAAGCTGTACTGCTTTTGGCCTAGAACTAGCTTCCCCTGCTGGCAGGCCGGGACTGGACCCCATTTCTTGACGAAATCGATCAGTGGTGTAATGTCACGCGTCTTCGTTTCGAGAGTACTTTGCGCAACGCTGGCGATCTTATCAGCATACTCCAGACACCGTTGTTGGCCATTGCCCTGCGTCATCAAGTCGCAGGTAGCGAGAAGCCTTTGTCCGTTTGCAACGGGCGCAAAGATGCGCTTCAGACAGGGAAAGATGACGTTTATGTGCGCCACACAAGATGAACAAGCTGTCATCTCTTCGACCAGCGACCCGGTCTTTGGGTCTTGAAGACAGTACCACGTCCTCGTTACAGCGGGTCTTCCTCCTTTTTTGACCTCTGGATCCTCCATGTTGAAGTTTGGGCAGATGCCATCCCTGTCATTCTGGATGCTAGACACTTCGCCCAGTAGGCTCAAATCAGGTTGTCCCTGTTGGAACAACCACATGTAGGCTAGTCTCACCCACAGAAACGAGAAATCACAGAGACAAGACATCGTAGCTGGTTTGGCGGGACCGGCAGATATAAAGGACGCATAGCGAGTGTTGCGGAAGGATGTGTTGTAGCAATCCGGGCAAATGTCGAAGTTGGGGATGGCCCTCGGTGATTTGACTTGTAGCCAGTCATTATGCCCTTGTGTGAAGTTTGATCGTTTGCATAGTCCAAGTGCTGGGTATTGTTTAGTCTGCGGGGTTGCTGATTCTGAGGACGGTCGAGGTGGAAGGGGTGGGGGCCGAACGAGAGGCATGACTCGTGCAGGAAGTCACCTTGGTGAATCGAGTAGTGTGAGAGCAGCCAGTGAAAGAATTGGGTGTGGAGGACAGTCTTTGGTACGACGAAAGACAGCATATGTTCGTCTAGAGTGTGCGAATACCTTTAGGCTACATAATGACTGGTCTGCCGAGGCTTTCAGCTGAAGAGGCTGAAAGTATCGTCCGAATACGATACCGGTGAAAGATCGCCCCGCAACGAGCGTCCAAATGAGGCCATGAAAACGCCACGCATGTCGGACCTTCTAGATGCGTTGCGCATCAGATTGTGCTGTGCATCGTAGAAGCGAGAGGATCGACAGCTGCGGCCCATCAGGTCATGGAGGAAAGTATGGCTACCTGGCATTTCGTGACCCTAAGTAGTCGGCAAGTATGGCGGCAATATATGCCAGTGGTGGGAATCTCATCAATTGTAGGCTCAATGGTTTTGTGTGAAAGTGGTGGCTTGAGGGATGGTGGGAGATGCGCGATCTCGACAACAGGTGTCTGAGCCGAGCGGTTGGTAACACCACCTCATTGGCTGACATCTCGCTTCCCCTTCACCCATTATCAACAATGTAGACAGCTAGACAACTTTAGCTTGAGAAGGCTTGTACCAGATCATATACATTAAACGAGTGTACAGTGCCGAAGACGCATGCAGTAAAAGACCGATCTTGCTGATAGTACACCACAGGTTGTCATTACCATGCAGCTGGCAACAAAGGTAGCAGAAATATGGTACGTCTCTTTGTACGAAGTTCGAAGCAGTTGGATGCGACTTCGACACACTTGCAACAGGCCTGATATTTATTTTGGATCTTGTAACTGATGATCTTATCACACCACGCGTTCTATTAGTGCGCTGTCACCTTTGTTGTAGCTAGACAGTACGCCCAACAGATTTATGTAGCGGCAGGTGTATCCTCGTCACTGTTGGAAGTAGTGTGCACTCGCATGGGAGAACACTTTGCGTAGCATTCGCATAAGCTAATGTTGATCGGGGATCATTACGACATTTTGCACCAACAGGCGAGACATGTTATGTGTACACTCGTTGGTCATGGTCAGAGGCGTGCAGTCCTGTCGTCCAAGATGTGGTGGAACATTGAGCCTCCTTGTTGCCGCACAGTGTCAGTCGCACGGGGCGGTACACACATCGTGTTTGCACAAGGCAGACTGTGAAAAAATTCATGTTTGACTCTGAGGTGTTGGCCTGCTCGTTTAGGGCTGACGGAGGCCACAAAGCGTCTCTCATGGGTTGCAGAAGCGCCCGGAACGGGAGGGAGTGTTCCAAGAGCTTAGCCCCTCGGAGATTTTATGCTTTGGAAAGTGTCGTGGGTAAACCTGGTGGCTTCGAATTCTGTCATCGCGATTCGCTTCGCATCACCTTCTTAGCGGTGAGGGCACACAGTATGGCCGGAAGAAGCTAATTCCGGTCTGGCTTGGTATCGAGGAAACGGATGCTGCGAAGAGTTCATTTTCCACAAGTGATGCCCAAGACTGAGAAAAACTCTAAACTAATCCTACTATTGTGTCTCGTGCACCTACTATAGCAGACCTGAGTCGATTGCCTCTAAGGTACCTGCTAGTCTTGGGTACGATTAGGCAAACAATGAGCTGCTTCATACCAGGTATTTCAGCTGTTGGTGGAAGGCGCAACACTTGTTCAGAGGCCAATATGGTGGCCCTTATCCGAGCAGTTGTAGATTGAGACATGTGCATGATTGCCATTGTTGGTGGACTTGGCATGGGGACTCCTCTGCCAGCATGAGATCGAGGAATGAAAGCCAGCTTTTCGGGTAGCCAAGGTACCAGCATCCTGGGATGTCGCGTGGCAGTCACTAGTAGGGATCGCTTTCAGGCCGCCCAGTATCATGACTTCGGATGCATCGGGCTATCTGAATGCCATTTTCCAAATGAGTCTAGATGGCGTTGGTGGTGGGGATATTTGCCAAAGAAACGATGAGAGTAAGCGCCGATAACGTGAGAGCGGGGTCGCTTCGGTTGGATGTATACACAAAGCTGTCGACGCATAGTGGGGCACCGAGTGTGTTTGACACCTTCTTCAAAGCCATGCCATTACTCATCGACTATTGTAGTGTGCTTTGCGCATGGAATCTTGTTGGTTCCAACGTCGCCGACATACTCAACATGTTGCGTAGTTGGCATGGAGAGGCACTTTCCGATCAGCCACAGACTTGTGTGCAGGAGTTATGCAGGCCGTAGCTGCAGCCTCCTGTAAGTCATCTAGGAGATTGTACCTGTCGGTTAGACAAAGACGGAAAGAATGACCTGTGCTCCACGGCGCTTATTGACAAGCCGCCTTGAGCGCGGCTAATGTCAAACGCGGGAGCGGCGTAGGTCGCATGAAGAAGGGCAGCTGGTGCCATTGTCAAGGTGGACAAGGTAACTGCTTGTAGGCCAGACTAATGGTACTATTGAAGACACGCGCGGCGTGAGCTGTGGTAGGTTGGCGGAAAGAAAAGTTGTGTGCTTTCGTGCCCCAGTGGAAAAACTGGGCATTCGATTGGCCAATCTAAGCATCCGAGCACATGGTAGCTGGGCACGCTGATACGCTTGGGGAATCTGGAGATGAGCTAGTGGAAGAGGGCTACCGATGACGATCCTACAGATTTAGCAAGAAGAGGCTCTTGGGATGCCATGTGTCGACGGACCTACGCAGGCCTTCATTTGATGCAAGGCCGCCACGTCGATATCGATGGGGCCAGACTGGAGACAGAGCAAACGGTAGGAGGGCACCGCGACTGTGCCGCACACTGGTGCTGCCTTGGAGCACCTGATGGAGCCTTTTTGAGGAAGGGTGCATTAGCGTCTCATGGAGGCCTGGCCCTAGTCGTCTGCAGCAACGTTCGCCATGCGCAGAACTAATGCTGGGTGAATAGACGGTGCCAAGGGGCTGCTTACCTACACCCTGGAGGGCAGCACCGCCGTTTGTTCTGCGCGGGACGGCATCGGGGTAGGACAATGGATCGCAGGTGTTCGCACCAGCAAACGGAATGGGGAACCAGGCTGGTAGCGATGGCTGTTCTAGAGGATCCAGTGTCGTGTCTCTGGCACGCACGGCGCGGGATCGCTCAGCATGCCCGCCATCTAGCGTGTGTTTGGGCGCTTAAGCTGCAGTTCATCCCTGAAGCTTAGCAGGACCCAGGGCGGCGATTCGTCTGCGGCGCCAAGTGGTGGTGGTGAACGGACAGGTGTTGTAAGCGGGCGTGGTGCACGGCCGGGCGAGCAGTTCGCTGCTGCTAGGTACACGATTGACGCCGCCTGCCGCCTGCCTGCGCTGAGAGTCTCCACCGAGGCAGAGTCGCAGTGTTGAAACAAACAACGACACCTTCTGCACGCCGCACCTTGAGCCTCTTCCCGGCAGCTGGCCTGCTCTGATAAGCCTCGTCCCGTCCTTCTTTCCCGCCGCCCTCCCTTTTCGCGCCGCGCCTTTCCTTCTGATTCGTGACCCGCCGCTCAGCCTCGCCAACCTTGTCGTCTGGAGTGATAGGCAGCCCATCGCGAGACCGCCCGCGATTGAGCTTTCCCACCGCAGCGTAGATCCGGCGCAGTCCTGGCGCAGCTTCTGTTGTGCCTTCCCCAAGAGCAGTGCGAGGCATGGCAACCGCGACGCAGCTCATGCCGTCGCCGAGTGGCCTGAAGTCCATGTCGGCATTCAGCCCCTACACGGACTCGCCCAGCTCACCGGGCACCTTCGCTCACGTCTTCTCAAATAGGTGCGACGCCCTCGCTGCGAGAGCATTGGGGACTGCGGGCTAACATGGACTCCCCAAGATCCTCAGGGCACACGTCCGACCACCTGCAACCACCGCCCAGCCCATATCCGGCGACGGTCGACCCTTCGCCTGTCGACAGCAATGGCACGAGCCATACCGACCACACTGAGGTACGTCGTGTCGTGGGCGGATATACGAACGCGCGGGGCTGACCCCACTATAGATCGAAGACGACGCCCAAGTCAATCACCCAAGTGCAAGCGAAGATGGCATGAGCGACATTAGATCGCCGGGCACTGACGATATAGTGAGCCCGGCGAGCCAGGACGGACCCGCAAAGGTATCATATCATCACCTCCACCGCGCCTGCCCGCACTCATCTAACCTGTGACAGCCCCATACCCATAAGCTCAACACCGCCGTGCGCAGGGCTGACTCGGATGATGCCCCGCCGTCTGTCATCCATGCGCCAGACACATTCAAACAATTCGTGAGTACCCTTCTGTTTTGGTTGCACTACATGGCTGACGTGGGAGCCAGAGCCAGAACCGGATGACGTCTGGCGCGTCGTCGAGCGCAAACACGTCAGATAACACCGCAGTCGTCTCGCCGTCAACACCAGAAGCCAACATGCTTCCGGATGTCGAGGACAAGCACACTTCTTCTGCCTACACTACGCCCATTGATACCGCTGTGTCAAATTCGGTTACCGACCGCAGCACGCCGCGTGCCCAGACAAGACAAGATTTCGAGGAAGACCTCAGGCGGCGCAGCGTTCGTAAGAGCGTCAATCTCGCGGGTACGTCTCCGTGCATCTCGCAAAACACACGCGCTAACATATACAGATATCGCCGAGTACGAAGACCATGCCACCACGGATTCCTCTGCAAGCTCAGTCATTGAACAAGATGACAGCCAGTCATCACAGTCGCAAGACGGCGAGTCCATGTCCATCGGCACTCAAACGATGGGCCAGGCGATCCACGGCATTCAAGAGTCGGAGAAGGAAGTGGCTGCCCTGCGAAGCGCATTGGACGAATGCTGGACACTCTGCAACTCGCTGGCCAAATTGAGCCAACACCACAGGACCCGCATGTTCCACTACTCCGGTGGAAGCCCTGATATGCAGGAGCATGCCTGGAGAACATGTTGGCGACTTTGCCAGAAACTCTACGAAAGTAGAGAGGAGAACCCCTCCACGCAGATTCGGCCGACCCTGGAGCTGTGCCGAGACTTTTGCCAGGCACTATTCGACGTGCGTCAGCGCGGCGATGAGGCTTCTGATTCGGTGCTTAGAGTCAGCTTCGAGCTGAACAACCATCTCTACAACGCACATGATCGCACGCTACCCGAGACATTCCGTGAACGCACTCTGGACTTCTACCTGACGTTATGTCATCGCTTAATGAAGCAACGCACTTCTCTCCCAGAAGAGACCGATTCACTGCTCCATGCATGCTGGTCGTTGGCAGAGATGCTTTTCAGCCTCCGTCAGAACAGCCGAGATGGCAAGCCAGCCGACGAGGAACTGCTGGGCTCGGCAATACAGGCGTGTTGGGAGTTGTGTGACTTGTTCCGTGAAGGCTGGACGCAGGTGCGGCCTGATCGCGGCACTCCGCGACCGACTCAGTATGCCTTTTCGACCGGTCGCAGTTCCATGACGCACCGCTCCCAGACCGCGTACTCGGAACGGTCTGGACGATCCTCTAGTGTCAATGAGTCGTATCACTCGGCTATACAGTCAAGGAACGCGACGCCAATGCAGCCAGAGACACCAACTACCATCTTCGATGACCGTGAAGAGTTCTCGCCAGCAGACGAGCCCAACGTACCAAACATACTTGTCCTCGGCCCAGAAGCTGGCATGACTCGCACTCATGACCGCTGGTCATCCGCTTCATCCAACCTTTCTACATACTCCGACGCTTCACAACACACTTCTTCGACCGCCACTGCCGGTCGAGAGGATGCCAATTTGGTCCGCCTGAAAGGACTGATCATCAAGGCGGCCATCAACACGGGCTACAATCGCCAAATACCCCTCCCTGACTTTATTCGTGCATTACCGTCCAACAGCTTTGGCGCCGAGACGTGGCAAAGTCAATTATTCGAGAGCTATCGAAAACTTGTTCTTGCAGACCCGACCCTACGAAGCGTCCATACTCAACCACTCCGCAGGCTGACGGCACTTGAGATTGGACGATCTGTGCAATGGCTGGGCCGCAGCGAGTCTTTCAAGTGGCTGCGCGAGCTCTATCGCTTCGTCTTTGGGGCCTATCCTGAAGATACCAGTCAGCGCAACCTCATCATCAACGCCTAACGTACGTTTCCTGCACTTTACACATGGATCTTTTTCGTTTCGGATCTTGGATAAACTTTCTCTGATCTCGGGTGTTATTTGGATGGGCCCTTTTATTCTATTTCCGCCATATACCCCCAACGCTCTCTTCAGTGTGCGTACCATTCGGTCCCAGCATAGTTTCATCGCATGTTGTAGATTACGGATCCTGCATATTCGCTTCTGTGTATACCTTCTCGCTATCTCTACCGCCTTTATGAAGCTTATTGCCAAGATTACGATTTTGATACTATATACGAATAATAACCCATTCTTACGAGCGTCCGGCTAGATTGATACTTAAGTGAGCGATTGCGGAGTTTCCACTTGTTGGCTGTTCTGGTGGCGGTCATCATGTGCGCCTATTGGCTTACCGACGTGCACGACTTCAGCTGAATGTTAGCGCGACACTTGCACGCAGCTAAGCTGAACACTTGCCAGACCCCTCTAAGACGCCAGCTCTCAGCCTGACAATTGCAATATCCTCTCCTGTCACATTCGAGTGGCCGCCATGGAAGCCATCGCAGGACTTAGTCTTGCTGCCAACATCGTACAGCTTATAGACTTCACTGCGAAAATCTTATCGACTGGAAACCAAATTCGCCAGTCAGGTTCTACCGTACAGAACGCAGAATTAGAACGGGTGGTTGAAGACTTCACGGCACTGAAAGAACGCATGACATTATGGGCTCGTCCTAATCCGGCCAGCTCGGGCCCATTGGCCCAGGACAGCCAAGTACGTCAGACATGTACAAGGTCTGCGCGCCCACGACATCAATCTTACATGTTTATAGGTACTCGAGGATCTGGCTGCTGAGTGCACGAAGATTGCTCAAGAACTCATCGCCGAACTCGAGTCGTTGCGATGTTCCAAAGACGCGGCCACATACAAAACGATTCTCAGCGCCCTAAAAACATCCTGGAACGCGAAAAAGGTCGAGGATCTCAAGTCTAGACTTCAGACGATGCGTGATGAGCTCCAATTTAGAATTCTGGTGTCCATCAGGGACGATCAATTGCAAGGTTTAGATGAAACGAGTCGGACGGCGATGCTGAGCATAGTGGAAAGTAACAAACAACTTGGCACGACAATAACTTCACAAACCGACAAGATCATACAACAGCAAGAGATCGACAGCTCTTTGGCATCGACACGTCACAACGAGGTCTTACACGCCATCACCAAACAAAGATTAGAAAAGTACAGCATAAAGGATGTTTCGCGCGCAATCACGAATAAGCTATACTTTGCACGGAAAGACGATAGATATGACGACATTGTCGCTGCTCATAAAGACACCTTTGACTGGGCACTGAAGAGCCGCGCAAATGATTCCATAACCTGGCCAAGCCTCACAGACTGGCTTCGGCAGGAGGGTGGCGTGTATTGGATTAGCGGGAAGGCCGGATCTGGGAAATCAACGTTGATGAAGTATCTACATCAAGATCCTCGATTTTTGGAGTCGCTAGAAACCTGGGCTGGGGGAGATCATCTGGTAATTGCCGACTTCTACTTTTGGAATGCGGGTGCCGAGATCCAGAAATCCCAGGAAGGCCTCCTGCGTTCGCTGCTTAGGCAAGTGCTCGATCAGAACATTTCCTTAGCCTCTACACTATTTGCGGAGCAGTATCTCCTCGATGCTGAATGGGACGAATTCCCAACATTCCACCAGCTTCGGTGAGCATTTGGGAGGCTCACGAGTCACCCTCTTACATGCACAAAAATTGCAATAGTAGTCGACGGGTTGGACGAATTCGATGCTCAACGAATCTCGATGACTGAGCTTGGCGAGATGTTCATCACTGCCACAAAAAATGGCAAAATTAAAGCCCTTCTATCGAGCAGGCCCCTCACGGAGTTCACGGATTGTTTTGCTGGTCGGCCACAGCTGCAACTACAGCAGCTGACTCATAATGATATCACAACGTATGTGAATGGCAGTTTATCTATACATTCTCAAATGATGTATCTCAAAGCCACTTACGAAGACGACACCAAAGCTCTTGTGGAAGAAATTGTCAGCTCGGCCTCTGGCGTTTTCTTATGGGTCAAACTTGTAGTGAAGTCTCTCCTTCAAGGGCTACAGAATGGCGACAAGATCGAAGATCTTCAATTACGGCTTCGGACTTTACCACGGGATCTTGAGGCGCTTTTCACTCACATGCTGAGCAACGTACCTCCCTTGTACAAGTCGCAAGCCGCATGCATATTTCAAATCCTTCGATGCAACGACCAAGGCCATCTGCAGTCGTCTGTGAGAGGAGATGAAACAAGGCCACTATCCGCTGTCAGATTGTCCTATGCAGAAGCCAAGATCGAGGAGATTATAAGCGCAGACATTTCTCCCTTGTCGGTCGAAGAACTCGAAAAGATAGAGACCACCACGGAGCGTCGACTTAGAAGCCGTTGCGCTGGTCTCCTAGAGCTCCGGACGCGAGTCAAGCCCCAGGAAGAGGACACAGGTCAGGACGAATCATGTCAGGTAGAACCAAGGAGCAGGAAAGACGTCGTGTATCTTCACAGGACTGTTGCAGATTTTTTACACAAAAAAGAGGTCTGGGACGATCTGGTAAGCCACGCAAAGGGACGGAAATTCCACGCCTCTCTGGCTGTGTTACAATCATTGGTCATGGAAGTCAAAGCAGTCAATCTAGGTTGGCAGCAACCTGCCGATCGCAAGGTTCCCTGGGAGCTTGTGACTGATGCTCTGCTCTTTGCGCGACTTACAGAGACGAATACCAAGGCGAGTTCTCGGGAACTTCTCGACGAGCTCGACAAAACAATGAAGACTTACTTCCCAAACGTCATAGGAAGATGGGGGGAACAACAACAATACGAGGGGGCGACTTGGTGCGACACATGGGAGGAGGATTATCGAAAGCCTGCTCCCTGGCATGATAACTTCATGTCCCTGAACGTCAGATTTGGTTTGACTTTATACGTCCAGGACACCATCCGCGCAAAAGGTCAGCTTTGTTTTGACAAACGTGGTAGGCCACTGCTCGACTATGCGTGCAGACCTGAGCCGCAATACGGACACTGGTCAGACTTTAGTGACCCTGATCTCGTCCGAACTCTCTTAGTAAACGGCGCTCATCCGAATCTCAAGTTCAACGGGTTCAGTGCCTGGCAGAATTGTCTATATACGAGGGTCGACAACCCCGTCAAATGGGTATCCATACTGAAACTCTTAGTTCTACATGGGGCGGATACCAACGCATGCGTCGAGACAAAGAAAGAAGGCAAGAAAAATGCACTGGTTGTTGTCCAGGAGAACTTCGATGAATTCTTGGCCGGGGATGCTCAGGCCACCGAGCGGATGAAGGAGCGCTTCGCGTCTCGTAGAGCAACAGTACCTTGTTTTCCAGTCACAGAGAAAACACTAGCCCAGCTGAAGTTGGATGTTATGGAGTTGAAGGAACTAATCGTCAACCCTAGAGCAGTGCAAGGCAAGGTTGGAAACAGGAGTTCGAAGATGTTTGGTGAACGGGTGACGCTCCTTGTCAGGCGTTTGCTCGGGAGAGAGCACAAGTGATGCCCATCACTACTTACAGCGTGAACACACCGATTAGATCGTTTAATTGATAATGATGTACGCATTGCTCAGAATCTATGGTCGTATCATTGGAATGACAGTTTCGAGATCTCATAACGTGGATGCGTGAGGTGGCGCACAGACCACACCTCGGAACCTTGGAAGCTCTCTCAAGCTCCCCATATCGCGACTCCGGAGACTCTACACCCACCATGTAGTCGCCAGCAAATTTTGGCGGTTGAGCCTACACTTTTCAATGCCTACGCGCGCGATCAAAGCCATATTTTATACTCGCTTCCACCATGAGAAAGGTAGATCAAAGAGAGCCACGCCTCCAAAAACCCCGCTAATATCTTCGCAAGGGAATCGCGTCCTACATCAGGTACCTGCAGGCGCCATAATACCGTCCAACCTCCCGTCGGCGCTCACTACACCACTCTTCACCTTCTCTTCGGTCACGCAGTTCCTCATACCCACGCAGCAGTTTTGCGACCGCCTACTGACATTCTGCATCAACCACAATCGCGTCATCGGATACCCTGTTTGCATAAGAGAAGGGAAATACAGTAGAAATGAGTTCATCTTCAACTTCGCAATCGTGATAGGCGAGAATGAACGCGACTGGGCGTGCTATGGTGAAGTAGTGAGGAAGTTAGGGCGCTTGTTGAGAGGCCTAGAAGAGCAGGGCGGATTCTTGTCCAGAGAAGAGGAGGGCGTTTGGGAAGATGAAGGAGGAAATATTGGATTTGGACCGGACGATGGCGTCGGCGGATTTGGAATAGGTGGTGGCAGCAAGGTGTATGCGCTGTGTGAGATGGTGCTAGAGGATTTGAATAACTACGCCGAGTGTATGATACCAATTGGTAAGTCATGCTTCGTACCAGACTGTATTATGCGACATACTAAACAGCTACCAGATGACTCGAATACGATCAACCTGAAGCTATTCCCTACGCGACCGCCTCCTCCACCTATCCTCGCGCATCAAGTTCCCTTGCTCACCATATCTCTCCACAGTCTTCAACAACCCGTATCTTCGGACCTCACTCTCAATCGAATACTCCCATACATAAATGGTGTCAACTCGATAGCCCATATTGCGCAGCTCGCTGACACCGATCTCTCTTTGACAAGACGAGCCATTCAACATTTGGTTTACTACGGATGTTTGATACTATTGGACATATTCAGCTTCAGTGCCATATATGCGCCAACAGCAGAGATTGGTGGATTCATAATGGATGCAGAGGTGAAAGAGGAATGTATGCGCTACGTCAGCGTACCGAGAATGAGACTGGGTTCGAATGCAAAGACGGCTCGGATGGACAGTGAAGTTTCGGAGAGGAGTAGAGACGAACGTAGTTCGACCTCGTCTTTGTCATCGCAGCAAAGCGAGACTGTCGGATCTACGCTTAGGATCTCGGAATTCGATAGTCATATCGCGACGCAAAAGAAGGAAGAGGGGGAAGAGAATGTATGGCAGACGAGCCATGAGACGTTGATAACACTGTACACATCGCTGCGACAGGGCCTGACTCTGAAGAACTGGGTGCTGGAGAATCTGGACTTGCTCACTGGCATTGACGTACGCCGCTTCATTACCTTCGGCATCATCAAAGGTTTCCTCTATCGTGTACACAAGTACGCGATAGCGACCTCAACGACCCTACCACCCGCACCACCAACTAGCCTGCAGACAAGTGCCGCGACATCACTCGTGAACCCCCGCGACTCAGACACTACCACGATCCGTGGTAACGAACGCGTACACCATTCCTCCCAACCAAATATTCAGACCCACGGTCACCACACTTCCCAACCCAGTATCCACACGCATCACCCGTCCTTCTCCATCCATAGACCGAGTGTCGCTTCAGCGATGCCTATGAATCCTCATCATCTTCAGCAACAGAATCCCCAACACCTCGGTGTACAGAAGGGGGAAGAACATCAAACCCTCGAGGGCTTGGTGAGCGATAGGGACAAGAACGGGAGCGGGTTGCCTCTGTTGAGGTTTTTAGATGGCATGCACTGTTTCGATGAGATATGTACGGAGTTGGGATTGCCAGAACGTGTCGTCGAGGGGAAGGTACGGGGCATGGGTGAAGGCGCTGGAGTAGTTGTTCATCGATGAGAAGAGTTGAAGAGAAATGCTGTGTCAGACTTCTGTATACTATGCCCTAAACCCCAATGCTTATATCATGCTGGCGCCAAACAATGCATCCCCCAAACAAAACCATGAGCTCAGTGCGATGTTCCAAAACCAAATGTCCAGAGAGAATTCTGCTGCCGTTTCTCATGCACCTTTACCGCGTACCTCCAATTTTCTAGGCTTCTTCTTCTCCTTCTTCTCTGCATCTGCACCACCATTCTCCTGGCTCGCCTTCCGCTGCTGCGCAAACTCATCTGCCGCACGTCTCAGCGCCTCAGGATCCGGTATACCGTCCTCCTCCCCACCCATCTGGTCTTGCATCTGCCCATCGACGTCCTTCTCATCACCTTCCTCTCCACCTTCCGTCTGCCCGTCCTTATCCTTACCATCCTTCTTCCCACCCCCAAGCTTCACCCACGGCCCATGCACACCACCCACCCCAGCACCCACCAACGTGCCAACAGCCGTCGTAGGAATGGTAGCCACAGTCCCCACCAGCGTGCCTACTACCGTGCCCAGTCCCGCTCCCACGGCCATGCCAATACCACCACCGCCTACACTACCCTGAAACGCGCCTGAGCTGAGTACGCGCGCCTTTTTCGAGTTTCCATGCGCTTCAATCTCCTTGTTGTATGCATCTTGTAGGTACTTCTCCCGTTTCGCAGGGTCTTTGATAGTTTCGGCGGCGGCACGGAGCGACGAGGCGGTTTTGGCGGAGGCGAGCGCGGACTCGGCGCTCGCAGCGGCTTCTTTGAGTTTGTCTTCGGGACTGTCTGACTTTGCGGCTATGCTCTTCAGCTCGTCTACGTCGGGGACCGAGGAGGGTGCTTGTTGGTTTAGCTTCTTGGGTGGCATGACAAGTTACTTTTCTTTTAGTCGTTTGGAGAAACGTTGCTGAGTGAGGTGTTCGGAGCGAACTTTCTTTGTGTGTGAGAGAGCGCCATGATGATGCGTCGTACGTAGGGGACTCCTTTGGGCTTTGGTCGTATCCTTGGAGGGTGCAAGTTCCCGTTATGACGTCATTTATTCACGACTCCGCTCGTCGCAAAACCTGGAAGACTGCGAGCACAGCGCGTTCCGAGGACGGATCACTTTGTCAAGCATGGAGATTAGGGGTTGGATTCGAAACGCAGTGTATTCAAGTCTAGGGGTAGCTCGCTAATTGAGCGTTAGGGTCGCTTCACCATTTTCTATGGTAGATGTAACCGAAGTCTATGATACACCCTCTACGAAACTCTATCTCTCACTCCCAGCTTAGGGTCCAGCTACCTTGCCAAGCTCCGCCACTGGTCAAGTCGTTCAGACCTGTCAGCTTCAGGACGCTGCTGGTAGAGTTGAAGTCTACCTTGCTTGCATCGATCGTCTCGCCGTTAAGCTTGACCTGTCCAACAGATGAAGCTCCCATGATGGTGACGTTGGCAAGCGCGTTAGTGTCCTTGAACTCGCCCTGAACATCAGCCTTGAGCTGTCCACTCATAGCAGCGAAAGTAACATCTAGGCACGATTCCGGCTCAAGAGATTCGCCGTCGTCAACATATAGGTTACCAGAAGCAGTTCCATCTGTTGATAGAGCAACGATGAGACCCCATGGGTTCTTCCGAGACTCAGTAGTGGTATAGCCAGGCTCTTGAGTCGGCAGTACTGCGCCACCGCGGACGTATACGGGGATATGGCCCAGAGGAGCTGAGATGGTAGTGTTGACACCAGCTTCAGCCTGGACACGCTCGCCAGAGTACCAGTCGAACCAGCTCTCGCCGTCAACGATACCGGGGAAAACACCATTGACGGTGTCAACCTGAGGCTCAAGAACGGGGGTGACGAGGATGTTGGGTCCCAACATGAACTGTGTGTCGACACCTGCGAGCTGTGGCTCGTTCGGGAACTCCCATGCGAGCGCACGCATCACGGTAGAACCAGTGGTGTGGGCGTCGTTGAAGAGTGTGTACATGTAGGGCAGCAGAGAGTATCGGATGTGCATGGCGGTCCTAGATGCAGAGGCTACGGCATCCCAGACGTAGGGCTCCTGTGGAATGGCAGAGAGCACGTTGTGGTTGCGGTAGAATGGGAAGAAAGCAGAGAGTTGCATCCAGCGGGCGCAAAGTTCCATGTCGGTGTTTCCGTTGAACCCACATGTGTCGACACCAAACATGGGAATACCGAAGAGCGAGAAGGATAGAGCCTGAGGAATGGAGAAGAACATGTAGGCCCACTTGGAAGCGTTGTCACCACCCCAGTGACCAGCCCACTTGCCGCTACCAGCGAATGTGGAACGCCCGATAATGAAGGGTCGCTTGCCAGGGAAGACTTCGAGAAGACCCTGGTAGGTGGCATTGATGATCTGGTGGCCAAAGAGGTTGTGGACATCGTACTCCTCAACGCCATTCTCATGTGTCGCGTTAGGGCTGACAGCGTGAACAGCAAGATCAGCTCCACCCTGGACATGGTTGATGACGTATGGAGGGTAGTTGACGTTACGCGAACCGGGCGTAGGCTCTGATCGGAAGTAGCTGGCAGTTGTGGAAACCTCTGCCGTGGGCTCTGCGGACAATGCAGCCTGGCTCGAGGCACCGGCTGAGGCTGAAGCAGCCTCGGTTGCGTTGGTGATGTTGAAGCTTTCAGGGAAGTCGTAAACAATGTTGCCTACCTCACCAGGCAGAGAGAAAGGTGGGTGAACAGGGTTCAAGGTAACGTTGCCAGTACCGCACGAGCCGACACAGAATGAAGAGACTTCAGTCATGTCAACCCAGAAGCCGCTGAACGGCACTTCCTTGTACCACTCAACCATCTCCTTAACCCACCAGGCTACACCGTTGGCAGATAGCCAATCGGGGAAGACAGTGTATCCAGGCCATACAGCACCGATATATTGGCTGCCATCAGGGTTCTTCAGGAAGACACCAGACTCATTGCCGCGTGTGTAAGTGTCGTATGCGTCACTTGCGTTCTGCGGATTCGGGATGTAGATCGCCGCGTCCACAATGGGTACAAAGTGCTGGTTGTTTCCGTGCAGCCAGCCAAAGAAGTCCTTGACACCAGAGGGAGAGAAAGTCACGGGATCAAGAGTGAAGTCTCGGTATTGGTCCATATAATCGATGTCGAGCCAAATAGTTTCTAGTCATGGTCAGCAAACATGCTCAAGCGACACAGTGCGAATAGAAGCTTACCCATAGGAATGTTAAAAGCTCTCATAGTCTCAACAACCTCTCTCAATTCTGTCCAGTTGCGGTAACCCCATCGACACTGGTGGAAACCGAAGGTCCAGTACTGCTGCATGGCAGGCAGTCCAATCGCCGACTTCTGGTACTCCTTGGTGACCTCAGGCTGAGAAGGTCCGTCGTAGAAGAATAGATCGATCGCACCTCCCAGTGTCCGCCATGAGAGATGGTCAGGCTTCATGACAACATCCATGCCGTGTGTGTTACGGTAGTAAACACCATGGGAGAGAGACTCGTACTTCGATCCAGTTGGCTTGCTCTCGTAGCCATAGTTACTTTGCTGCATCTCAGACTGTTTGAGAGGAGTCCTGCTACCATTGCCACCCTTCTCGAAGTAGCGGGTTTCCAGGTAGAACGGATGGCTACCGTAAAGATTGCGGTCGATTGGGTCACCAACATCAGCAGCGTAGATGGTCGCGGTGAAGTTATTGTTCAGGCGGAGGCCGTGGATACGTTCTCCCAGACCGTAAAGATTGTAGTCTTCAGGCAGGCTGTTCACAAACTCGACAAACTGGTTCTCGTAGATGAGATGCGAGCCTTGAGTAGTGAAGATGATGTCCCCAGTAGAGCGACGGCCGACATTGAACCAGAATGATGGCTCATTGCCCCCTTGAATTCGGTTAGCTAAGAATCTCGGGAACCCAACAATGTCCTTGGTGGGATGACTTACAATCAAATTTGAGGTCTGTGCCCTCCGATGAATCCTCGGCTTGCGGCCTTGGGATGAGATCCTCAGGAACAATCCATTGGGACTGGTTGCTAGCATCTAGATGTTTGGGGACAATGCTAACAGCTAGTCGCCCCTTGGCCTGGTATTCAACCTTCAGGTCTAGCTCCTCGATATCGGTACCGTAAGCATTGCAAGGTGCTCCAGCCAGCGTCAAGGTGGCGCTCAGGCCACGGTCGTTCTGTTCAAGACCAGACGCCTTATAGCCTGGGCAGACATCCTGTGCATTGACAGCTTGCGGATCGTAGATGTTGGGGATCTGCTCAACGCCTTGGTCCACTGTGGGAGGAAGAGTAAAGACAGGGCGGAATGAGGTAGGTGTGCCAGCCAGGGTCGTGCTCCAACCGCCGTCAGACGAGCTGATAGGTGTCTGGCCAGTTGTAAACGACAAGAAAGACGAGAGCAGCGTTGAAGCTTGCAGATAGCTTGAGCGCGACATGATAGATGTGCTGAACCAGTCGAGTGCTGCCTGAAGATCCTTTGGGGTCCATGACGGCCTGGTCCCTTTATAGCTTTCCGCACTGCTGTCCACTGCATTAGGCGCCATATTGGTTTGCTGAGTGAATCTGCGATTCCCCGCAGTGAAGGAACCTGCAATGACGCTGAGCAACAGGAACTGGACTCGAGGAGGCTGGGCGCCTGCATGCACCGTGCATAAGCGAGCTCCGTGCGGGGGATGATCATGGGGGAACGCGCCGACATTGAGCGAATAGGAACTTGCGGAGACATGCAGTTCCGTCGATGTGTGGGGATCGTGAATTGGGAAGTCGAAGGCGCGCTTCTAGATTCGAAGCTTCGTGGCTTGAAGCTTGTGATAGCTCATAATGCCTGGTAGAAGCGACTTACCCGTGGGTACATCCAGTGCGGGATGCACCCCAGCATGCGGTACAGCGCGACAATCCTGAAGGAAAAGAACAAATCCCTGAAGGAAAAGAATCGTTTCATTGTCGAGGTTGGAGGTTACAACAGCAACGTAGGGTGGGCAGGTGATGTCAAAGGCGACATCTTCATTTGTAGTTTCAATGTTTGGCACGAGAGTCATCGTGCCTGCTTCGACATGAACTGAATCAGTGGGTGCGACCTGTCGGAGGAAAGCTGCTAAGCATCCCCGAACGCCTTCACAACGCTGCTGCTTCCTCGGTCCACGTGAACATCCTAGTCCCGTTCCGAAGCTGACAAGAGCACAGGTCTTGGACGCGCCGCGGAATGTATTTCGGTAGAGCCACAAAATGTACATGCACGCCACGATATGGCGGGTTCAACGTTCTGTAGGCCACATGTCATGACAGTGGGGTCGCACGCAGATCTCTCCACAAGCACGGTTGCTGGTCACGAAGGAAGAAAGCTTATACAAACAGCGATGCTGTTATGGAATTGACGTTTTGTTGTATTTCATTGATACTGTTTGTTTTACATTACGTTAGGGTATTAAAGTACAAGAATCTTAGATGTCGTCGTGACATTGCATCCGCTCTGCAGGATGGTCCGTAGTATTTGCTCCTTGCTCGCATTGCATCATGGAGCTGCATGCAGTTCACGGCCTCGCGTGTCCTAGCGTTTCCCGCGTGCTCCCTTCCCGTGCGTCGGAGTACAGGGCTGTCGCGCACGCCCTCGTTGGTCCAAAGTCGGGACAAAGAAGTGGAGCGTCGAGTGGTATTACACTGCGCGCAATGCGATCCTTCCTGAGGGTCTCGGCCCGTGGGATACAACGAGTGTGGGTGCACGCAGTACACGGCCCGCATGGGTATAACTACAAAGCTCAAGCGCCCCCAATGTCATAGTTGGAATGACGGTAGGGTAGGCGGCTTGTATAGCTCACGTCAATGGCGAGTAGCTTGTAGGCCTGCTGTCCTCGCTGGGTCGATGGAAAGTCTTGTATTCGGCGTATTCATCGCCTTCTTCAGCAAGATACAGTCCATCGTCCGGCAGCCAGCTTCGCGAATCGTGCGTAGCTCGGGTTGCCGTCGTCATTGTAGAAGCCCGTGCGGATGCTCGACGTGGTGCTGTTGGTGGTATAGGAGATTGCTGTCGCGGGGGGGTATAAACAGTTGGTGATAAACGATAGTTCGGGTTCATAGGGCTGGGTAGTACCATTGAACCTGGATGTAAAAGCAAACCTGATGCAGCAGGAGGTGCACCAGGTGAAAGTGGTTCTGGAATGAGACTCGAGTGTAGCATGGCGGACTGAGCCTTCTTTGGAGAAAGAGATAGTGGCTTAGGGAATGTGGATTCTGTTGGTGTACGCGCTGGGTTGCGTGAAGGAACGGTGGGCGTGGTCGGCTCACCATTTGGTTGATCGCCTATGATATCCTGGTACCAGTCGTAAGAACGAAAGCTGAAGCTTGGGCTTGGGGGTGGCAAGTCGGGTAGCGGAAGTTGGGGGGGCTTGCTCTCCAGTTTCGAAAGTGTTTCTCTGACGGGGGAAGGTGGTTCGGAATCACCTCCGTTTGAACTGTCGTCGGCTATCGAGACACTGTCAACAGAGTGTCTTCTGTTCGGTAACTGGCTGAGTTCGTATTCCGAGTTTCGCTTTTCCGTGGTAGGCGTGGCATGAGAAATGGAAATCGATGGAGGAGCGGCTGTGGGCGGTATGTATTCCTCAAACTTGTATCGCGGCGCACGATCACGGGTTGGAGTACTGCTGCGAGGAGTATCGTTACCCCGAAGCGAACTGACGGCATTGATCAACTCATCATCGAGTATCATGCTCTTATTGATATTGACATTGACAGCATACGATTTCGATTTCGTTGGTGGTGGTGGAAGAGGATGCTCCATGAGCGGATGAGGTCTTGGACGAGGTGGCAATGCCTTTTCTGTCGAGCTTCGTGCGTGCTTCTCCATGGATCCTGACCTCTTGTTGTCTGGTTTCTCCTTCTTCTCATTGAATGCAAGAGCCCTGGCAAAGAGCCCAGGGTCCATGGTATGTTGTTGGTTGAAGACTGCGTTCTGGGGACTGTTTGGTAGTGATGCTACCAAGGTCCTCTGATCTGTGGCATTCGAGGCAGACCTTTGGCGAGTGTGTGAAGGCGCTTCGATTGTATGGGTGCGTGGCCGTCTTGCTCGAATCCTCCAGAACCAGTAACCAGCTGCAATCATCAACACTACCATTCCTACAACGCCTACACCGATACCAATAGCCGAGCCTGGGGTTAGTCGCGAAGTTGGCTCGGCGCCCGATCCGCCAAGCGGTGCAGCACCGCCCATGGTAACACATCTTGCGCTCGAGCACGCTTTGCCGCTTGCGCAGTCGCTATCCGTAGAGCATGTCTCGGTGGGTCCCTTGGAAGTGTCCACAAGGCTTGGCTGGTCGAGTGAGTTGGTTACGCTGGGAACGGGAGCATTCGTTTCAAGTTGGATGAAAGAGAAGTCGGATGCCAAGTTGGTAGGTAGTGCGGTTGGTGACGAGGACGCGATGCGTAGGGATGTAGAAGTTGCGCTTGGTTTCCGTTGTCTGGTAGAAGTACCAGTCGCTCTTTGTGACGAAGTAGATGTAGCTGGTGCTCGTCGCGATGAGGTGGATGTAGTGCTTTGTGGTCGTCGGCGGGTAGTAATGAGTGTGGTAGACATTATTATTAAAGATTGTGTTGAAGCTGGATATACTGATAAGGAGTGAGTGAACGACGCCGCGCCGATACCTCAGCCACTTCGTCAGGATGCGCAGGCTTCTTTATGTGATACACCAAGTTGTCCAAAAAGAAAGCATGTAGAACGAATGTAGTGTGTATGAAGGATAGTAGTAGGTGTTCACAAAGTCACGAAGATCCGCGATCGACAGAGTCCTTGCGACACAACATCGCTATGCAGGGCGGCACGGGTTAGACCATATCTTGTAGGGTCCGGCAGAAGAGCGTGGAGCTAAAGTTTATTGACGATGCACGCACGGTGCGGGCGATCCACGTTCGGTTGGAGGTTTGACGATCCTTAGTGCGCAACCCAACGTCGCACCCGTCAAACCTTGTCCCCAAACATTGCTTTTGCCGCAACAGTTGACAGTGTGTGTGAGGACAATAGAGGTATATTACGACGACGGAATGTACCGTTGTGCTGATCGAGAAAAATTGAGCACCCAGTTCCTGTTGCGCCCAGTATTGAGTACGTTGCGATTGCTGCTGTTAGTTCCCCTGTCTACCTACGTAGCCGGATTCGGCAGCCGTAAAAGCACCGTAGGGGCCCGAGTCAGGAAGTTCACGGGTGCGCCTCCAAATGTGGTACCAACTCGTTTCAGGGGCACGGAAATGGTACCTGCATATACTATTTTCTGCCTGCGAGCCATCCCACTACGTCTTTCGCGCTGCTGTCGGGAGGGAAAACAGGGTACCAGACTTTGACGATGACTGCGTCTTCGATCGCGAGGGCGCATCTCTTGATCAGTGTCTTATCTTGCCATCCAAAGGTGGGTAGTCTCAGGGCATTTGCAAAGTGTAGATTCTCGTCCGAAAGCAGTTCGTAGGGTAAATGCAGCCGATCCTTGGCCTCTTTCTGGTAGGCAGTGTCCTGAGTCGACAATCCAAATACACGCTGTGCGCCGAGGTCGCGTAGTTTGACCATCTCGTCGCGAAAGCTGCACGCCTGAGGTGTGCAGCCTCGTGCTCCTGGTATGGAGTTCCAGTCTTCAGTGATTGTTTCACCAGGTGCACCGGTACGCGGATAGCAGAAGACGATGGTCAGGCCCGGATAAATCGAGACATCAAGCCAGTCGCCTGACGTTGCGGACAAGGATACGGAAGGTATCTGTGTTCCACTCAAGTGCGAACACGCTCCGTCATCCTGAGGGACAGGTAGGTCCGAAGGGAAGGATGTGTCTGTGCTCGTCAGCACTCGGTCTTTTGAGTATCTGTGCCACTAACGAGCCATGTTAACAGCCGGCCGTCGGTACCGAAGTGTCGTCAAGTTACTCTTGCCTGGCTCACGCGCTACTCACAACGTGCGCTTCGGTCGCCGTCAAGTTGGTGCTTAGGGGACTGTCTATGAGTTGGTAGAGGGTTGACCCTGATGCCCTGAATCGACCTTGCACGAGCGGGGTCCGCAATGACATTTCAACAAAATCGCGACGATCCAAGGTCTAAAACCAGATCGAGGTGAGAAATCGTGATACAGTATTGAGTCAGCCTTGGCTTTTTGCTTTGCTGTCTGATGGGGGTGTATCGTGGTGTTGTCGGCAATGGCAGACGGTGAGTGGTGGTGAGAAGGGTCGGGTGGCTTGAAAAGCATTGAACAAAGGTTCAGGTCTAATGCAGGATATTGCTTTGCTGTCAGAACTACTGTTTGGTACTGCACTAAGAAGCCGCGGGGTAAGAGGCCAATGTCACCGGATCGCAGTGTCCCGCGTATGCTTGCTTTGTGATCTGCCAAACTAGAGCATGTGCTTACTTGATGTTTGGTAGGTGGCGGTTACGCGGAGGGTAACCGCGTCCCGCGTCCCTTATTCTTGTATCACGGGATTCCATAGCATAGTGTCATAGCTACGATTGCACAAATGAGGGCGGAAGTTTCCATGCAGAGGTGAGTGAAGACAATTGTTCGGTTCCTGGATTAAAGCCATGTGCGAGTCTGGCTTGGTGGGTATCGTAGCCACGCTACGTAGTCTCAATTGCTTCTTGCATGTCATTTCGCTTACACGATCCACGACTTTTCTATTTCTTAGCCTTTGTCTTGGACGTACGTATTCTTATCCATTGCGTTTCCCACAGGAAGTACTGTAATGAAGCTTAAGTTTTACAATCGTGCAGCCGTTACCAGGCCAACAGCATGCAACAGCAGGAGAGCCACACTCACACCCCAAGACACAGGCATCATGAGTACCCTATGGGCTTCGAAGTGTTGTAGTTCTACCCAATTGAACATCTAGATGTTTGTATGTGTAGGGAATCTTGACAGTTGACAGGTTGAAAACACCACCCCATTCACGTATGATTCTAACATCTACTTCTTACACGGGATAATAGAATAAACAGAAACTCGACAAGACTGCTGAAAATTATTTGCAAGCCCATATAGAATGCAACGCACTTATGTATATAGCAAGGTGACACCACATTGCAGTGATGCCGAACAAAGTGGGGTCGAGATCGGCGCTTCTGGAGCTCCTCCACGTCCAATCGTGACATCATTAAATCTAAGTAATGCGCCCGTCATCATTGGCCAACTGGCAGCTGTCGCGCTCATAGACAGCCCTTCACTCTTCACCTCTCTTTACAACATTAATGCAGTCACTACGTATTCTACGACCCTTACGAACCTCACTCAAGCTCCAATTCAGCCCCACCAGTCGTCTTCAAAGAGCTCCGTTTACATCAACAACCGCAGCCATGGCTCAAGAATTCAAGCTCAAGGATGTCACTTCCTTACAAATGAAGAATGGAGACAAGAAGGAGGTAGAAGTCGAGGGTGTTGAGGGAGGAAAGGTGCTCCTGTTGAAGATCCAGGACCAGGTGCACGCTACCAGTGCCAACTGCACACATTACGGCGCGCCTTTAGTGAAGGGTGTATTGACACCAGAGGGTCGTTTGACATGCCCATGGCACGGAGGTAATACACTTATGATACATGTGTTGCTTGCTCAAGACTGACATTCGTAGCCTGCTTCAAGGTCTCGACCGGAGACGTTGAAGACGCACCGGCGCTCGACCCCATTGCGAAGTACGAAGTAGTCGAAAAGGATGGCGCCGTATACGTCAAGACCACCGAGGACGCATTGAAGGCCAACCGCAGATACTTGAACATCAAGTGCTCATCAGTGAACGAGGACAAGGTGCTAGTCATCGGAGGTGGTTCAGGTACTCTCGGTGCCATTGAAGGTCTAAGAGGCGGCGGATACAATGGCAAGATCACCGTGATCTCCAAGGAAGGCTACCAGCCCATTGACCGAACCAAGCTGTCGAAAGCGCTATTGGCTGATATTTCCAAGGCGGCTTGGAGGTCAAAGGAGTTCTACAAGGACGCGTCGATCGACATTCTCGAAGACGAGGCGAAGAGCGTAGACTTTTCCGGCAAGAAGGTGTCCACAAAGTCTGGAAAGGAGTATGAATACACGAAGCTGGTGTTGGCGACTGGTGGTACCCCAAGGTGGTTGCCACTTGACGGTCTGAAGGGTGACCTGGGCAACGTCTTCCTTCTTCGCACTCTGCCCGATGCACAGAGCATCCTCAAGGCTGTTGGGGACAACGGCAAGAAGGTTGTGGTCGTTGGCAGCTCATTTATCGGCATGGAGGTCGGCAACTGCCTTGCTGGCATGAAGAACGACGTGACCATCATCGGCATGGAAGAGGGTGAGTAACCCATCTACTCTCATTGATTGTATCCTAACGTTATCCCAGAACCAATGGAGCGCGTAATGGGAAAGAAGGTTGGCAGCATCTTCCGCGGTCTACTCGAGAAGAACGGCGTCAAGTTCAAGATGGGCGCCAGTGTTGAGAAGGCCACTCCTTCTAAGAGCGATTCATCCAAGGTTGGTGCTGTGCATCTCAAGGACGGAACCACGCTGGAGGCAGACCTGGTCATCGAAGGTGTCGGTGTCGCGCCCGCGACTGAATACCTCAAGGACAACTCGAGCGTTACGCTAGAGAAGGACGGATCGTTGAAGACAGACGAGTCCTTTGCAGTCAGTGGCTTGAAGGATGTGTACGCCATCGGTGACATTGCAACATACCCGTACCACGGACCAGGAGGTAATGGCACACCGGTTCGCATTGAGCACTGGAACGTCGCACAAAATGCCGGTCGCTCAGTAGCCAACACCATCAACAACCCAGGATCCAAAGCCAAGCCCTTCATTCCCGTCTTTTGGTCGGCCTTGGGCTCGCAGCTGCGATACTGTGGTAATACTGTTGGTGGATACGACGACGTGATTCTCCAGGGCGAGCCAGAGAAGCCGTCGTTTGTCGCGTACTACACCCAGGGCGAGACAGTCGTGGCCGTCGCGAGTATGATGAAGGATCCCTACATGACACAAGCAGCAGAGCTCATGCGTAGGAACAAGATGCCCAGCAAGAGCGAGCTGCAGAAGGGTGTTGACATCCTGGAGGTCGGTCTGCCGAACGAGATCAAGATGTGAAGTGGCATGACTGCAGGAGAATAACCATAGTGAACTACCACATCATGAAAGTACGCTGAAGGCATGTCACCAGTTTGTGGAACCTATCTCGTGCGTTCTCAATGCAAGGCATCTAATTCCAAAGTTCTAGGCCCCTAGTTCACGTGATTTTCTCTTACAATCATGGTGTCCCCCGCAACTTAGTACTACCTCCGCAGCTTCCGGATCTACCTTCCTACTCATTCTATCATATACGTGCGCATGACCAAGTATTCCAGCGACACGACGAGGGTAGACCCGTCTGATCAACGCTGTCACAATCTGCTTCAACAACGTTGGAAGCAGTAGTTCCTCAACATTGACCCGACATGTAACTCAATCTGATCATTACGTAGGAAACGGCAATCTAGAGCTTACGTTGGAAGATGGTTAAACTCAAAGTAAGGTGAGAAGAGACCAATATGCCCGACTCGAACAGCGGATCCATGCTCGCGGGGTGCGACCGTTGCAGTCTGGAGATATGCTCCGCAAGATGTGCCGTAGGGCGGTGGGAAGGAAATGAAGCGTGCAGCAGGCATTTTCCCAAAGTGACGTCAAGCCGGACGGCAGAGGCTTGTGTCGCACAGCGCGAGGGCATCTGGAGATGGCGCAAGAGTCGAGTGACGGTGGGAGCGGGAAGGTGGGTCCGCTGGTTGCACGGCAAGGGCGATCGAGGCGCCAAACATCTAATTTCAAATGTTCCGAAGAGCGGCCTAACGCTCGCCCAAAGGGGAAAATTGTACAGAGCAGACGGCGCGACTCGGACTGCAAGGTTATCTTGCCTCGTTCTGCGTGCTCCAACTGAGCAGGAGACGCAGAGATGCATGTCAGTCAGTCAGTCAGTCAGTCAGCCAGTCGGCTGCTTCTTCTCATTGGACGCGTTGGCGAGGAATGCAAAAACATGCAGGGCAAGCCTCCCTTACAGCGTGGACGGCTGAGACATGGTGACAGCGGTTTGGTCAACCTGTCTTGTTGCGAACCTCCGTCGTTACTGCTACACGCGTGGATGTCCTTGTTGTGGATTGTCAGATGAAGTCAGGGGGGCAGCATCTGGGCTTGGTTGTGCTGCCCATCCCGGCAGGGCGCGTCATAACATTCCGTGACAAAGTTGGGCGTGTTGTCGATGTTTATCGAGTTGCTTTTGCTCTTGGACGCGCCGGCCGCTGAGAGCACGCGCAAAGCGATCTGGACCGCGGCGGTCATACGGACGAGTAGATGACAAGAATGGCTCATGTACGTCTCGCAGCAGGCGTGAGGTCAAGCGACATTCAAGGAGCCGGCGACGTCTATATCGAGGGCCAGCCCAAGTTATCGCAGCTGCGCACACGGCGGGCGAGCGCATAACAGGCAATTTGCGGGCGGGTCGGTGCTGTATGAAACAACGACCCATGGGTGCTACTCCTATTCGAGCGCAGCCGTCGAGACAGGCGCGTCGAGCGCAGACATCGAGGGCATGGTGAAGGGCGTTGTTCGGGCGTGCGTGTTAGAGGACGCGCTGGGAGGACCTGGCTAGCTGTAGGCGTGAGTAATTATCGCATCTAGCAGACCAGCAGCCGGCGTCCTTGCTTTGGCGGGCTGGTTTATGCCGAGCCCATGTCGATGATGTGCATCTGCCTCCTTTCCCAAGCCACAGCCTTTACCGAAATTGCCGTCAAGACCAACCTCAGCCGCGCCTTCTCTTCTCTCCACTCACGTCAATCAACACGTCGAGGTCGAGCAGCTTCTCGCCGCGACCGTTAGATAGCCGACCGCGCTGTCACCGGCGCCGACTCGCACGACGGCCGACCTTTGTGCACCCCCTCTGCACGCTCGCTGCCCACGCTGCACGCGCATGTGAAGCTCTCTTGTCTGTCGCGTCCCAATTGCACGCCGGCCAAGGTTCAAACACACCGCACCGCCCGCAGCTCCGATTTGGCCACTCCTCCCCGCCCAAGCCCATTCGACAGCTCAACACCGCCAGTTGACGTTCCGCCCACAAATACTGCCAGCGCAGCTTAGGACCGATAACATAGCGCACCACCCCCCAAGCCCTGCACCTACACACGCCCGTCCCCAGATAATGGCCGCAGTGGCATCGCAGCCGCCGCATGGTCAGCAGCAGTACTACCAGCAGCAACCGCCCGCCGCAGCCTCGCCCGGCACCGCTCGCCGCCCGACGTCGCGACGGCCCAGTAATGGCGCGTCTCCCAACACGCCTACCTCCCAGAATTCTCCCCAGATGAGCAACGCGCCCACCACCAACGGCAGCGGGCCCATGGCGCCCCCCAGGACCTCGTCGCACCGCTCCCCCAACACTGCATCCTCGTCATCACAGCCCTCGCGGACACGCGAAGAGTCACGCCGGCGGGAAAAGGACAGCCCTCGCCAGACCACCAGCTCGACCCGAGCGCAGCCCGGCCACAGTCGCTCTGCCACTGCCATTGGCCAGCCCCCCGTAGGAACCAGCCTGCCCCGTGAAGAGAGCGCCGTCATAAATCGCATCGTCGTCTCCGACACCCAGGACGACATCGCCCGCGCACAAGCACGCCAAGGAGACGGCCCGTCCGTCACGTCGGGCGCAGATCTGACCCCCATCACCGGACTCAGTCTGGTCGGCAGCGAGGGCGTCGACGATGGCGGCCGCGGCGGAAGCGGAGGCGGAGGCGCAGTAGGAGGAAAGAGCAGACAGGACCACTCCAAGTCGGAGAATGCGAAGCGATCCAAGTTTGGCAACTACATCCTCGGCCAGACGCTTGGCGAGGGAGAGTTCGGCAAGGTCAAGATGGGCTGGAAACGAGACAGTTCGGTTGAAGTCGCCATTAAGCTCATACGGCGAGAGACCCTAGGGAGCAACTCGAACCGCCTCCAGAAGATCTACCGCGAGATCCACATCCTTCGCGGTTTGGACCACCCCAACATCGTGCGCCTGCACGAGATGGTCGAGACCGAGCGCCATATCGGTATCATTCTAGAGTATGCTTCTGGTGGGGAATTGTTCGACTACATCTTAAACCATCGCTACCTGAAGGACGGCCCAGCGCGCAAGCTCTTCTCCCAGCTGATATCTGGTGTTGGGTACCTCCACCGCAAAGGTATCGTCCACCGAGACTTGAAGCTCGAGAACCTGCTGCTCGACCGCAACAAGAACATCATCATCACCGATTTCGGGTTTGCAAACACGTTCGACCCCAACGACGAGCTCAGCGAGGAGATTGAGTACAGACTCGGAGACAAAGACTACATAAGATCTTTGGGACTAGAAGGAACCGACGCCGCCCGCAGAGGTGATCTCATGCAGACCAGCTGCGGAAGTCCCTGCTACGCGGCGCCTGAGTTGGTTGTCAGCGATTCGCTCTACACCGGTCGCAAGGTCGATGTCTGGAGTTGTGGTGTCATTCTGGTGAGTTCCCCCAACCTTGCGTCCCTACGCACTTGCTAACTAAATATAGTATGCCATGCTAGCTGGTTACCTACCTTTCGATGACGATCCAGCGAACCCCGAGGGCGACAATATCAACTTGCTCTACAAGTACATTGTCTCCACGCCTCTAACCTTTCCCGAATATGTCACACCACATGCAAGGGACCTGTTGAAGCGCATCCTTGTACCGGACCCACGCAAAAGGGCGGACTTGTTCGAAGTCGCGCGCCACAGCTGGTTGGCTGACTACGCGCACGTTGTTGGCTTCATCACCTCAAGCAACACCAACGCGGCAGAGGCCCAGCAGGCGTCTGTCTACTCGAGTAAGCATCTAGATCCACGTCACAGCAAGTGCATAGGTACTGACGTGATAGTAGAAGACACATTCGAGCCGCAGCCCACACTCGCTAGAAGCGCTTCTGTTCGTGAACCCTCGAAGCCGCACGCCGCGCCCGCAACCGCGCACGGCGGTCTCCAGACGAAGCGCGAAGCAATCAACCAGGCACCCTCCGAGAAGCCAAAGACCACCCGCGACACCAAGCGACGAACCGTGCAGGTCGAATATGTCGCGCCATCGTCGCAGACTGCCCGCGGCGAGGCATCCCCTCCAGTCGAGGCAACTCCAAAAGCACGCGGCAAAGAGGCCGACGTACCGCCCACCGATGGATACCAGTCAACATCGAGCGCCAAACCTCGTTCTTCTGGCACAACCTACAACTCGACCAGAAGGCAGGAGCCTCAGCGGTCTGTCTCTGATTACACAGCTTTCGGCAATGCGCCCCCATCCGCTACACGCCCGTCCACTGGTGGAGCTCTAGGCACGTCGAGACTACCTTCGCGAGGAAACTCCTACGGACAACCATCTGTCGCAACTGTCGCCCAGACAAATGCGGAGGGACGCTTTTCCCAGCCAAAGGGCAAACAATACTCTATATCGGCACCTTATGCACAGCAAGAGTCGTCTGAGGCTGCGGAGCCGCCCAACATTGGCCAGCCAAGCTCGCAGCGAGTGCAGTCTATACAGGTACCGCCACATGGCGGAGCTGGTGGCGGCCACAGGAGATCGAACACTGTTTCTTCGACTCTTGGGCGCATGACATCCATGTTCTCGGGTCGCCAGCCTTCATATACGCAGGATCCCAAGGAGTCGTTCACATCCACAGGTTCCTACGGCTATCCTGAGGAGAAGAAACAGAAGAGCTATCCTCCCACTTCCATGGCCGGACCCATGTCCAACGAGGCGGTTTCTTCGACAGCTGGCCCCAGAGCAAGCATGGAGTCAAGCCGACGGACTTCTTTCGGCTTCTCTAGGAAGAACACAGGCAACTCGGGCGACAACCCGAAATCCAGCCGCCGCTTCTCACTCCTTCCGTCTTCTCTTTCAAAGACGTTCTCTTCTCAGCGGGATAGTTTACCAGCGCAATCCTCCCACGAGCGACGCGGCTCCAGTTCTCGTCCTCGCGCTAGCTCGCGTCCCGGTGGGCCTTTCGGTCGCGTCACGGATTCAAGGTCTCCTAGTCAGAGCACCCAAGGAAGCAACATGCCCGGTCTTTATGACGGTCAACACGACAGTACTTCCAGAATACGGCAGCCCAACACGAGCGCCCCTGGACCTTCCTCGGCGCCAGCAAACCAAACCCAGTTCAGCGGCTACAACCACTCGGCACCCGAGTTTGACGAAAAATTCCCCAACCCACAAGGAGCGCATCCATCTGCCCAAGGAAACCGCCCGTACCGTCACCCCACGGACGACTCAGAAGCCGACATGTCGCAGTCACAGCAATTTAGTCAGCGAACTCCGTCCAACCCCTACCCTGCAGGCATGGGTGGTGACGACTCAAACCAGCAGCAGAGGAAGACAGCCGTGCTACAGAAAAACAGACGTTTTGTGGATGCGTACGACGAGCAAGGTAGCGGCAACAAGGGAAGTTCGGGTAGCTCTAAGAAGGTTATGGATTTCTTTAGGCGCATGGGCAAGCAGCGAACTAGCAGCCGTTAACGCGCCAGACGAGAAGTCGATGATTGCTGAGATTGTCCCCACAGGAAGATGGGCCACAGCAGGACGTGTGGCCAGACAGGTGTTTGGAACGATCTGCTTGTTTGACATTGGTGTGGGTGTTTTGGGAGCATACTGGCGCATTGTCTACGTTTCCTTCCTCTCTTTCTCTCTTTTTTCTTCCTCTTGGAACTGGTTCGCTTTGCTTGTTCTAGCTTGTGCTCGCTGGATACCACATATTCACGCACATGCGACCCTGTTTATGTTTTTTTACTCTTCCAACCATCATCAGCGTGCGGCATGCTGAGGTAATTATTGCATTAGCAGGCGTTTTTCTTTCTTCCTTTTCCTTTTTTCACTTGATGGCAACGCAAGATTGTGGGTTACGTTGCCAGGTAATCTTTACTCTCTCAGCTCGCTCTTCTTGGAGAGGGAGATGAGGCTGCTTGTTTAGTGTAGTCGTAGTTGTAGTATACAGGTTTTGGGAGAGGCGGTGGAAAGTGGAATTGATATGTTGCAATGTTCGATGTCGTTGATCTAATTATGGGTGAGATTGCTGCTTGACATTTATTGTGAAGACAGGAGCACTACGAGCAGTGTGGTTGTTGCCCAACTTGAAAGTGAAATTCACATAGGGCGGACTGAGACAAGTGAACATGGCATGGCCCATACTAAAGGACTAGTCACACAAGCACAATCAATCGGAGAACATTGTAACGCTGATGAACGACCGAGTACCACTCAACTGAATCGATTTTTGACTCTTCTATATAACCCTACCACATAGCCCAGGGTATCATTCGGTCTAGTTGCAGCCCCCTTGAACAAACAAAAACCCTGGCAAATGTCGCAATATCAACCGTCTCCTACACACAAATACACATTCTCTCAAGCGAAGAGCCCACCTATGAAGGCGGCAACTGCCCACCCTCCTTCGTCTTACCCACAGGCGGGTTCGGCTTAGTACCACCCGCCGAGTTCAAGCTACTCAAATAGCAATTCCAGCCGAGCGAAATAACATTAACAACCAAGACGCGCATCTCCTGAGGCACGTATTTGAAGTTGGTAAACTGGACCCAGGGCCAGACCATCAAGTTCTTCTGGTAGCCCGGCAGGTAGGCGTCCTTGAGGCGCTGGACGGGCGAGTTTCCTTCCATGTAGGCCATGGTGGAGAGGAAGAGGGCCATGTTGCAGGGCGCGAAGAGGAACTGGTCGCAGGCTACGCGCGCGAGAATCGTGCCGTTTGTGGATTGCAGGTTTACGCGCTTGACGAGGAAGTCGAACCATTTTGTTGCGGCGGGGCCGAAGATGCCTGGAGGTGGTGGTGTTAGTTTGGGATAGGGAGCTTAAGGGTTGGACAAATGGGATGAATTGGAGTTCGGATAAGGGGGTATAGAAGAGAGGGAGACGTACATCCTCCGTAGGCGGCCATGCGTCCTGTACGGGCGAGGTCGTGCTTATCGAGACCGCGGCGCTCGACACCTTGCTGGGCCATTGTGTCGCCGGTTGCGAAGAGTACCTGTAGTACGCCATGTCAGTTTCCATTGTTCGACATCATAGTTGCTCAATCCCTCTCTCGTTCTTGTATATCGGCTTGTCGGGCGTGCTTATCGGCCTGCTCGCTCGCTCGCTGGCTGTTCAAGTCGCATTGCGTCGCGCAAAGAGGCATTCGCGACTCGCAGTTCGAAAGGAAGCATGTGCATACCGCGGTAGTGATACTCTGCGTCAAGTACGGCGACGTCCTAAGCTTTGCCTGGTACCTGTCATTCAGATTAGCATTGTCCCTTTCGCATGACGGTGCTCCACCGCTTTTCCTATGTGACGTACCAGCGAAACGCCATTTTGAAGGTGATGGGAGAAGTCAATCGCCTCAGCAGCTAAAGATATAGCGCGTATAAATACTACTGAGAGCGAGTGACCCGACCACGGAAAAAAGGGTGCAAGAGTGGAGAAGGTGTGTGTGTGGAAAAAGAAAGTCGAGTAAGTCAAAGTAAGTTTGGTGAGCTTGCGGGACCCGATGATGTCGGTGCAGCAGGGTCCCGCGCCCGCACATGGCGGTCGGGGAGCTTAGCTTTTGAACCCCTTGATCTCCACTGTCAGGCTGTCGGGCCTCGACCGTGAACAAGCATTTATTCACGTACACAACTCTACATGCAAATATCAAAACAAGACAGGGCTCACTAGTAAGATGGGGAAGACAGAGTCAGTTCATAACGTAATTCAATTCCGAGCTCGTCTGTTCATGGTGGGGTATAATATGAGCAGACACCTAGTTACAAAAAGGACCGACAGTTGTTGTACAAAGGGTCGTAAAGGAAGAAATAAGGAAACAATGCGGGTTGGTATAATTCCTCGTACGTGATGCGACATTGCAATCCGTCCCATCTTCAACCTGATATCTCCGCATATAGCCCAAAGGAATCCCTAGATGAAAGAACGCCAGTCCCGCTGATCTCATCCGGGTATGATGAAGCTATGCTTGCAGAAAGCAGGTATCCAAGAAGTCATGTCGTAAATTTTGTGTAATGGGGTATGTAAAAAGGGCGACTAGTCGATTTCCATCCGTTGTGATGGCGCAGGTCCGCTCAATGATGGCATCTCTGTGTTGTATGTCTTGTCGTTTTGGACAATCTTGTCGTTGACATGGGGCTTCAAGCCCTTGTTGAAATTGTGTGTGCACAAGCAGGCGGTCACAATAGTGATGATGAGTAGGAGGATGGTGAGGATGGCAAAGGCAGTCAGCGACTTGCGGGCTGGCTTGTAGTCCTCCTGGCGGTTGGCATCGGCGACCCACATCCGGATGAGCTTGAACAGGAAGTAGCCGAGGGCGATGAAGTAGACGACGATGATACCAATCATGCCAGCGACAGACTCGCGACGGACCCACCAGGCGGCGAGGAACAAAAGGAAGAAGGTGATGACGAGGGCGGCTGCGGTAAGGACAAGTTCGACTGTCTTGGTGTTCTTGACGACGACCAGGAACTGCACGGTGAAGGCCAGGAAGAAGAAGAAGTCGAACTTTAGGAGCGCGATGTAAATCTATGTCGTAGTCAGTACGGCGTACACGAATGATGGTGGGTAGGCAGCAGTACCTGGTAAGTCAGATAGCGCCTCTTCAGTCTTGTATCGGCACTGATACGCTTGTAGATGGTCCAGGCAAACTCGTCGTACAGCTTCCATGCTTCGAAGGCGAAGATGACGGTAGCGACAGCCATCAGAACAGGCAGAGCAATGAGCATGGGCTTGACGTCGTCCCAGAAGTCTTGGGGAATAAAGCGGCGCGTGTTGAGGTCGTCGGCAGCGTCCTTGATCTGATCGAATTGGATAGCGGCGTAGATGAGAATACCGATGTTGTAGAGAACGAGCCCGATGACCTGGATGGTATTCTTCATGCGCAGGGCATCCCATGTGAGGAATAGTTGGTAGACGTAGCCGAACATGAAGACGGCGAGGAAAGTGGGAATCGTGCGGGTCTCATTGGCGCCTGCACCAGAGGCTGCGAAATGGATTTCATTCTGGAATTTGCTAAAGACATATCTGATGGGTTGTTAGCAGGCGCACGGTGGTGCGGGTGGCGCAGAGGCAGACGTACGACTCGAGGGCGAGGGCAATGCCGACCTGGCAGATGGCCGTGAGCATGAAAGCCCAGGTCCATCGCGTATTGGGAACGTACATCCTCGGTGGGCGGCGCACAACAGGCGGGAGCGTAGTGGGGAAGCCTTCGCGGTGGTGATACCCCCCAGGCTGGGTATCGAAAGAGGGCTGCGGTGGGTATGTTGGTTGATACGTCGTGTTGGGGTAGGGCGCGTAGCCTCGGTCGAGCGGTTGGCCTCCTAGGAGGGAATGACGGGCCTCGTGGTGAGTAATTTTGGCTATGGTGGCAGCCGCGATGGGCGGCTGGTGCGTGGGGATATAGAGGCGGGTGGTGAGGCGGGCGTGGTAGTGCGGCGCAGACAAACTGCGACCTGTGTCGGCGTGCGGTTTGTAAGGCTGCCGGGGTACTTGAGACAGAGGGCGGGCGCTGGGCAGAGAGCTGAAACCAAGGGAGTCGCTGTCGTCGGGGGAGCAGGTGAGCGCGCGTCGCTGAAACTAGTATCTTGGCTATGCGGAGAGGCCGAAGAAGCAACAGGCGATGACGAGCGACGGGACGGAGATGGGGGGGAGTTGGTGATAAGGAGCGATATCGACGGACAACAACAAGAGCGAGCGGCGGCGGGAGAGGACGTTGTTTGTTAGATCTTGGGGGAGTGGGCGGAGATGGGACGGCTGCTGTTAGGTCGACGCAGGTGCTGAGATGTGCGCAAAGTAGCGCTGGGAGAGCCCCGGCCGGTGTGGAGAAAGGCTGAAGGGGGTCTTGCCGTAAGACCCGCTCGCTGCTCCGTGTTTACTCTGCGTCAACGGTAGCCTAGGTGAGGCTTCTGTGGATATCAAAATACGAAGCACGAGAATGCGCACGCCAGGCGGTCTGACTTGTACAAGTACGGAACGACTGTCATGCTGCGGCGTGGCCCAGGCCTTTGGCTGCTCAGCTGCCTCTCGCTTTCGGCATCCTCTCACGCGCACAAGGCTTGGCCCCAGCATCTGCTGAACCATCGCCCACCTGCACCGCCCGGCGATTTCCTCTGCTCATTGGCCAGCCCGCGCTATCTTTAGATTGCACCTGTGGCGCAGGCCTCGACGACTACAGCGCAGTGGAGCTTCAATCTGCCGTCATTTTGCGCGACACCGACAGCTTTGCAGTCAGCTGTTTCGACCAATCACACTGCCATATCTGACATCATTAAGGACGCGTAGTGCACAGGGTCGCTGTTTCGACCGACGCAGTATCGGCCCGCCAAAAGCAGCGCTATCGCGAGTTGCGCCTCTACCACCACGACAAACACCCTCGCGCCGCAGCCATGACGTCTGGTGAGTTCCTGGGGCTCTAGGGTTCTGACAATGCGGCGAATACTGACACTCTTCCAGCAGAGCTAATCCTCCGCAAAGCTGCCGAGGACGGCTCCCTCGATTCGTACGTGCCCACCCAAGAGCCCACGTCCGTCGCATGTAGCACCTAACGCGCCCATGTGTAGAGCAGAATGGCCAAAGACACTACAGTACATCTTGCATCGCCTTGATGAGGTAATCCCGAACCACCCATATCCACAGCCATCACCCCTGACCTTCGCAGATCATCACCGACTTCCCCAAGCCACCCGCAGACGCACTTCCCAGGCCCACCACGTCCGCGACCACCGACCTGCCCTCGCGACCCAACACATCCAATGCCATATCCAGCCAAGACTCGCATGCGACCGACAAGGAGAACGCACCCCCCGCCACACCCCCGCGGCCGCCTGTGCCCGCCTTCTCCGCCTCGACCGACTCGCAAAGCGTCCCAGCAGACATCACCACCTTCTACTCCTCGATACGCTCCACCCTCTCCAACAACTTCGCGAAGCATCCCCCACACACCGTTCAACGTCTAGCCGAGCTCGTGCTTGAGCCCAAGAAACGCTACCGGTACCTGCCGCCCTACCTTCGCGCACTCGATCGCGTCGTCTCCGTCTCCTCGCCCCTCACCATCTTCCCTCTGCCGCAAGCCGTGCTGCCGACTTCTAGCGGACTGCTCAATGGCACCACATCCACCACTACGCAAACAGCCCAGCTAGGCTCAGACGAGGCACTAGGCGGGGCCCTACTCACGCCCATCCCTTGGCTTCAGAACCGCGGCCAGAACGAGCTTATCTCGGAAAGCACAGAAATGGTCGACGGTCCGAACGGTGCTGGACGCATAGAAACAGTGACTGTGGGAATGCTGAGTGGCCAGCGGGCGGAATCTCCTACCTCCAATGTTGCCCAAATTGCTTCGTCACATCCTGAGGGCGAGACACTGCCGTCTACAGGGCCCGTCACCCAGGGCGAACTTCTGCGCCAAGAACAAGAGGCCGGCATCGTTTTGAACAATCCCCACAGCATGACCACCAGCCCGACAAGAACTACATTCGGCGAGATGGAAGGCGGAGGTACCATCGTAGACACCGTCGAGGGCGAGGAAGAAGCGCCGCATGCCCGAGGTCCAGAGGTCATTGGCATGGAAGATACAGGCCCGCAGAAACAGGGAAAGCTCAACATCGAAGGAGCCATTGGCAGGCCGAGCCTTATCCACAAGAGTCCAGAGGCCAGCTTACCAGCCGACACAGAAGCCAAGGATCAAGACATGAAAGATGGCGGATCCGAGAAACCCAGCAACGCAAAAGCGGGGGATGAAGAGCCCAAAGAAGATGCGGCAGCGAAGGACGACTCGAAAGATGCAAAGGATGTGGAAATGAAGTCGGATGATTAGGCGTCCCGAAACACTTCTCGTGAAGAGGGTGAGGCCGCTCCCAGCGCTGCTGTGGGCGAAATCTTGTCTCTGCTGGAGTCTGATACACCATCTTGATATTCCGTCTTCGTGGTCATGCCAACCAAGCAAATCTTGACACCCCATGGCGTTCATGTAAGCTTGAATGAGAGGAAAGTGTGAGATGCCCATGGCGACCGATAACGGTACAGCATGTACAAGGGCCAGAAGCAGACGTATGCGTATCAAGTGGCCAAGGTGCAGAAGAGAAATTTGAGTAAGACATTGGACAAAGGCCCTAGCATTTGAGACTGTCTATCGATATCACGGGCACTGGCAGCTAGTGTTCATGTTTTATTGTTGGCAGCATTGACTAGCAATCAGCCATGAACTATTCTATCAGATAGTCATGTAACAGTTCAGTCGTAGCCCATGTCCTACTTGCCGTCCCAACTAAACAACCTTCTTCCACCAGAGAATACCCCTATACCCATTTCCACGCTCACTCCCAATCTTCAAATACTTGACTTCCTCGCCATTCTCCTCCACCTCAACAATCGTATAATTCCTCTTCCCCTTCTGCCCCTCCCAAGTCGGCACATTCGCAACCGTAAGTGGACCATGGAAAATCTGGCCCTCCGTCTCCGTCGCAGGCAGCTCCTCGTTAACGCTATACGGTCCCGCATACCCAATACTGTGCTTGCCGACCAGGGCCCAATCGGCATCTGAGTCGTTGGGCTGGTAGGGGAAGGTGAGGTTCGGTCGGAACTCCGGTTCAGTGGCTGTGATGGTGGCGGACATGAAACCGGATTCTGTGTAGATGAGGAGGCCGACAGGGGCTTTGCCGTAGGGTAGGTCGGGGATGGGTTCGCCGTTTCGGGAGCTGGAAGTGTTTACCAGGGAGTAGGTTCCTGATAGGGCTTTGAAAATGGGGTTGGTGTCTGCGTTGGCTCTGGCTTTGGGGGGATGGGTGGGTTGTTCCTCTTCAGTTCGGGGCTTGATTTTGGCTGGGGCCGCTTGGTCGCAGGGACTGGGGGGTTCAGTGGGTTCGGGAGCCGAGCCGTCTGCTCTGCGGGCGGGTGGGTTGTCTTCAGTCTTTTGGCGTGGGACTATGGCTTCTGCGGGTCCGTCACGAGGACTAGGGGGTCCAGTGGGTTCAGGGCCCTCTGCTCTCCGGGCGTTGGTGATGGGTGGGTCCTCTTCAGTCTTCTGGCGTTCGACTATGGCCCTGGCTTTTCCCCCAGGGGGCTCAGTGATTGGTTCCTCCTCAGTGTTTCGACGTTCGACTACTGCTCCTGCAGGTAGGTCACGGGCACTCGGCGGTTCAGTTGGTTCAGGAGCCTCGGCGTTGTCTCTACGGGCATTGGTGATTGGGGGGTCCTCCTCAGTCTTTTGTCGTTCGACTATGGCTCCTGCGGGTGCACCGTAGGGTGCCGGAGTTTCTAGAGGCATACCGCGGGGTGTCAGAACGTACCAGTCAGTCTTCTGGCGTGGGTCGATTCGCTCCTTGACTGCGGCTTCGGGCGCGGGTGTAGGTAGTAAGTCACGTTTAGGTGGCACAAGGACTGTATCTTGTCGTCGAATAATGGCGTCTACCAGAGCTTGAGGTACGGGTGTAGGTGGAACATTACGTTTGTAGTGATCACTCCATTGCGGGAGGGCGGATGCCAGAGAGGCGAAGAGGATTACAGGAGTAACAGAGGCTCTCATCCTGCCGTATAAGATCGCCGGTGATGTTGGTAACAGTTGAACACTTTATGGGTAATGTTTGAGTGGGAACGTCGTGCTGCTTATGAAGCAGACAAGGTGCTTTATACCTACGCAGCGACATGATCGACGTCTGATTCAAATGGTTACACACGATCTGGACGACGTGATTGTCCTTCAGGCGTCACAATTACGCCGAACGGGCATCTCTTGTCCGTGCAGGCCAAGAGTAGTATGAGCACGTATCAATTTCCGGGATGGGGCCGTCGGCGATTTGCGGGGGATCCTCGCCCAAGTCGGTCTTCTCGATCCTTCGATTTAAAGCATAAAGCTGAGCGGTCCATCTCTTCAAGCTGACGGACCTCTCACGAAGAGTGTCCGAAATTGTTGTGTGAGTTCGAGGATCGTGGTGTTGAGTTGATGGAAGGCAAGATGCCACTTTGCCAAGGCACTGCAGGTCACATGTCGGGGCTGAGCACGTAAGCATCCATCGTGTAAAACTTGGAAACAACCGTTAGTGCGAAACACCAAGACAATCTATAGGGAACGACTTACAACATGTCAGCACGATATACGGTTACAGCCTGACAGCGGCATCAAGCCAGGAGACTAGCGTGTCTAGCATCGTTGCGGCGCCGAAGTTTCACCACCGCCACGGTCATGTCTGTCAAAACCCGCAAACGTGAAGACCCCAAGGTTGGCGATGCAATTCACCAGTCGGCCTCCAAGGCTTGGTGACCGCCGCGACGGATGTGGTGTCGATCTCTGCGCATCAGCGGCAGGAGCGTCCTTCGTCTCTGTATCTCCGCCAAGGTCTTCTCGGTCCATCTTTGCTGCCTCGATCTGCAGTTGCTCCATATTCGCAACATGGACTTCAAAGTTCTTGCGATATCCACTGGTATCGATTATTTCGCTCCCCTCCGGAACTGCCCATTGTCCCCGCTTGTAGGATCGTCTCCTCTTTCGGGCCATCGAGCTCTTAGTAACGTCTCTCGGAGGTCCGTTGCGGCTCAGCGGGATGACGTAGTGTGGGTGAATAGGGTTTAAGACGATTGGTGTGGCGAAAATAGGCTCTAGTACGATCTCGAGAGGAGTCGTGCGAAGGATGCTCATCTTAGGCTTCTTTGGAGAAGACGACAACTCTTCGGAGATTGGACATGATGCCTTACGGAGTACATCTACGTCAGCATCTGTGCGAACGTAAACATTCTCGTTCCATGAAACGCCTGCGTCTTCTCGTCGGCGCTTTCGCCTCGGCAGTTGCTCTGCGACATCGGTCCTTACAGGCTTGGGGATATCGGACCCTTTGAGAAGCTTATGCTGGGCTTTCGTGAGCGATTTCCATCCCAGATCTTGTTCATGGCCATCTCGGTCAGGGAATTCTGGATCGCATACGATTGTCCAGCGCCGGCCACGTCGTCGACTAAAGATCTCACAGTCCTCCTCAACACGACCGATGAAGCCGTAGTCTTGAGTGTCTTTATACCAGTGTAGTGCAGCTGTAGCACTGTGTTGCTTCCTGAGTCGGACATGTTCCACGTAAAAGTCGTTGCTCTCAAGAGACTGCTTCGCTTCCCAGGCCAACTCCATCTTGGAAAGATCTTCTAGCTCATTGACCAGATTGACTAGGTTTCTCTTGCAGTGCCTGTAAGACACATCCGTACCATCAGCATTTTTCCACCTAGGCTGCCCTCCCCTTGTCGCGACACGGTAGACTGACTGAGCATAGTAGCTGTCGGCAGCCTCGCCCCATTGAGACAAGCCATCATGGGCGTTGATTATGTTCTGGATACGCTGGAGCGTGTGCATCGAAGCATCCACCAGACACATCGGGCATATGGCTTTAGCGTAACTGTCGCTATAGGCGGGATGGATCGTGTGTCCACATGCGTTTGGAGGCGCAGACTGAGCGAGTTCCGACCGACGGTTTGGCGCGCTGGTGGATCCACGCTGTTTCGGAGGATCAGCCGGTGGTGCGTTGATATAGTCATTCTTAGAATGCATTCGTGGTGGTGTTGAAGCGGGTTTAGGATCCGAGTTAGTCGCCTCTCTCCCCGAAGACGAACCGTCCTGTAGTGTTCGTACTTTCTTTCTCGCTGGCGATTGTTCGTTTGGTCCTTCATATACGGGCTCGTTTGTAGCAGAGCGCCGTTTGCGCTTGCGTGTGGACATGTTGGTATCAGAAGCGCTCGAAGAGGGTTTCTTAGCGGCGACCGCCTTCTTCGCGGCTCGCATATGAAATGGAGGATCTGGAACGCTGAATGATCCCATTCTGCTTATTTTTAATTTCGTGAACTTAGTATGTGCAGGAGTTGCGATGGGTGTGTGTTTTGGATATGAGTTGGATTGTACGGAGGACGGGGGTTGGACGAGAGTGACGGGCGTGAAGAACACTACACCATATCCAAGCGATATTGTAGAGAAAGGGCGCTCGGACTGAAGCTGTGTGATGTCTTACACTGTCCTTTCACGCGTTTGCACTGTAGTAGTAAGGGGAGTGGAATGCGACATTTTTCCGCCTTCACTTCCACTTCTCATGCATCCACCGATGATACTGTGCAAGACAGGAGTGAAACCAGCTGATAGTTCTTAGCGGTAACGCATCAGAACATGCGTGTGGATTACGTCGGTACGTAAGTACCACGTGTCTATCACAGGCCACGGTTGAGATGCATCGCAACCTTGGTTCCCAGCAAAATTCACATGGCTCGTAAGTACGTGGTCACACCGACTGTCTTCTTGGGGTATCTGAACGTCTCAACTTAGAATCGACCCTAGGTGCAGGGCGGCCAAAGTAAGACATGTCTAACAATTCGCGACACAATTGGCGTAAGTATCGTAAGCTGTTTGCACTAAGCCTGACGCGGGAGGCCAGCCAAACTCCCGTTACAGACGTCAGTAAATCTACATTCCCAATATCGTTCTGGTATGTTCCAGTATCCCAAATCTCATCTGCTGTGACCTCATCTCAACTGTCCCAGCCGGGTATCTAAAACTTTACTCGAACAATTAACGCTGTTCCTTTTTGGTTGGCTGTATTAGACATATCACAGGTACTCAAGTAATCTTTGAGTGTGGCACATAGGAATTGATCTTCAAATCGATAGAATAACTATCACCAGTCGAACGAAAGTCGCCGATTCACTTCTACTAGATCTTGTGCTCTACAACCAAGCTCTGATCTACGCGTCGACGCACTCCCAGCTCTCAACAACATCAGGGTTGCCGCCCTTGTACTGGTTGACCTTGGGGAACTTGCAATGAGCGCGCTCGAACTCCACGCCAAGAGCCACCGTGTCGTTGACAAACTTTGTTCCGGTAAGCGTCTCGGGTGCGTTGCCGTTCTCTACCCAGTCAACCAAAGCCATGAGTACGTTGTGACTGGGCTCATAGCCGTTGATCTCGCCGCCACTCTGACCGATCGCATGCGCACCGTTTCCTCCACCGCAGTGACCAGTTCCACTGACGACGAAGTACCTGTAGAACTCGTCGAGCTCGTCAGATGATAGACCCATAGTAGAGGTGACATGTTCGTAGTAGCGAGCAGAGTTATCGGATGAGATGACAAAGTCTGCACCGCCGTGCCAATGTAGCACCTTGGCGCCACGGTCCTTTACTCCGCTCAAATCGCCCTTGAATGTTTCAATTCCAAAGAGGTTCAGTTTTGCGGCGTAATCGTAATCCTTGGGGCTAAGGGTCGCTGGGTCCCAGTTAGGGTCGTTGTAAATAGCGTAGCGGAACCAATCTGTTGTGTACGCGAAGGGCTGTCCGTTAATAAGAGCGCCGGCCGCAATCACCTCGGCACCAGGTTGCAGACGAGGGTAGACCAAGTCTCCTGCATCGTTCAGAAGCGGCGAGTAAACCGCCTTGACAGTCTCTAGCTGCTCGGGTGTAAGGCATGTAGTGGTGTTGCTGCCTTCAGTACAAGCTAGGCCCGAAGGGTCGTACTTGCAAAGCAAGGGAGCCTCGAGGATACCATCTTCAAGGTTGTCAAGGTTGTCGCATTGCTTCAGGACATCCTCGTGGATTTGCGCCCATTTTGACATTGGGACAAAGGCGGACGAGTTTGCTGGGCCAGTAAGAGTATAGAAATGTCCACTCCACGAGGTGAGGTTGTTAAAGGCGAAGGCTGGTGCTCCCGCGACAATGCCGTCAAAGTCGTCTGGGAAGTCTTGGGCAGACTTCATACCCTGTCTTCCTCCAGTGGAGCATCCAAGATAATAGGACTTATCGTGTGGTTTACCGTAGAAGTCTTCGGTGATCTGCTTTCCGACCACAACACCAGTGTGTAGACTGTACCTGATTAGTCAAATTCTAGCAAGCCGAAATGGGATACCTACGCTCGGTATGCAAAGTCTTCCACAACGTCTGAGTTGTTGTAAAACGGCAAGCCACTCATTCCGTCGTGACCGTTGTTGGTCCCAACCGCAGCGAAACCTAGACCGACCGCATAGGCCAAGTCGTCGTAACTGATACAACCATTCAGGCCGCCGTTACCACCAGAGAGGAATCGTCCCGTCCAGTTGGCTGGGAGGAATGCCTCCATTCTGAAGCCAGAACGCTCAGATGTCGAGACATTCAGCGCCACGCGGCACATGTCCGCTGTGATGACTGGCGGTGCTGCGGCACATGTCGGGTCGTACACAGGTACAGTCAGGTTTGTTCCAGCGGGGACAAACTCGGTTGTCTGTATAACGCCGCCATCGATTTGAAGTTTGGACGCAAGTTCCGCACACTTCGAGCTGAAAGCGGCCGGTGCCGTGCCGTTTGTGGGGTAAGAGGCTGCTGACTGTGGGGCGGCGAAAGCGGAAGGAGCGCTAAGCAGCGCGCACTGCAGTTGTTTTTCGAGCCTCATCTTGACAGTAAGCCAGATAGATTGAGTGAGAAGCTTAATCCAAGATTCTGGGAATGCATCTTCTCTTTATTCTACCGAAAACTGGGTCTTCGTCACGGTACATTGCTAGCGTTCGCCTCCGTGCCTGGGGCAGGATAAACGAATAACAGAAGCTGGGGCATATTTGGGGTGCTCCGTTCTGCACGCTGCAGGGACGTGCCGCCATGACGATCTTGGGCGACACCAAACACCAAAATGTACAGGATGCATGCGAAGAAGCTGGGGTAAACGAAGACATAACCGAGGCAACATTGGAAGGCTCACGTGATCGTACTTTGGATAGAACGTCGCGTTTCGTCGCATAACTGCCGACGGTTAATCATGCTGCGTGTACGCGTAGCTGGTGAACTTGGTGATGCCGAAGCATCTGCCGATGAGGGCGCGGAGGCGACACTAAGAAGGTCGTTACTTGCTGTAGAACATTTTAGCAAAACATATAAGAGCCGGCCCGATTTGGCCTCTTGTCATGTCCTGTCAGTGCTGTCGTGAGATCGTTGAAGGCTGGGGCCGGCGCTGCGCGTCATGCGGAACATTGAAGCCGATGGGCGGAGTTCTGCCGCCAGGTGAGGAGCGATCTGCGCGTGAGGGTGGGCCCAACGGCGTATTGATTATAAGTCGGGGTATTGATAACAAACCGGCGTTAGATCCAAATTGCGATGGACGCGAAATGTGTACCTGGGAATCGCGGAAATTGAGCGACGTTTTGGTCGATGAAGCAGGAATAACATTTACTCGCAGGGCATGTACCTCGGAACTAATCAGGTACCATACTCCGCATCCATACAACACTAGCAGCACCAATAATATCCACGCGTGCAGTCGCACCTCCTACACAGCTCAACGTGGACGCACATCGCATTTCTACAGCCTCGAGGACGTAGCAGAACCCTTCATCATGTCAGCCATCCTTCGTGCACAGAAGCAGGGCTGACACCATCATTCATGCCACCTCATACCTTCCAAACTTTGCCAGCAAACTCCTGGACATCCTCCCAGAGCTCTTTCGGTTTTTCCAAAGCAGCAAAATGACCGCCGCTTTCGTGCTGCTTGTAAAACACCAGATTTGTTTCTTTCTCCAAGATACTCTTGATACCTGGAGCCAGTTCGCATGGAAAGAACGAGTAACCGAGGGGCTTTTTAGGGATCTCAATGTCCCTGGCACTGGATCCGAAAAGCGCACGATACGGATAAATCGAACGAGCAAAGCTTTCGGTGAACCAGTAGAGCGACACATCAGTGAGTATCTCGTCAAGAGATGGATCCTCATCGCTCCACTCAAGGAACTTCTCGCCGATCCTGGATAGTGTTAGTGGAAACAGCTATGTATGGAAAACAAAGGTATTACCATGCAAGGAGTGCGAGCGGGCTCGATGCCAATACATTCCCAATCGTACTGGGTCTCGAGCCATGTTCTTGGGCATAGGCCGTTCCGCTGGTCTGCCATTGCTTTGCCCAACCCAGCGCCTTCTTCTCTATCTCATTCATAGGGGTATTTTCGTCTGGTTTCGAGAGACCACTCATCAAGTTCACTGGCACATCAGACCCACGGAAATCAGCCTTAGGCGGTCGACTTACGGTGTAATCCTAAACAGGAGTCGTATGTAGTGCTCATCAACTGCGCCGTAAAACTGCCTACGTCCCCTCCCTGGGCGAGGTACTTGTTGAAGCCCAGGTTCAGCATCAGTTGATGCATGACGCGAGTGCTGTCTGCCATAGTCCAGTCCTTCTCGATCGACTGCACAGTGCTAAGAGTGTAGCCGGGCAGCGAGGGTACGACAATGTGGTATGGTAGGTCCTTGGCTGAATACTGCTCCTTGATCAACGCCAACATGGGCAAAAATTCGAGGAAACTTCCTGGCCATCCATGCATGAAGATGATGGGGATGGCGTCTTTCTTCTCAGAGAAAAGGGCGACAAAATGCATATCGACGTCCTCAATCTGCATCTTGTAGTTCGGGAACGAGTTGATGTGTTTTTCCTGTGCGCGCCAGTCGTACTTGTTCAGCCAGTAGTCCTTTGCATCAGAAAGCCACTTGAGGGACACGCCAAAGCGGCGGTCTTCCTGTCGTCCTTCCCAAGTTTCAGGGGCCAGCTTGGAGAGCTGGAGAAGTTGACGCCATTCCGAAACGTCTTGGTCAGAGACATTGAGAGTGAAGGGCTTAGCGGAGTCGGGTGGTGAATAAGACATGTTCGTGATGAAAGAGGTGTTTTCAGGTCTACTGGAGATCAGGCATCCGCGGAGAGCATTCGACCCTTTTATACTCGCCAGACTATAGACGAATTATAGTGGGTTTCGCTAGGCAGCATTTGCGATGGAGGGGGTACATGTACTATACTGGGCTACGGGCGGAGTGAACAAGTCCACCATCCGTTGTGGATCTCTCCGGACCAAGGAGATGCCGTGGAGTGTAGTAGTGCCGGTGCCTCTGAGCATCTTAGGGCTCTTCTAACACTGATCGTACCTTGGGATTCCATGTTGGTGATTACAGTTTGCTAGCTGCCTACGCTTCAGTCTGGACCTCGGTTCGTACGCTAAGCCAGGGAAAAAGTAACGAGAGGAGGCAAATCCAGTGTCCAAAGTCAACTTGTAATCTGTAAAAACAAAGGGTGAGCAGGGTGTGCGAACGTATCTCTCGGAACCGGAACAGCACTATCCAGAAGTTATTTATGTTGATCCGAGGCTTTCCGGTGGCACGACGCGTCTGAAGCGCGTCGGTGCTTACGTTGTTGTCGTCATTACTGTAGTGGGGCAGCCCGCCCCGCGATTTGGCATCTGCTAGTTCTGGAACTTTTTCGACTAATCGACTAACGACTCACGCATGAAGTGTGAATCACACTTTCTGTCGAAGTCTCAATCGCACCAAACTCTACACCATGGTACCAAATCTGGTTGCTGCAATTGATTTGGCTACTTACACCAAATCTAACCAAGGCCTTGATGTCCAAGCACTGTCCTTTGTCGGCAATGTTTTCGTTCGAGTCACCGATGAGACCATCGACGCGACTCTCTCCCACCTGAAGCAATCGGTAGGCCGCTTCGCCAACTACCTGGGCGTTGCCTCCATCACCTCAATCGACGATGTCGTATCTCTTCTCGATGCTGGCGCCGCCAAGGTCTTCGTTACCCGCCAGCAGTTAGACCAGCTCAAGAAATTGAAGATCGACCAAGACAGGATAGTGCTGTGCTTGCCGGGAAACACAAAGGAAGAGATCATTGAAGCTATCTCAGGCACGCAGGTGGACATCTACTCCCACCAAGTAGAGGACGTCGGCCTTGTCGAAGCATGGCTAAAGGACTATGGAACAGATCGACCCAACGTCTTCGTCTCGTTTGCGAATCCGAGCATGGAGAGCGTTCTGAGTCTTGTAAAACTATCCGCGATACCCATCATCTCCGCCGAAAACCTCACGGTCGACCCTTCGAAACAGACCAACGCGTTGAGCGTCGCAAAGCTGTTCATGGCCAACGCAACGAGCGACCGATCCGACGGCCTTTTCACAACCCTTGTCACAGATGAGCGGGGAATCGCCCTTGGGCTTGTATACAGCAGTGAAGAGAGTGTCGCAGAGAGTCTGAGAACCGGACGCGGTGTATACCAGAGCAGGAAGCGGGGATTGTGGTACAAGGGCGAAAGCAGTGGTGATGTCCAAGAGTTGGTGTCATTAGCGCTGGACTGCGATAGCGACTGCTTGCAATTTGTGGTGCGTCAGAAGGGCAGGGGATTTTGCCACCTTGCGACTCCCACTTGCTTTGGCGAGTACACCGGCCTGTCGAAATTGCAGAAGACCCTCCAGAGTCGCAAAGACTCGGCGCCGGAAGGCTCATACACGGCGCGACTCTTCAACGACTCACAACTATTGAGGGCGAAGATACTCGAGGAAGCCACCGAGCTGTGCGATGCGAACACCAAAGACGAAGTCGCATTCGAAGCTGCCGACCTTTTCTACTTTGCTCTCACCAAGTGCATAGCCTCTGGTGTGTCATTGGAGGATGTTGAGCGCAACCTCGACGCGAAGAGCATCAAGGTCAAGAGGCGACAGGGTGATGCTAAGCCGGCTTTTGCCGCGCAAGCAGCTGCAGCAACGAACGGTGCGACCAACGGCACAACAAATGCCCCAACAAAGGAAGAGGTCAAGGAAGCCGCTTCAGTGCCGAAGAGCAAAGACGACCCTGCCGGCACAAAGGACGGTCGCATTGCGATGCGAAGATATGCAACCGCAAACGAGACACCAGAGACCATCAGCGCCACCCTTCAACGACCATCTCAACGCTCGACCGACAAGATCCTGGGTATATGTCTACCAATCATCGAGGCGGTCAGAACTCGCGGAGATGCTGCGTTGCTAGAATACACACACAAGTTCGAGAAGGCTACGTCGCTTACCTCGCCAGTGCTGAGGGCACCATTCCCTCCGGAGCTCATGCAGTTGCGGCCTGAGACGGCCAAGGCCATTGATGTGTCATTTGAGAATATCAGAAAGTTCCACGCTGCACAGAAGGAGGACAAGCCACTGAGAGTAGAGACTATGCCTGGCATCGTGTGCTCACGATTCGCTCGACCGATTGAGAGGGTTGGCCTGTACGTACCTGGTGGAACAGCTGTGCTCCCTTCTACAGCGCTCATGCTGGGTGTACCTGCCATGGTCGCTGGATGCAAGAAGATCGTCCTCGCGACTCCACCACGTTCGAATGGCCAGGTTACTCCCGAGGTCGTCTACGTTGCCCACAAGGTCGGCGCAGAGTCTATTGTCCTCGCTGGTGGTGCGCAAGCCGTCGCGGCAATGGCGTACGGTACTGAAAGCGTGACCAAGGTCGACAAGATTCTCGGTCCGGGTAATCAGTTCGTTACCGCAGCGAAGATGCACGTTTCCAACGACACAAACGCTGGTGTGAGCATCGATATGCCTGCGGGACCGAGTGAGGTGCTCGTCATTGCAGATGCAAATGCCAACCCTGCTTTCGTTGCATCAGACCTTCTCAGTCAAGCCGAGCACGGTGTCGACTCCCAGGTCATCTTGATTGCAGTTGGAATGAACGAGTCACAGCTTGTTGCTGTCGAAGACGAGCTTCACAAGCAGGCAAGCGCACTACCACGAGTAGACATTGTACGTGGCGCTATCGAGCACTCATTCACACTTGCGGTAGACACAATGGAGGAGGCTATGCAGCTAAGTAACGATTACGCACCCGAACATCTCATACTTCAAGTCGACGATGCCGAGAAGGTAGCCGATATGGTGGAGAATGCTGGAAGTGTGTTTATCGGCCAATGGACCCCAGAGAGTGTAGGCGACTACTCTGCTGGTGTTAACCACTCTCTACGTAAGTCATCTCTTGGGTATCGTTTTCAAGAACTTCTGCTGACGTGAGATAGCAACATACGGATACGCTAAGCAATACTCGGGTGTCAATCTGGCATCGTACGTCAAGCACATCACTAGCTCCCACCTGACTAGGGAAGGACTCGAAAACGTCGGACCTGCTGTTATGGAACTCGCGCGCGTTGAGGAGTTGGAAGCTCACCGACGGGCTGTTAGTCTGCGATTGGGTGTAGCGTAATTGCTGCGCAAACTGAAGTGGATGTAACATCCTATCATCATCACCTTATCACGTTTATAGCAATAGATTAAAAATGATTCAACAATGATCAATTGGAAGATGATGTGCTCATCTTAAAGAAGTAAATATATATACGATAGAATACCATCCCATCTCAACAAAACAAACACTCAACGTCTACCGAAAGCTGGCAGAGTCAGTTGACGACCCTCGTACTCTAACCCTACGCATTTAAGCAAGAGCGGTGCAGAGACCGTTGTAGTTCTCCTTGGCCTTGAAGCTGCCGTCGAACAGAAGAGGGGTGGAAGCGGCACCGATCCAAGAGTCAGTGTCGCTGACACCCCAGACGGTAACACCAACACAGTTCTCAACGTCCAAGCAGGCAGTAACGGCAGTCTTGTAGTCAGCAGCAGATCCGCCCTTGATGTCGAGCTCGGTCATGGCGCACTCGGGAGCGGAGCCACAGAGGAGCTTGAGAGCAGCAGGGTAGTCGGAGATGGGCCAGCTGCCAGACAAGTGAGACTGGGAACCGATACCGTCAATGGGGACACCGGCAGCGATCCACTTCTTGACGTTGCTGGCCATGGCCTTGGTCTTGGAGTAGCTGGGGCTGTCAAGGTTGTAGTCGTTGATGTAGAGCTTGGCCTCTGGGTCGGCGGCCTTTGCGGTAGCGAAAGCGGTGGCAACAAAGTCCTCGCCGAGAACGTTGTAGAAGACGGAGGAGCGGAAGGAACCGTCCTCGTTGAAGATCTCGTTGACTACGTCCCACGCGTAGACCTTGCCGGCGTAGGTGGTCATGAGCTTCTTGATGTGGGCAACCATGACTTCCTGGAGCTTGGTCTTGTCGGTGATGGAAGAAACCCAGGTAGGGAGCTGGGAGTGCCAGACAGTGGTGTGGCCACGGATGAGCTTGTTGTTCTCGGTGGCGAAGCTAACGAGCGCGTTGGCGCCGTCGAGGGTGAACTTGCCCTGGGTGGCCTCGGTGGCGTCCCACTTCATGCTGTTCTCAGGAGTGACCTGGCCGAAGTTGTCGACGATGATCTCCTTGTTCTTGCCCTTGCCAAGAGCACCTTGGTCGGTGGCAACACCGAGGTACTTCTTGCCGTGCGACTTGAAGGCGGCGTCGAGGGAGCACTTGGCACCGTTGGCACCACTTCCAGCAACGTTGGGGGTAGAGCCGTTGGCACCACCGGCTGAGCCAGTGGCAGCAGGCTGAGCAATCGCAACAGGGGCGGCGATGGGCTCGGTGGCGTTCATCGATGGCACTGGTGCAGCGGAAGGAACAACGGGTGCCGGTGCCACGCCGGTAGCAGCAGGAGGTGCCTGGCCGTTTCCACCACCGCTAACGCACTGGCTGTACCAGTCGTTGCTCTTGACGCAGGACCATCCCTGGGGGCAGGTAGCATCGCCCTGGAAACCCTGACCACCGCACTGTCCGTAGGGAGCAGCTGCGAGGACAGCGGAAGTCGAAGACAAGGCGACGACACCGAAGTAGATGGAGGATGTGCTGAAATGCATGATTGCTACTTTTCGATCGGTTCGGGTTCAAAGGTGTTTGGTTGGTAGGTGGAAAAAAGGACAGAAGCACGCTTCTATGTGGGTATTCAAGAAAAGAATGTCAGGAAGCACGCTTCCAGTAGGGTTCAAAGAAGAGAAGATAGAGAGAGTGTGTGTAGAGAATGGTGATGACCGAGTGAGTGAAGAAACAGTATGGTGGCGGATGAGATTCCCATCTTATACAAACCACCAGCCGCGATGATGCGTCTGGAACGATTCCATGGTGGGTCAAATTGGGGCGGTTAGCTCCCATGAGGCGCATTGTTTCATGAAACCGTGAAACAGCATCCTGGAGATCATTACATGGCGGTACCCAAAGGAACCTCGGGACCGAACGACTTTAGCCGTTCCAGTCCAACATCGACGAACGACAAGTCGATGAACAGTGGGCTGATGCGGCGCACGGCAAAGCGATGATGTTGCCAGTGGGTTGGTGCCGCTCATGCGATATGAATATAGGACCGCCATCCAGGTACGAAGCTTCATGCGGGTCCGTGCAGGCGGGCGCCAAGCGCTAAGCCTGTCAGAGGTAGATGTCACCTAAGCCCTATTCGGAGCGAACACCAGGCGAACAGACGATTTTCATGTTAGCCACCGGTTATCAAATGCTTCATGTTCCTTCGTTCAATGGGTCGCGCCACATCATCGTAGGGTCAAGGTACTCAAGCCTTTCAAGCATTTCAAAACATTCTTGTATTGACTAGGTTGCGATCGTCCTTGGCTCATCTATCTGATCATGCCGGGTGTTAGCTGCCCATAATTATGACTTGTAGACGTGCATGACGTGCGGGTTGCAGTATGCGAGAAGACCGGTCTTGCCCCACTCTCCACCGATGCCAGATTCCTTGTGTCCTCCGAATATCGCCTGAGGTGTTGGCTTCTCCCATGAGTTTACGAATACGGAACCAGCTTCGAGACGTCGCGCTACCTTGCAAGCCTTCTCAACGTCCTTGCCCCAAACACAGGCACCGAGACCAGTGTTTGTGTCGTTGGCGCGTGCGACGACCTCATCAAGATCGGACCACGGCTGGGTGGGCACGATAGGACCAAATGGCTCCTCTTGAATGATACGGGAGTCGTTGGGCGGGTTGTCGATGATTGTTGGCTGGATGAAGTACCCCTTTCCGGTGCTGACGTCGGGCTGGCCAGCGGCGAACTTGTAGCCCTTGGCCTTGCTGTCCTCGAAGAAGCCCTTTACGCGCTCGTACTGCATCTGGTTCTGGACAGGTCCGAGCAGGTTGTCGCCATCGTCTGGGTTACCGATCTTGATGGACTTGGTGAAGTTGACCATCTCCTCGAGGAACTCCTTGTAGATTGACTCGTGAATGTAGATGCGCTTGGTGGCGACACATACTTGGCCGCTGTTCTGGAAAGCACCCATGACGACTTCAGGCGCAGTCTTCTTGATGTCGACATCTGGAAGGATGATGGAGGCATCGTTGCCACCCAGCTCGAGTGTGACGCGCTTGAGGGTCTTTGCAGAGGTCTCCATGACCTTCTTTCCGGTAGCGATGGAGCCAGTGAAGCTGATCTTGGCAATGTCGGGGTGGAGGCACATCGAAACACCGAGCTCATTGTTACCGCCAACTACTTGAAGGACACCAGGAGGGAGGATCTCCTGGGCCAGCTCTACAAACTTCAGAGCTGTGTAAGGTGTGAAGGGCGAAGGCTTGACGATCATGGTGTTTCCGGTCATGAGAGCTGGAGCGATCTTTCCGGTGCTCAGAACTAGAGGGAAGTTCCATGGGCAGATGGCACCGCAAACACCGAGAGGTGAGTACTCTGTGTAGATGGTTTTCTCTTCATCCTCAACCTTCTCAGAAGGTACATCGAGAGTCAAGTGGTGACCAATGAATCCAGCAACGGCACCAACCTCGATGGCGGCGAACTTTCTCTACTCATATGTTAGCAAGGGTCTCAATGATCACGACAACCGCCATGACGTACCGGCTTGCCAGACTCTTTGCAGAGAAGGTTAACAAAGTCATCGTTATGTTGCTGGTACGACTCGGCGACCTTGTTAAGGAGCTCCTTCCTCTTCTGAATCGGGGTATCCCTCCATGCGGGGAAGGCCTTCTTCGCAGCCGCGACAGCATCATTTAGGTCTTGCTCGCTCGCAATGGGTACGTCCCAGAGTTGCTGGCCAGTTGCGGGGTTGATACCATGATGAATGTTGTCTGAGCCGCGCTGCTTGCCGTCGATGATGTTGTAGAAAGTCTCGAAGTCGAGAGTTGAGACTTTTCCTGGAGACATATTTGAGGAAATAGTAGTAGTCGTGGTAGAAGAGTTGATTTGGGTATTCCTTTGACAGAAACTGGTCAGACGGGTCAAGGTGACTTCTTAAAGAAATCAAGCCGCCACTCGACTGCTCCTACTCGCTGCTTGCCTTATCCTCGGTAGCAAGTACGCTTACGGCACAGTGGGTTTACAGCATTGATCTGGTGTCCTTGGCCGTGCGGGGCGCGAGTTGCAGCTAGGCTTGCATCATCCCTTCCCCAGTAAAATATTCTGCCCCGCTGGGGCTTAGCTCGAGTGGGTGTTTGCCGCGCAGACGAGCCGGCGAATAGTCTACCTATCATCGTCATCGTCCAAGATATCCCAGGCTTGCGGTAGCTCACAGACACCAGGTAGCCGTATGTACTAACCAGCTCCGCCAACTGCCCACCATGTGCGCGTCGTGTGTTTGTACATGCCGCTGTACCCCGCCGGAACCATCTCGGTGTCTGCCGTGTTGAAAAGTGGATTACACATCTTTCCTTGAAGGCGCAGGGCGGGACAATCGCTTCACGTGGCTAGAACTTTCGTTGGAAAACGGACATCGCAACCGCCAAGGTCCTGACTAGCGTTCGACGTGTCGGCTTCGAGACTAGCTCTTGCAGTTCTCGCTTTACAAAACGGACGAACAACTGTCCGCCTACTCTTTTGGTCTCCAGCGCACCTTTGTGGATCGTGCAAGAGTTTCAAGTGTTATCGTCCATGCCGCGGCTCCTCGTCTTGTCTTGCGATCATCACGTTAGTGAAGCGGGTGGATACGGGCTAACAGTCAACAACGCCTGTACGTGTCTTGGTGAGACGATAAGAGGACGAAATAGTGGATAGGGCGATTAGAATGTCGTGGAAAGAGTTTGAGACCCAAGTTGATGTTGAGGATTTGTAGTCGCGGTGAGATGTTTTTGTCATTGTATGCGCCACATCATGCACGTGCGGTGGAGAAGCTTGCTGGTCACAGCGTGATGCGTGGGTACTAACATGCAAGAGCTGCAAAGCTATGCAGAAAATCGATAAGATGCACAAGCATAGTCGACAGAGTTATGAGCCTTTGCAATCAGGAGAAAGAAAATTTTGATATCTCTACGTGGCACCAAGCGCGATCTACAACTACAATTTCCATCACGAGCCCCTTTACATATACTCCGAGTATTTTCCACTAGCACTTTCTCCACTGCACGTACAGATTTGATGTAAAGCGACCAGCCTCCTTTGTCGCAGCAAGCACACCGCTCGCCGGTGTAGCAAATGGCGTCAACGCGACCTCGCTGTTGATGTTGAAAGCGGCATCGCTACCACATGGTGACCAGACTGCAGCTGGTACATTATCTTGCTTGTAGTATTTGCCGTTGAAGGGACCTTGGATGCTAAGTGCTGATGAAGACTGGCTTTGCTGGCCGGAGAAGTAGTATGTCGACTTTACCACACCAGTAACACCGCCGTCCAGTTCGCCCCAGCCAGTGTAGTCTGCGCTGAAGATGGCGAAGGAGAAGCCGGGGGAGAATTCGAGCCCAAGATTGATCTGGCAGTTCTTTCGTGAGTCCTCTGCGGCATTTCCGTTACCGACCCGGGCGGTGAATTGCTTGTTGAAGTCTGAGTAAGTGGTTAGCAGAGAGATCAAGAGAGATTACAGCGTGGTGGCGGCTTACAGATTGGCATGATGCCGTTCTCAGTCCAGTCGATGTCGATACTGCCCTGGGGGCATCCTGAGCCACCAGACACGACACTTTTGATCTTGAAAGAGTCTGGTGCCTGGTATGTTGGAGCAGCGACGGCAGCAGCCGCAAGGGCAAGGGCCGCAAGTGTGTACTTCATCGTGCTGGTATTTATGACTGATACAGATAGAGGAGGTAGAGCAGATTGATGAGCAAATACAAAATGCGGAGTAATGGTCGTAGTGTATGTTGATACTCAGACTGGAGCAAGTGCGGGATTTGGTCGTCTTATATGTCGACGTATTATCCGAGTACAAGACCTAGAGCGTTAGTTGTACATTCTTCACCACACTTGCTCCCGAGAGCCGTTCGTTCAAACCAAGTTGTCTTGTGGTCCGCAGAGATAGACATGCGATTGGCTCTATTTCCTTGGAGAACAGCGAAAGATAGCCACTCGCTACCAACAGACAACCTTGCATTCGCCTCTTGCACCTCTAGTTCGGAGATGGTAACGAAGGTGGTAAGGTTGCCATGCTTTAGATATGAGATCTGCCCGTCGATATTGCTCGTAGACTTCCGTACGAGACAGCCGGCAAGCAAGCGAGACGATGCAGCGAAATGCAGGGCAATCTTGCTCTAGAACGTTTAGATTCTGGGGTAAAAAGAACACGCTTGGGGAAAAGCCAATCCAAAAATAGTCGCTGTGGAAATTGCCGTAGCGTGACAAGTACAAGACGGGTGTGGAAGAGGCGAATGTTGTATATATTAGATTGATGGGCCCGGGTCGAGGTCACGAACCAGACGTGCGACGGCTGATTATGGGCTGGGCTTCCTGGGAGAGTTTGATGGTTTTAGCGAGCTAGTAGGATCAAAAGACTTTCTGCAACCAGCCAAACTTTAGTGTAGATGTCGACAGGAGCCTTTTTTTCTAGCGTTCGTATCGTTCATCAACGGTAATATCAGTGCTGCTCGTTGTTCATTCCACAATATGTTTTGCGTGACTGTTCTGAGCTGAAAGGCGCATAATGCTTGTGCTAGCGCGCTGTGATCGAGGATAGGTTTCCGACAGGGAGGCATGGCGATAAGGGGTCGAGTAGCTGCTGCTGTTGGACGTGTGATCTGGATAAATGGGTTGGGAAGCCACGACATGGCATGAGCAGCTAAGCCCGCACAGCCGGGAATTGACAGACCCAAGGCATGAGATAGCAGATTCGAGGATAACACAATTCAATAATTGTACGCGATGGCCATATTCTATGTGGCCCCTGGTATCTCCCTGTCCCAAGAAATCCCATACCCGCTCCCATGATACTGAACGCCATTGTAGTACATTACGTTAATGAGAGTGTTGCGCCGAAACTATGCTGAGGTATCGTGGTAAAAGAAATCGCTTATTAACTTGGAAAGACCTTGCGGAACACCTGCCGCCACCTCGGGACACTCTCTTCTTCTTCCACATCACTGGCAGGCGCATGACGCGGACCAAGCATAGCCAATGCTCGCTGTCGTGCCCATTCTCGTCTATTTTGCGTGGGATTGCAATCTTGCGTGCTTTGTAAAGGTGGCCCACTGGTCGATTGATGCTGCGATGGCGCGTCTGGTGGCGGTGTAGTCGCCATTTCGATATCTTGTGGTCGTGTTTGCGTGCGCACAGGTGCACTAAAGATGCGTCGTCCAGATATGGCACCGCCTATCCTGCTACCAAGCGACCCAAAAGCCGTCGGCGGCCGAGTTGGCGGTGCTGGTGCTGTAGACGCAGTGCTTGTTTGGGCCCTCGCTGAATGTGCACTGCGCGCCCGCATGCGATTGATGTGGCGCTCTCGCCGTACCATGACATTTGTAATCTTGACCGGACAAGCGCCAGTAGGTAATACGCTCTGCTTACACATGGGACACAGCGAAGAGTGGCTGAGGAGGAAGGTATCGATACATTCGGGGTGGAAGATGTGGTGGCACGGAAGCTCGCGCACTTGAGTCTCGTTGGCCTCGAAATCGTCCATGCAAATTGGACATGTGGGCTGAGACCACGCGGCCGACACGCCAGATGTAGGCACTGTGGGTGCAGACGAGCGACGGGATAATGGGGGCCCCTTGTGTCCAGTTTCCGCATCTACAGCGGCATGCAGTAGTCCCAGTGTTTGATTCGGCGGCTGGAGTGTGGTCGCTTTCTCGGGCTCACTCGCAGCGGCAGGAGCAGTGTAGGTATGTATGGGAAGTTTGTCAAGGACTTGTTGCGAGACTGTCAGACGCTTGACGCCCAACGCTTCGAGGTCGACCTGGCCGTTGAGAACGCGCTCGCGGAGATCGTTGCGCCGTCTCCGTTGGATAATGTGCATGACGAGGGAGGTGATGCTGACGGCGACGAGGAGGATTGCTAGGACGATGACGAGGAAAACCCATAGACTTGGGAGCTGGCCACCGGAGTCTAAGCGGCGAGGTTAGTGGCGTTCATAGGTGTGAGCAGGCTCTACTCACCAGTACTGACGGTTGCCCATAGTCGCACATAGTCGGAAGAGTTGTAGATCTGTGACAGTGTATCGGCATGGGGCACTGAGCTGAGATTTCCAGAGTACTCGTTCAGCTGGTCCATGATATTGTTGCCCGTTATTGACGACAGGGCGTAGGTGGGAAAGTCGTTAGCCGTCTGCCAACTACCGCCATCCTGAAGGTTCCACGACGCATCGTTCAGCACTGGAGGCTTGGCGTTGGTGTCGCCTGGCTGGTAGGTGAGGAAGGCCTTGGTGGGATGGTTACGCGCGGCGGCGAAGTACTCCGTCGTGCATTGCGCCGAGAACCAGGGCGCAACGGCGATGAGGGCGTAGTCTTTGTCGGTGGGAAGATTCGCTATCCGCGTCGCATTCTCGGGCACGTGGAATCGTTCCTGTTCTCTGCAGCTATTTGTGCTGACATCGGGTACGTAGAGAATGCCGTAGGGGTCCTGGTTGCTGTCGACGCCCTTGGTGGACAGGGTTTGGATGTTGTCGAGGATGCGATACTGGAACGAGACAGAGTCGTTGAGGGTGATGAACTGGTTGTTATCGTAGTCGATCACCAGCGGATCCGGGAAGTCGATGGTAAAGATGCCAATCCGCTGGGCAGCTGTAGGACGGTCAGCATGGTGCCAGAGGCGAACGGGCGGCAGACTTGTGTGACGTACACATGTTGGAGCGAGTGCGAGTGGCTATGGATGGCAGGGCGCACTGGATGAGGGTTACACAGAGGCCGCTAGTGTAGGCCGACTACAATGCATTGCTGGTAGTTTGGGTGTTGAGCGGGCGCAGGGAGGCGAGTCTACTAAGAGGCGGCGATGATGGTGGTGGAGCTGGCAGCGGGTGGCTAGCATTGAGGCTGGTCGGATGCAACACGCAGCCGCCCCCTCCCGGATGGGATTCGAAAGCCCCGGGCAGGTTTAGCCAAAGCTTGATTCACTGGCGCGAACAGGAGATTGCGTCAAGAGACACAGCACAGCATGCACACAGGCCCCACGGGGCAATGACAGACGACGCCGTTGTGCATGAATAGTGCTGAGGCGCCGGTAATGACGTTGGGCCGCCGACACGATCGATCTTATCGCAGCGCAGATGGGCTTTCGCGACTTGGCGCCGTCTTCAGGGTTAGCACGACCTTCCCCAGACACATGCCAACAACATGCATGCGATGCCACAACCGACGACGTCTGCTGCGAACCCCATTGATGCACGCCATTCGCCCACAGAGAGCCCATGATAGCACGCCGGTAGCCCAGACTTCAGCCATCACCTCGCGTCGACGCACGGCAGACGCGACTTCTTTCCCCGCATACCCCAACATCCCATCGCGACACGTCCACTATGGCGCCTCCAGGCCTGGGTAGCAAGGGAAAGGCGACCAAGCCAGGCTCCAAGCCCTCGCAGACACCGCGCAGCCGGAACACAACGCCGCTCCCCAATGTGCGCGCCTCGGTCGAGCCTGCCGCTTCGTCATCCTACTTTGGAAACCGCCTGAGCTCATATCTTAAGAAGTGCCCTACCACCGTCGAGGACATACTGGACGGCGGCGCCAACGGATCTTCAATTCCATCCGGCAAACAACTTGTGCTTATGCGCGACAACATCGAGAAGACAGTCCTGAAGAACGTCGAATCACGCTGCGTGCAGTCGGAAGGTGCGCTCAGGGAACTCATGAACAACAAGAAGAACCGCGCGCCGCGCGATAGAGACAGGGAAAAGGACGGCGAGGAGCGCGAGCGCAAACACAAGCTCAAGAAGGTGAGCAAGAAGCACGACGAGGACGGAAAGCACCCGCCTGCGACCGGTGCCCACGGCCTGGCTAGGCAGGATGGTGGTGACGCCAAAGGTAAGTCAACAAACACTGGGCAATCGCTCTTCCTTGGGACTCTACTTGTACACTCGCAATCACTCTCCACATGCGCTACACTTTACATTCTTCAACATGGCCCCTAGACGCCGACAGTTGATTGTCAAGCTCAAGATCAGAGGGCTCGACAGACATCTGACTTCACGCACAGACAACTCCTCCGCCATCTCATCGCCAATATCCCAAGCCCCGCCCTCTGCTGCCGGCGGCGGCCCAGCCGATGCTCCCTCACCCAGCGGCTCCGATGTCTCCCACCAACCCGCGCCCGCGCCTGCTGTACCGCAGTTCCAAACCTTTGGCCCGGACCCCGCCAAATTCGATGACCCCACCATATACCATATACGCGAAGTTACCCCGGGCATGTCAATCGAGGAAAGGAAGGAGATCTACTGCGTCGCCGACTTTCCCAAGTCCAATCTCCGCGACAGGATAGCCGGGTCACCACCAGCAAAGGACTTCTCCAACGCCAAGCCCCCGTCACAGGTCAATGCCACTGTCTTCGCAAACTACGTCGAACCATACATAAGACCACTGACCGAGGAAGATGTCGCTTTCCTGAAAGAGCGAGGCGATCGGACAGCGCCCTTTGTGCTTCCTAGGCGGGGCCCGCGGCATTACAAAGAGATATGGGCTGAAGAGGATGGCTCTATGCACATAGACTCCAACGACCAGCGACCGCCACCCAACGTCCCGCGCGGAGCAGCCGAAGACATAACAGACGACGTACTTGAGACTGACCAGGTGTCTACCGGTCCCCTCCTGTCACGCCTTCTAGCCACATTACGTCCCGAGGGCCGCGGCAATCAGAACTCCCAACACGAGACGAATGGAGTAAACGGAGACGCCATGGACATCGACGAAGGCGCAGGCGCACCAGCAGACACCACCAACAACAACTCCATACCCGCTGCCGCTCAACTTCCCGATGTTGTCCAACCGAGCTGGAAACCTCCGCCACAAACCAGTCGCACCGACTATGTTGGCATAGAAGATCGCGTGCTCATGGAGCTCAAGCACTTTGGTCTAATCTCGGAAGCAGATGCTGAAGCACAGTCGTATGATTCCCACTTTGACGACGAAGTAGCTCAACGGCTACGCTTCCTGCAAGAAGAACTTCGCAAACAGTCCATCATCAACGGCGCACGGAAACAACGCCTCCTCGAACTCACCGAAGAGCGCATAGCCCAGCAAGAGTACAATACTATAGCTGACGATCTCGACAATCAGCTCAATGCCGCATATCTCAAGCGCAACCGCAATATTGGCAAGGGCAAGAAACAAAACAAGCGGCCTGGTGGTGCAGGTGGTGGAAGTCATCCTGTGGCCAACGCCGGCATTTCGAGACCGGGCGTCGGCGAGCCAATACGCACTCTCATGGAAAGGAGACAGCAATGGATCAATACTATTGGACCTGTTGTAAACTATGGCAAGACAGGGTTGCCAACCGAGACCATATTTGGGGAAGAGAAGATGAAGGAATTGGAAAACAGAGAGGTAGAAATCTGGAATACAGAGGCTGAAGAGTAGCTTTCTCGGCAAGGATCGACCGTGGCGAAATAGGTGTCCAGTGAGGAAGAGAGCGAAGAGGAGGTTTCTCGGTTGAATGCGCATTCCACGGTTGAGAACGATCATGTTGTCTGGTGGCGCAGAATCGGCACGTTCTGGCGGAGATTACTTGTAGCCAGTCTTTCGGCATTGTTTTGTTCATGCATAACCGGGCACGTTATGGCGTAAGGGTGTTTGGCAGAACCATACTGGTGGTCTGGTGTTATTGATTAAACTTGCATAAGGCTGCGCTGAAGCGTCAGGCGTTGACGGATCGGCTGATCTCTGAAAACCGCAGAGCCGCAATATTACATTATTCCCACGTGTTTTACCCATTCCCATCGTCCATCTCTCTTCGCAAAAACATGTCCACGTTTTTTGCTTTCACCGGTTCCCGGCCGCGTGGAACCGCGCACATGGCCATGAGATTAGCGAATATCGAATTGGGCCGTCAGCCGTGAAGATAGAAACCTGGCTGACCACTTTTTCAACCCGCATGGGTTTGGCGGTTGCGGCGTGCATAGGGAGGCTGTGTCGCATGCTTTTACCTGGTGGGCAGGTGGGTGGGGTTTTGGGCGAGCGAATCGCGGGACGTGTTTCGCTTACAGGTGCGGGAGCTGCATACTGCGTGGACGAAATAGTCTTTTGGCTGCCTAAGAGGGTGCGGTAAGTGATGGATTCGGGTTAGTTGTGGATGCGGTGGGCTCGATGTGGTAGTTTCCATGATATAGCGATCGATCAGATCGTGAGTTCATTGAGGTAAGGGCATCACGCTGTTGTGGTCAGTCAACACCGTCATCATGAGTGCTCTTTGTTGTGGATGTTAGAAGTGGTCTACTAGTACTAACCTACTTTCACTTCTACTGCAAGCTATCCAAGTCTCCTCGAAAACAGTGTACACGGGTTGAACACTTGTTCGTGACACGCTCACTGTAGCCTACCTAGGTACGACAAGCTCCAAGAATCGTCCCTGATTCCTCGAGCCTAGTTCGCGGAGCCGCACCTAACGTCATCTATCGTTCCTGACTAGAAAATCAATGCCATCCTATTTGGGTTATCTGATCCACGGATCAGTATCACGACCTGCATATAGCAACGGATGTGCTCCGCCCGGTGCGCAGACTACGAATAAGTATATGTGAGTGGACGAAGGACACACGTGGGCTCAACGTCGTAGGAAGAATATGCAGAAGCTTCCAGGATGTTTAGAAAGACGTTTATAGGAGCAGGATTGTAAGGTGCGAAGAGAGGAGGGTGTGCTGGCCATTGACGTGGAGAGTTATTTTGAGCTGCAGGCAGCGCTTACCCACTTCGGCCAGCAGCACGCTAGCCTGACGTATCTTGTCACTGGTAGGCACGATGGATCTCTGGATTGAAGACGATACAGGTGAATGAATGTTCTCAACTTCCTCTCATGTATTCGAGTATGCTGCTGGGTTACTGCACGTGTGCGATGTCTATCAAACGACTGCGCTCACCACATCGAGAGCAGAGTCGGTCCTGCGACGTTGGGCACGCGCAAAGCTCTTGAAAAACGGCGTAAAGCAACCTGCCGTTCGTCCGGTAGCAAGCATCAGCCGTCCATCTTGGCAATGGTATCTTCAAGAGAAGTGCAATGTCTGTTCAAACATCAGAGTCTTCTGTCAGCACAATGCGGCTGACACAGCATTTGCTCATTGGATGTTGCATCTGCACGACTACCAAGACGTATTTTCTCTCGCACAGCCGTCCAACACCTGCATTAGCTTCCCTGCTGGCCACTCACACCACACCTTCACACCTGGAAAACGTGGTGTCAGGGATCAAGATAGCTGCAGCCGTTGACATGGCCGCAGACAGTATGCAGCATGCAGCGAACAGACCTCACAGAGACGTGTGTAGCTCGCTTGCCGGGAAGCAAGGTGTGATGTGGGCGCGAGGGCTGAGACATGCGGGTGCGCTAATCATGGCAATGGTAATCCTGTGATGCAGCTCTATGCGAGAGCGCTAAATCTCACCTACACCACAATGATGCATTTGGAAAAGGTAAGAATATTCAGAAAACAGTTCATGTATAAAGGCGGTGGAGCCTCATGGAGCTGGAAATGGCCTGAGAGAATTGGTAGTACAACGCTCAGCTTACCTTTTACCCGACACCGACTCTTTGACAGAGGATGCACGTTTTATCATAATGTCTACACCATCTCGACAAATTCTCTGGAGATCTCCGGTAATCCTTGAAAGCAATAAGACAGCACTCAAGATGTCTACACCTACTTCAGCGCCCAAACCATCCACACCCCGAAGAGACGGGAATCTGAAGCTCCGGGCTTCATGCGACGCCTGTGCCGCGTCGAAAGTCAAATGTAGCAAAGAGCATCCACACTGTTCACGCTGTATTCAAACCGGAACGAAATGTGTATATGGCGTCTCGAGAAAACACGGAAAGCCAGGCCGAACGAGGAAGAGGAACCCAGATGGAACTCCGTTTGTCAAAGTCACAAAGCCACGCGTATCACCAAGCGGCAATGAGTTTGGCGCATTCATGCTACAACCTACATTCCAGCGGACGGTTTCAGCAGACACGTCGAATTGGGCTTCAGACTGGTCGCTCTCACCAAGCTTATCGACTCCTTCTGGCTTCGATTCAGAGACTGCACCTGCACAATCATATGTAAACGACATCGGTTCAGGTACCGCCTATACGGACACCGCTGATTTGTCGCGACAACCTGCTCAGTCCACACCCATATCAGCTACCGGATTTGACCAGGACTTCCGAGATCCTTTCCCGCAGGAACAAACAGTACAGTCTCCCTTTCCCAACTGGGATGCTCTCAACGACTACATCAGCGGCGAAGATGCAAACCCCATGGACTATCACCCCGGCGGTGCAAAGACTATGGAGAATTTACGTTCTGCCTCTTCTATATCGGTCCCATACAGTCCGATGAGCCAACCCGTAGGAAGTCATAACAACTTGACTTCCTACGCAGAGGTCGGGACGGACAGTTCCCATAGTTGTTATCCATTGGCCTATTCGACGCTCGAGAGCCTGCCACACTCCAGGCACTCGTTCCACACGAGCGATTCATTCGATGCCGTTCTAGACACTGTTCGGTCAGCACGAGAGAATGTCTCGAAGCTTCTTAGATGTTCATGCTCGTCAGATCCACATCTTGCCATGCTATACTCCAGCATAACATCCAAGATTCTGGCCTGGTACCAAACCGCTGCTAGTGCTAGTCACGGAACCCGTACCAGCCACTCGGTCTCAGCATCGCTCCCTTGGAATTACTGCCAGCCTTCGCAGTTTTTGCACACGATCTCCTCACCCTCGTCTGTGCCGGGTATTGATGAAGTGGAAAGGTACAATTTGTACATGCAGTCATCTCGGTACACCCAATACAAGTTCGAGGATGGTGAACAACAGAGAGATAGGAGGCAGATAATCTTACAAGAGTTGCGAGGATGTGCGCAACTCATCGGGGCATTGACTAATTGGGGAAGTAATGGCGATACATCCGCGGCGCAGGCGGGGCATCTGTATGATTTTCTGGGAGGCTGGCTAAGGAACCAATTGTGTAAGATAGTGAAGGAGATCCGATACAAAGAGTCTGCGACGGCTTGAACTACTGGGAAGGATCGATAATTAAAAAGGGAGTCGGAAGAGCATTGGAGGTGGTTTGCTGCTGTTTGATAACCACGGTTTCCCGTGGCGGGGTAGTCGTCGTCTTAATACCTAGTAATTATAGTGAAAAGTTTATTCCGCTTCATGCTATTAATGATAGTAGGGTACAATTGCTGCGTAGAAGTCGAAAAGACAACAGTGGCTATGTTTGCCGAGATGCTGTGGAGCCACCCCGGATTTACCCAGCGCACGTGCACCTTCACATGCCTCGGCTCAAACCGCAGCAAGCATCATAGCACTGGCTCACATGCAAGGTACAGCATCTCCAAACCTCCAGCACCGCCGTTGCGACCGAGAAATGACAGTCTCCCCACTGAGGATGTACACGGTCAACAATGGCCGCTCAGTCTACCTTACGACAGCCTCATGACCCTCTCCTAGCACTCTACGACCGCTATGCGACGCTTCTCAAGTCCCGCGTCCGCGGCGCATCCAAGCTCACGAAGCTGCTGTCCACCATCACCCTCCTCTTCACCATCATAGGCACCGGATATGGAGGCACAAGATGGTACAAGAGCCGGCGCGCAGAGAAGGAGACGGGCCAACGGTTGCTGAGGAGGAACTCCGGACTCAGGAACAAAGATGGCTCCAGAACCATTTACGTGCCCTATCGCGACTCTACGTCCAAAGTAGTCATCCATCCCACCAAACAGACCACGTTCGATGCGCACCGTAGACTCTTCCTCCAACCGCCACGTGCAGCCCGCATGGCTGACACGACCTCGAGCGACCCGCAAGCGCCGCCGCCGCAGACGAAGCCGGGTCTCAACTTGGCCTTCCTACACCAGTTCCTGAGCCTCCTGAATATCATGATACCGCGTTGGAATAGCAAGGAAACGGGTCTGCTGGTCAGCCATAGCGTCTTCCTCATGCTGCGGACGTATCTGTCACTGGTCGTAGCGCGTCTCGACGGAGAGATCGTGCGCGACCTTGTAGCAGGCAACGGCAAGGCATTCCTCTGGGGCATAGTCAAATGGCTTGGTGTCGGCACCTTCTCTTCGTACACGAACGCTATGATCAAGTTCCTGCAGAGTAAGGTCTCCATCGCGTTCCGAACGCGACTTACGCGGTACATCCATGATCTGTACCTGAACGACCATCTGAACTACTACAAGCTACAGAATTTGGATGGAGGTGTAGGCGTCGGGGCAGATCAATACATCACACAAGATCTGACGCTATTCTGTGCAAGTGCGGCATCCTTGTACTCGAGCTTAGGAAAGCCGTTTGTGGATCTTTGCGTCTTCAACTACCAGCTCTACCGTTCTTTGGGACCGTTGGCACTGACCGGACTGCTGAGCAACTACTTCCTTACCGCGACAGTACTACGAAAACTGTCTCCGCCCTTTGGCAAACTGAAAGCTGTCGAAGGACGAAGAGAAGGCGAGTTCCGCGCTCTGCACTCTCGACTCATCGCAAACGCAGAAGAAGTGGCTTTCTATGGCGGTGACGAGATGGAAAAGCACTTCCTTGAGCGAGGATTCAAGGACCTGAAACACTGGATGGAAGGCATCTACAGTCTCAAGATCCGGTACAACATGCTTGAAGACTTTGTGCTTAAGTACTCATGGTCGGCTTTCGGATACCTCGTCACTTCGCTTCCAGTATTCTTACCTGAATGGGGCGGTGTTGGAGGTACACCCGAACTACCTGGAGGAGAGAAGTCGCACCGCGAGCGCAGCCGTATGAAGGACTTCATCACGAACAAGCGACTTATGTTGTCTCTCGCGGATGCTGGTGGTCGCATGATGTACAGCATCAAGGATCTTTCTGAGCTGGCTGGCTACACATCACGCGTCTACACCCTGATCAGCACGCTCCATCGCGTCCATGCAGAAGCATACTACCCTCCACCCGGCACGCGACCCGAACTCTATTCCGTCTCCGATATCCAAGGCACAGTTCACAAGGGCTTCGATGGAATTCGTCTCGAACATGTTCCGGTCGTTGCCCCAGCCCTGCACCCCATGGGCGGCGAGGAACTCCTGGAATCCCTATCCTTCATCGTTCACTCCGGCGAGCATCTTCTCATCACCGGCCCTAATGGCTGCGGTAAAAGCGCCGTCTCACGCATCGTCGCCGGTCTATGGCCTGCATACCGCGGTCTTGTAAGTCGTCCTCGCAGCATTGGCGTGGACGGCATCATGTTCCTCCCTCAACGACCCTACCTTTCCACTGGCACCCTCCGCGACCAAGTCATCTACCCCCACACCGATGCCGATATGAAGGACGCAGGCCGTCGCGACTTTGAACTCTCACAGGTTCTCGAAGAAGCGAAATTAGGCTACTTGCCCGATCGAGAAGGTGGCTGGGACACGAAGAAAGTATGGAAAGATGTGTTTAGCGGTGGCGAGAAGCAGAGAATGGGTATCGCGAGGTTGCTTTATCATGAACCGCGATACGCATTCGTGGACGAGGGCACAAGTGCAGTTAGCAGTGATGTGGAAGGTCTACTCTACGAACGCGCAAAGGCAAAGGGCATAAGTAAGTTTACAGCGACTGTTCTCGAAGAGAGAGTTTCAACTGACTCACACATTCCAGCATTGATCACAATATCCACGCGCGCATCCCTGAAGCGCTACCACGACTACACGCTAACCCTCGGCATGGGCGACCATGGCGACGAATGGGACTTCCAACGCATAGGCACACAGTCTGAGAAGTCGAGCGTGGAGAAGGAGTTAGCTGAGCTGAGGGAAAGGCTTGCCAAAGTCGAGGAGTGGAAGAAGAGGCGAGAGGAAATTGAGGCTGAGTTGAACAGGGTATGGGTAGAAGGCAAAGACGGAGAGGGTGAGGCCGAGAGCGAGGAACTTGCACCGCCACCATACTTGGAACGAGAAGAGACGGTCGACACGGCGAGTACAGACGAGGAAGATGCTGGCAAAAGAGATCAAGAGGAGGCGGTCGAGAGTGGGAGTGGAGAAGTTTCGCCGTCCAGCTAATCTAGGTATCGAATTATACCATGATACTTAACACAACTAAGCTCTAATCACCCTTGAGATCGATGCATGCAATTGTTTGGCGTTCATAGGTATCTCTAGAGAGGATAATCGCGGCAAAAAAGAAAGGATAGGCGTAAGCTTCGTTGCTGGATATTGTCTCTTCTGGCGCACAGAGAGCGGAGTGGATCATCCCAGTTCGATCCCAAGACGGCATTCCAGGCTCACTCATCCGTCCACTCAGACCAGACTGTTTCCTCACGGAATTGAATTGCACTCGCATAATCCTCGTGCCTATCGTCCAGCACCGGTATGTTACCTAGGTAAGCAACAATCTAGCCACTTTATGACCGTTAAGTAGGCGTGCTAGCAAGCATGTTGACGCGGTAATGGCCGCACCGCCTGAACTTCCGTAGAGGTCGATTTTGGCTGGATCGATATCCAATTGTTTCGCGTGTGAGATAATATATACGTTTGCAATGACCATAGTTTGCGTGTGTTCCGGAAGACGGGTTCAAACTCACTAGTCGTTTGTATACACAACAAGATCGCGTGAGGAGAGTGCATAACCAAATTAGTGCACCTTCCCTATCTACTTGTATCACTCGTCTCGAAGCTACTAGTAAGTCTAGTGGGATGAGATACGACATGTCAAGACTGTAATACATGGCTCAGGAACGGAAACCCAGAAGTAATTGATAAAGTAGTTCTCGCATGCTAGCTCAGCTCTGTTGGATTTAGAGTAAGTGTTTCTGCGTGTTCTGGTCAATCGATCGTGCTGAGCCCACTCACGATCGGTAGCTCCACTGAATGGAGCTTGATAGCGATCTTTCGCATGTAGAGTTCGCATGGCTTACAGTTCTGCCACCCCTCGTTTCGAGACAGATGCTCCAAGCGTGATTCACAGTCATCATCATCATCCAATGTAGCGCCTTTTTCGATCCTTGCGTTGAAGTCGCTCACGCAGACTTTAGCAACAGCAGCGACGACTTCCTCTTCCTCCCTTTTCTTCAACTCAGCTTCCTCGGCTTTGGCGGCAGCGACAGTAGCTTCCTCTTCTTTCAGGCATATACGTTTCTCTTCTTCAAAAAGTCTCTCCTCCTTCTCTCTTAGACGTATACGCTCTGCTTTCTTAGCCTTCTTCTTATTTGTAACGGTTGGAGCTGCAATGTGCCAATTGCTCCAGTTAGCAACGGCAGCCGCTGCTTTCTCGTCCTCTATCTTCCTCATTTCAGCTTGTTCAGCTTGTTCAGCTTGTTCAGCTTGTTCAGCTTCAACAGCAGCAGCCGCGGCTTCATCTTCCTCTATCTTCCTTAATTCAGCTTCTTCAGCTTCAACAGCAGCAGCCGCGGCTTCATCTTCCTCTATCTTCCTTAATTCAGCTTCTTCAGCTTCAACAGCTTCAACAGCAGCAGCCGCGGCTTCCTCTTCCTCTATCTTCCTTAATTCAGCTTCTTCAGCTTCTTCAGCTTCAACAGCAGCAGTGGCGGCTTCCTCTTCCTCTATCTTCCTCAATTCGGCTTCTTCAGCTTCAGCAGCAGCAGCGCTAACTTCTTCTTCTTCTTTTTTTAGGCATAGCTGCTCCTTCTCTTCCTTCAACTCTGCCTCTTTGCCTAGCTTGACTTTCAACTTCCTCGCCTCTACCGTTGGATCTTGATGCTCAGCAGGGGCATTGCCAGTTGCAACTCTTACTTCGCGCAACTGCTCTACTTCATCGCTGTACAACCCAACGATGAGACGAGCTAGGAGCCTTGTCAGCGTAGGGCTTTCGATGCTTTCAAAGAAGTCCGGTGCGGTCAACGCGGAAGGGTCATGCTTGAAGGTCCATTGTACTTTCTTTGAAACGTAGTCTCGAAGCCACGCGTATTCGTCAGGAGGCCCTGCAATGAACGCTTCTCGGATAGCGCGCACAGCGTCACGTAAGCACATCTCTTTGCCTCGTCGCTCCAGCTCGATTTGCGCTAGTTCCTTGAGTCCAGGCACGCTGTACTTCTCAGCGGCTTCGAGAGTAAGCACAGCTTTCTGGAACTCATTGCGGACGATACTGTTATCGGAATCCTCGGTACCATCATCACTAAGAGTCTGGTAGACACCTGTGTGCAGGAAGTGGATCAAGACGTGACCAATGTTTGCGTCTACATCCACGAGATTGATCTCACGTGTCCAGGGATCACGACTCGGGATATTCTCTAATCTCTTCAGCAGAACTTCTGGAAGATAGTATGTCTGATGTTGAGGACCAAAGTGTAAGGTAACGGATGGGCTTGCATATGGGCTGGGGTAGTCAGCCTCACATGGTCGTGCTTGCTCGAAAGGAGGAAGCCTGTCTCACCTTGTTACAGGTCGAGGAAGCGCAATGCTGGCTGCTTTCGCAACCTTCTTCAATTTTTTCGCCATTGCAGTTGAAGCAGTTCAGACGGCACTACTCGAAGGATCCAACTCAGGGAAATAAATCAGAGAAATCGAGGGGAGAAAGTCTTTGGACTGGCGCTGGGCTGAGAAACAAAAAGCCTTTATCTCGAACGCAGGATTGTTCCAGAGACATCTCGTGCTGGGTACGTGCATGTGCATTCGGGAATGACATCCCACCCAACCATTGATGCGTTGTTGATGGAGGTCCTCTGCATATGTGCAAACACGACACCCTGCATACCACGCCGCTTAGCTGCTCGACCCCGCACTTGAATCCTCAGCCTGATCAGAATTTATGTGCCCAAATCACAGTCACCATGATATGTGATTGCAAAGAGTACGCCTTGGTGTGGGTGGGGGCACAGTATGAACTTGTCGCACTCTGTGTCAGTCGACGTGTGCCCTTCAGGGATATCCACTTGCAGATGCAGCCACAGCGCGTAATGTGTCACTATATGATTGGTTCCAAAAGCGCAGCAGACTTCCACAAAATACCTTCCTCGTTCCGATTCATGTCTTAGAAGCTGAACTCAGCGATCGTTGACACTTCCCACGTACCTAGGTAGCCGCGATCCTCCTACCTTGGTAAGCTGCAACTCTCTGACAGACTGCAACTGGATACAAAATGAGCATTTGCATATTGTGCAATCGTACTTTCGGCAGCGATAGAGCTCTCAAACAACATGAAGAAAACTCACCAAAGCATGCACCCTTTGACCCAAAGGCATGCAATCGCTCCTTCAGTAGCCAGACTGCACTGAGCCAGCACCAACACAACTCTCCAGTCCAGAAAAAAACCAGAAGCGACTCAGTCACTAGCTCCGTCGCACCTGTTCCCTTTACCCACTATGTCCCTTTGCTGTTCTCGACGTCTCGTTCAATCATACACAACGGCCGGCGCGGTCGCCACACCACGACGGAGAGCAGTTCACGCACGAACCCAACCTTCGACTTGCCTTTCAATGTACTCGAAAACCGATTGCGAGCTCTCACTTTAACGGATGGCAATACGATTGTCGCACCGCCAAAGATCGATCAAGCGCACATTGCCACACAACAAGAGGTGAAGACCTCCTTTACATTTCCGCAACTGCACCAAAGAATTGCCGAAGCCGTGGTGCCCGAGATAACATCTACGTGGTTCAACTACAACACGAAGGCTCCTTTTGAAGATAGGTACACGACGTGTGTTATGGGAAAATTCACATGCGAAAACAAAGCATGCAGAAAGCGCCAGTGGAGCAGCACCGTCGTAGCCATCGGAATTAGAAGATATCCTCGTAACGGGTACAATGCTGTCGTGTACAATCAGCATTGCAATTCTTGCCAGTGGCTGGGAAGCTTTAAACTGGACGAGAAATCATATGTGGAGCGGATTGCGTACAGGCTTAAGAATTGGGCAGGCGTGGCAGTCGAGCAGCCTCTGTATGGTGAAAAGACTAGAGGGCCACATGAAAGTCACCTCTGCGAGGGCTGCAAAGTGGACGATTGCCCTTGGATGAAAAGATTGTCATTATAAGACCTATCTTCATGGAGGCAACATGTGGAGATGAGGCGAGGCGGAACCCCACTACATAGGTATTATTCTGAAACTATAGTCGTATGTAATAGTTTTGGTCATCTATTAAGTCTATAGACATACGTTGTTGCCTTTGTCATACGTGCAAGACCTCATATCCAGGATGATAGTGCTGATAACCTCTAGTACCCTTTGGGGTTGCGTTGCGTTGCGTTGCATTGCGTTGTTCAGCACCAATATTATCATGGCAGGAAGGGGGCTGCAAACTTTCATTCATCAAAATATGAAGACCCTGGTGTTGGAATTCCATCACGAAGTGGCCCATGTGTAGCTGCCTGGCCCTAGTATCCCATGGTCTCGTGAGACAAAAGCGATCACGTATTCTCCAAACCGGGGTTCCACGCGCATGGAGCGTCGTAACGTCATCAACACGATCAAGCCGGGGATGCTGGGCGATCGTGATACCTTGAACATATCTGAGGCTTGATGTACGTGGCCCAGTTGGTTTTGCTGTAAGACAAATTTTCATACCCTGCAGTTGACGGAATGGGAGTCCTCCCAAGAGCCATGAGGGCCATCAACATATCTCCAAGGAAGTCTTTGGGATAATTTTCGAATTCTTGTGATCGTTCGATAGGGTCAGCAAGATCTGAGAAACGATAGTTGTTGACTGCGAAATCTAAGAGAACTTTGCGCAGAGCTGATCCTTGGAGTGTGGTTTCATAGACATAGGAGAGATCGTGGTTTGGGAACATCTACTCATGCTGCATCTTCTGGGTAATCAGGTCTATCGCGGCGTTGCAGAGCTCAAGAGCCCCCCGGACGTCGCCGAAGACATAGATCTCACAGATGAGTTTCCTGCTTACAGGAACTTTCCCTGAAGCGTCGAGGGCTGAGTAGAGCTCTCCTATATAGATCCAGCTAAAGAACGCCTGGAAGACCTCCGGGTTATCGCCCTTCAGCTCGACAGTCTTTGAAGTGCCCCAGCAATCCTTCATGGCAGCTTCGAAGTAGAAGGAATAGTGAGAAAGAGGGCCTTCGTAGACGTGAAATTCGCGCTTCGCGTTCCAATCGCCGACCGTAACGGTGGCGATCGGACCGTAGTCGTCATTATCTTCCACGTTAGAAACTCACTCAATCCTAGAGATACATTCGTGCTTATGGGTTAGGCGGAGCAGCCACGGTCTTCGAGCATTTGGGCAGGTCGACCAAAGGAGTGACCTTATTGGGATCCTCTTTCTTCTCTGGAGTCGTCATCACGCGCGATTGTGGTTGTCGTGATAGCTGGCCACAGTCGTGATAAGTGTTTCAATGAATCAGATTGATGTGCCGGTGACGGTGAAAAGTACTGGACCTAGTAGCGCGGTCTTGGCAGTGAGCAGGAAAGGCAGGAGTAACGAGAGGGTCCAGCAGGCGGTGACAAGCCGGGTTCACTGACTAGAGACTACCGTCTGCTTTTCGTTTTGAAGTATATATATTGGAAGCGCGTGGGCTTTACTGGCTCCCTGAGATGATGTAGTCCCCAAGGCCCGAGGTCAGTCTACAGCTGGCTTTAGATTATTGACACCCGCAACGGGTTTTGTAGAGTAGAGTAGAGCCTCTGATACGAACCTTGACTGTCCCCTTACCGTGTACATTGCTGCCGCCACTTGTCAGGGGTGTAGTAGGGCCTTCTGACCTGTCATTCCAGATCCGTGCTGTCACTAGAAGAATCTCTTGAAAGGCTCACATCTTTTCACATAGCTATCATCGCACCCTACTTCTGTAGTATAATTGTACACTTAACTCATTTCACTTTCTCCCTATCGGAGAAAACGCCAGACCATGCAAATGCTACTCGCTCTTTCTACGATTGTACAACTACTAATACATAATTTTTCCTGTTTCCAACACGCTCGCTAAACCCCAAAGTCGCTCAATGGAAAGAGTTGTGTATTACTAGTATTTCTTCTTTCTGTGCCGTACATGAGGATCCTGTCCCTTGCGATTCCTCTTCTGCCGGTCCGTTGGCGGTCGGTATGGTTCTTTGCCGTACTCTTCCCGGTACAGGCTAAGCATATACTCGTCAACATGTCGCCGCTCCTTCTCGTTGCCGTTGACATCGAGGTCTTCGTTCGCTTTGGCGGCAGCAGCGGCCTCCGAGGCGGCTCTCGTGGCGTTGAGACTTTCGTTGAAGTCGACTTGGTCTTCTTGAATCTCGTCCACAATCTCCTTCTGTGCGATGGAAGCTGCTGTGCGGTCCTCCGTATCTTCCACTGTGCCCATAACACGTGCGTCACCCAACAGTCCAATCTTCTCGCCGAGCACACGTTCCATGGCTGCACCCGCTTCGTCGTTGGTGTCAATTCCCAAGTTCTCGTCGAGTGCGTCGCGCCAGGTGACTTTGTTAAAGGTGTCTGTGGTGAAGTCACCCTTTTGAATGATGACATCGTCGAGAAGACGTTTCTGGTTCGACTTGCGAAGAATATTGGCTTCGATGGTGTATTCGCTGACGAACTTGTAGATGTGCACATCGCGCGTCTGACCAATACGATGAGCTCGATCTTGACACTGCTTGTCCATCGCGGGGTTCCAATCAAGATCGTAGAAGATGACGCTGTCAGCACCTGTGAGATTGATACCGAGACCACCAGATCGAGATGACAGGATGAAACATAAGATGCGGGGGTCACTGTTGAAGCGATCAGTAAGAATCTGGCGCTGTTCGATCTTGGTAGATCCGTCGAGGCGCAGGTAGCGATATCCATGAATGTTCAAGAACTGCTCGAGAATGTCGAGAACCTTTGTCATCTGGGTGAAGATGAGCGCACGGTGACCACCAGCCTGTAGGTCTCGCAGGAGTGTCGCAAGACGTTGAAGCTTGCCACAGTCATATTGAAGGAGACGCTTGTCCGGGAAGGCGATCGATTGTCGGATACGCGAAGAATGGAAGGGGTCTTTCTGGTGTGCTGCCTCCGACGATCGAATCAGCTGGACACCGCGCCTGGACAGGGTCAGGGGTGCCAACTCCTCGGCTGCAACGGCAGGCGTAACACATGTGAAGCGAGTTATAAGAGGCTCCATGGAATCAGCACGCTGCTCCAATGTTGGGATCATATCATAGAAATGGGTGATTTGTTGATCGTGCCAGTGCGACAAGACACGATGAGAGCGTGGTGACCTGAACCCAAGAAGACCATGATGACGTTGAACGATGTCATAGTGAATCGCTTCCTCTTGTCTTGGTTGCATCTGAGCCTGACCGAAACCGTGATAGTTGGGATGTGGAGTGTGGTGCGTTCGGTACAAGAGAGGCTTAGCTACCCTCTTCCCTTCCGTGATAGCCCCAAATGTGAAATCGTGCCAATCGACGGTCAGTGCGTCAATGATGTCCTTTCCGTAAATCGGCATGAACTGGGTACGCGCGCGAGTAAGGTTAAGACATGTTTGCAAATGGTCCCGAACGGCCACTTGCTCTCGCTTCGCCATCACTGCCATGGTCGCTTGTAGCGAAGAAGTGCCCTTATCGATGGGTTTGTTGATGCGCCGTGTTTGGCGCTCGATCAGATCCTCCAGGGGCCGTGTGGCGCGAATAGGGTAGGTGCGTCTAGCATGACCCAACTGCGTCTGTTCCCGTCGCGCAAACACCAGGTTCAAGGCGTCTAGATTTACTTGCTTATCTTCCATGCCCTCTTGCAGTCGCTTTCTGATGAGAAGGTCCTTGATCTCGTACTGAGCAGCGACTGACTTGGGCATGGCCATGGACGTTACAATGGCTCGTGTTTCGAACAGATCGGGGTGATTGCAGACTTTTCGTAATGACATTAAGCAATTGATAATCGACATGTAGTTGCCGGAGGACAAAATCTCCTTGGTCGAAGCGCGGCCCATGAACCCATCGTAGAGCTGCCGTTGCCGCTTTGAAAGCTTGCAGTAAACAACGTGCTCGTACTTTCCTGGCATTTGCTTCTCAACCTCTGATTTCAGCCTTCGCAGCAAATAAGGGCGAAGGACTTCGTGAAGCCGCTTGACAACCTTCTGCGCTTCGGCATCAAGCTGCTGCCGACCTTGATCGAGAATTTGCGAGGTGGGATTCTTCAGAGCCAAGGTAAACTCCTCCAGTCCCGCGATGCGACCTTCTCCGGCGAAGCCAGCTGGCATTAAGAAGTAGAGCAGCGACCAGAGCTCATCGATGTTGTTTTGTAGAGGCGTACCGGTCAGTAACAACCGTCGCTCTGTTCTAAGGTTAAGCATAGTCTGCCATCGTTGAGACTTGAAGTTCTTGATGTTGTGGGCTTCATCGAGGACTAGGTAACGCCAGGGACGCATCTTGAAGGCTGCTGCGTCTTGGAGGATGAGCTGATAGGAGGTAATGACGACGTTGTACATATCCTTGCCAGTGTTGCGCCATCCTAAGCGCTTTCGTTTTCGCTCGTTAATGTCGCCATAGTAAGTCAGGATTTTGAAGCCTGGCAAGAACTTCTTGAACTCCATCTCCCAATTGAGCATGACGCTAGTAGGTACCACGACTAAATGTGGTCCCCATATCTCGCGACGAACAGCAAGGTAGGCGAGAAGTGAGATGGTCTGTATAGTCTTGCCCAGACCCATCTCGTCTGCGAGGATTCCGTTGGTTTCGGATTCGTACAGGTTCGCCAGCCAGTCCAAACCATCGTGCTGGTACTCTCGGAGTGTACCGCGTAATAAGGATGGAACCTCGGTCCTTGGTGGGGATGATGTATGCCGTGATCGAGAAGCGCTTTTGGAATGTACTACATCTTCGATCGGAGTTGGCTCAGCTGCCTCTACGGAGGGGGCAGGTTCTGTTTCAGTATGCCCGTTGACATGTGGCTCGTCTGCTTCAGCGACGGAGTCATGACCGTTCACATGTGGCTTCTCCTCAGAGACTTCCTCGGGCAATGCAGCATGGCCATTCGTTTGTTCAGAGTGAGAGGTGGGGTCTTCCGGTTCCACATCGTCAATCGCGGTCTTGGCGGCCTCTTTCAGTTTCTTGATGTCTTTAGGTGCCAAGAAACCCATCATGCCTAAGTCTTCTCCCTCACTCTCGTCCTCATCGTCTTCTTCCGAATCGGCAGCTTCATCACCGTTACCCTCGCTATCCGAGCCCTCGTTGCTCGACCAAGCTTCACTACCAGATTCAGAGCCCTTGTCATCGTCAGAGTCCAGCAAAGCATCATCAACCTGATCAAGCTCGACTGTAGCAGGATCGATGTAGTCTGGCTTCTCCTTATCCTCATCTTCGTCGTCGTGGTCGTGAAAGCCGTTCGTCTGTTGGAATGGGTTCTCCGGAAGCTCGTTCGTGTTGTCGACTTCGAGGTCGGGATCGGGTGTTGGCGCAGGAGTGCCCTCTTCGGAATCAGCGTCGTCGTCGTCTTCGCCGTCGTCTGAGTTGGCTTCCACCTCGGAGCTGCTCTCAGGGAGGTCGGGAAGTTGTCCGTACTTCTCGCGTAGTTGTTCGGCCGTGAGGTTCGCATCTTCGTCTTGCTCGTTCTCTTGTTCGCTATCGGAGCTAGAAGACATAACATCGTCGTCGAGCTGTTGCTGTGAGGCATGCGACACCCCGCTTTCGGATTCCATCTCATCGAAATCACGGTCTTCGCTGACCAAAGAGGAGGCCCCGTCGCCAGCGTTGCGACCACCCAAAATCTCTTGCGCTTGATTGAACATGTCGTCCATGGCCTTGTGTCCGAGCTGCAACTGTTCCTCCTCGTATTTAGCCACACGCTCCTTGTCGATCTCGACCCTGACCAAGCCCCATGCGTCCTTGACATCCTTCACGAGCTGCTTGTACCTCGTCACTTGCCGCTCGGTCTCTTCTTGTTCGATCTCATCTTGGCTCTTGCGCTTGAACTTGTTCTTCCAAAAGTCGTATGCTTCCCTAGCCAATATCTTAGCCGTCCGCCGATGGAATGCCTTTTCCTCTTTCAACAATTTGTTGAAGTGCAACACGTGTGCGACCACGTGGTCCCAATGTCCGTATTGTGGCGGTGGCTCTGGGGCTGCTTCAGGCGCATATACGCTGCATCGTGCCTGGCTCAGAACTCCATGCTCAGCAGCTTCGACAATCTGCAACCGGCGCCTGGCCTCTTCCTCGGCTTTTTCCTGTGTGATCCGGAGCGCCTCTTCGCCATCGAGCGGGTCGTCTTGTCCTAGCCACTCTTCGAGCGACGCGTACTCTGACTTGGGCGGGGCATGGTGGGGATGACGGTTGGGAGGGTCGGGCTTTCGCAGTCGCAGGCGGAGACGAGGGGCAGGCATAGATGGGTTCGAGTCGTCGGGGGATCCATACAGACCGGCGTAGGGGTCGTGTCCATTAGTTTCGACGTCGTCCATGGGCTCATCACCTAGATCATTGGTAAGTGGCTGCGCTCCCCTCCGAGCGCGCCCAACCCGTTTGCGCGTGCCTTCGGGCGACCCATTCTGCAGTGCTGGCGACGTGACGGGCGACGTTGTCGCAAGTCCTGAAGGCTTTCTCTGGCGCTCAGACTTGCGCGCCGGCGTTGCCAGAGACTGTGCCGAGGCCTTCTTGGTGATGGTGGATGGCGTCTTCCCTTTCGAAACGGACATGGGCCCTGAGCCATTGCGCGACTCTCGCTTGACACCGCTCTTAGGGGTGCCGTTGGTCTGCGTCGCCTTGCTTGCCGGGCGAGAATTCCGCTTTACAGGTTCCGGCGTTGGCGGTGCAGCATCCTTGCTCACACGTGATGATTTCCTGACGCCATTTTCGAACACTGTCGTTGGTCCATCAGCCACGAATGACTTCCAGGGCGGCGATACGGCGCGTGATGCTGAGCGGCGCGGTGTGGTGTCTTCGAGTTTCCGCCGTTTTGGCGGCCGCTCAATGACGCCACCATCATCGCCATTTCCAGGTGCCGGTGGATGTTCCTCTTTGATCACAGGTGCGCTGTAGTTCTCACTCTGTTCGCCATTGTGTGTGATGTCGGATGCGTTGTGTGCGGCGGCCGAGTCGCGTGGTGGGATGGAGTCGATGTCGCGATCCGCGGCGGTAACTTCTTCCATTCAGGAAGGGCGAGAGAGGCGGCCTGGGGAGCCTGGAGACCACCCGGCGCGCGGCCAAATCGACATACAATAGCTCGAATTCGGGGTCGCAAGATAGTCTGACGCGTGCTGGTGACGGTGATGGGATCAGATTCCAAATTCGGGCTCGCGCTGGGATGATGCGGTGTTATGTCGAAGTTGTGAGATGGTAAAAACAGAGCCGGCGATAATGTTTGGTAGGGATCACGCTAAATACCGGCACGGGCGCGCATGCCATCCCTTTGACGTGAACGACAGCGAAATTGTGATGATTACGTCTGAGAATGCTGTGATCGAGGCTGTCTAAAACCTCCGCAGATTCTTTCAGGCAGGCGTCGGATTGCTCAGTCGCGTAGACGCCTTTCGTGGTACATCCATGACCGGTTGTGGTAGTACGCAGAGCAGTTAGACCCACTTCTCCGCCAAGCATTACCGGGGCCGCAACTGAGCTCATCGCGAACGACACACCGATACTGTAACCCATCGACCCCCCGCAATTGCGCCACAACGTACGAAGACACCGAAGACACGCATCGCATAAATACTCACTCGGCTCTAGCATGTTTCCTAGGCGCATTGTAGCGGCCCGCCCGCTGGCTCGAGCCGTCGTCCCCGCCGTAGCCCGACCACGACCCCAATTCACCCAAATCCGAACCGCTCTCACCGACGCTGAGAAGGCCCAGGCTGAGCTCGCAGACCCGAACCAAGTACGCCCACGTTTTCTAGAGGAGGAAGCAAGGACATAGTGCTGATGGTGACAGAACGGCGGCTACATCAACCCTCCCGCTGAGAAGCGAGGAAACCGCGACCCGTACGGCGACTACTGGGACAAGCAGGAGCGCCGCAACTATGGCGAGCCCTGCCACGAAGACAACGATATCATGGGTGTGCTAGCGCTCCACGACTACAACCACTTCACCCCCCAATGGGGCTTCGTCCTACTGGGCACCTTCGTTGCCTCTGTCTTCGGACTCTGCGCGGCTGTTGGTACCTTCTACCCCGACAAGCTCAGTGCGCCCAAGACGTACCCAGATGGTCTGGAGGCGGAGCTAGGTGGAAAAGGTGCATTGCTGGTAAGTGCATTATGGTTTGGTGTGGACTACTGCTAACAGCGTATAGGCAAGGAAGCCCGGTGAGGGCTGGTAGACTGTGTGCAGACCAAATTGACATGTACATACCCCAATGGAATTCTCTTTGTCAACACAATACCCGTTTCCATCTTAGGCTAGTTTGATTTTGAGTTCCATCGCCAATCTCGTCTCAAAAACTGATGTATTCATTCCCTTTTTGGTTCAATTGGACGTTGATTCGAGGACCGAGAATTCTTTCGTCAATACAGCACTGTGCGCTGCGTGCGGAATAATACGTCTTGGGATCCTCTTCAAGAGAAGCATCCTACGACACCCACCCAGAGGCACCGTTTGCCACTACGTCATCGCAGCAATTCGGGAGCACACCCTCGTGAGCCCCATGCATCTCGCAACTCATGCCCAGGTCATGAAGGAACCCAAACTCCTACTGGTCACGTACTCGTTCACCCTTGTTGTATGCTCGCTTTGTCGGTAACCGCCCAGGATACTTGCCATGATCCGATTGGTCAACCCACATATTTATACAAGCAATCAACAGGACCATATACGGCAGTTGACTTTGAGACCTTCTATAGGAAATGATCCTTCGACAAAACTACCCGACATGGCGAATCGTCAACATGATGTGGGGTGAGTCCCATGTGGAGACCTTGCTGCGAACGTTGCTCATGATATATTATTAGGCGTATGTACCACAACAGTACTTCCTCTTAGTTGCAACATCAAAGTTCTACATTTTCGCTTTCCTAAGATCTTCGGGACGATCAGGCCACTTGATCTTCAGCATGTACTGGTCCTCACTCACATTCGCGCTCACCTCTTTGTTGCACAATGTCGCAGCATCGCCCGCTCATGACCTCAAGGCCCGACAGTTTGCAACAGCAGCGATGTTACGCTTCCAGTGCTCTCAACTAGTCTACGACCGCATTGATCCACTCGTGCAGCCCGGCATTGCACCTTCAGTACATATGCGTAAGCAATACCCATATGCTATTCCTATATAACACGTATACTCACCTTGCTTGTCATTGTCCAGACCAGATTGTCGGCGGAAACGCTTTCAACGTCTCTATGCCACCGCTCGACCTCGACCCCAGCACAGAAGCCACTTGCACAACCTGCGATTTCGCCGAAGACCTCTCAAACTATTGGACCGCGAATCTCTACTTCAAAGCGCGTAACGGCACCTTCCAACGCGTCCCACAGATGGTCAACTTGGGTCTACAGGGTAGAGAAGGCGTTACAGTGTACTACATCCCGCCATACGATGGAAAGAGTACCGTGACCGCGTTTCCCAAGGGTTTCAGGATGTTGGTCGGTGATCCAGGCTTGAGGGCTAAGGAGGGCCAGCAGAAGCAGCTTTGCCATCGCTGTTTCACGAACAAACAGCAAGATCCGTTTGGAGGGGCGCCATGTATTGGGGAATTCGACACAGCGAGCTTGCCACCGGGCATGTGTGGGGGTGGAATCAGGACGACTATTACGTTCCCAACGTTCGTGAACTCCACCTACCTGGCTGCGCACATGTTGCTGATGTTAGATGCAGGTGCTGGGATGGCAAGAACATCGATTCTCCGAACCACAAAGATCACGTCGCGTACCCTACATCTGGCTCCTTCGAATCTGGCGGTCCTTGTCCATCGACTCATCCAGTGAAGATGCCTCAACTCATGTACGAGGTCATGTGGGATACTACGCCTTTCAATGACGCGGCTCTCTGGCCTGGGGATGGGTCGCAGCCGTTTGTTTACAGCATGGGCGATGCGTGAGTGACCTGCAGCGACTGTAGGGAATCGGCACTAATTGTGTGTAGGACTGGCTACGGTCAGCACGGTGATTATGTCTTTGGCTGGAAGGACGGTGCGCTGCAGAAAGCGATGGATCAACGCTGCTTCGGAAACACGTGTACAGGGTTAACGACACAAGCTGCCGATGTGTCGACCAAGTGCGGGGTACCACAGGCTGTGAAGGAGCCGGTTGAAGGCTGGCTTGAGAAGTTGCCAGGTGGCCCAGCCGTGACCTACGAGTGATTTCATGCAGAAACAGTTATCGCAAAGGTACGATGCTAAGAGGATGTCCTATGGATATGGGGCAACAGCAATCCTGTACGTAGATCGATGTTCGTTTCTCGTTCACGTCTATAGAACGACTATCTCGTTGATAGCATACTATCTTCGATCAGAAGTTTTCTCATCTCCCTGGTAGGGCAAGTTTCACGTGGAAATATACTGTTGTCAACGATGGGTCTATAGTCGTGTGGCGCGCAAAGTGGGAGCAGTCGAGCGGCCGTCCGCCGCCTCCATCGCACGCTCACTGTCACACAAATAAACAAATTTGCAATTGACGCGTTCGTCTCCACCGCTTCGCACACTTTCGCGTACGAGCACCATGCACCGACACGAAGAAAACGAGTAGAAGAAAGATGGCGGAGATTGTACAGTGCGTGAAGCCAATCTTGCACTTTTGCGTACCAATGCCCGCGAAATTGCTGGGAAAAGCCCAAGAGATGAGACAACAGGTTTGATGTACTAGCTGAACAGAGATGAGGAGGATCAACAGAGTCAGGAGATTGACAAGAGTAAGGAATGCGGAACAGACCAAGAAAGCAAGGAGCGCGAAGAGCGCGAAGCCAATCTCGCACTTTCCCTTGCCATCATCCGCGAAGATGCCGAAGGCAGAGATGAGACACCAGTCCCCATGTCCAAGCGGCCCAGAGACGAGGAGCAGAGCGAGGCTTATGTCGATGACATGTCTCACAAAGGGCCACTCAAGGAGGCTGGTGAGAAGCTCCCAGCCGACAACAATTTGCAGACATCTTTCGACGCTGATTTACAATCTAATCCTACACCACTAACTTCGCATAAGAAGCAATGCTGCGGACCACCGAACCCGCCACTCAACGAACCTGCTGTAGATCCACCACAGCGCAATCTCACCGAAGCACCCAGCTCGTACTCGAACTCCACAACTGCTCCCTTGGACCACTACATTCGCTTAGTCTGCAAATCTCAATCGCTTCCCAGCCTCTCTGAGCCATACTTCAGCTCGTCCAATAAGTCCCCCGTATTACGACGCGACCGCAAAAACAAGATAATAGTCTACAGAGGCTCCTTCAACCCGCCACATCTCGGTCATCTAGAATTGGCGTACTATACATTTCTACGCAGCTCCTCTACAATGATAGCCATCCTTTTACTTCCTATCTCCGATCTTCTATACGCTAAAGATGGCGCCAGAGTGAACGGAAAGGATTTTGCTACTACGAAAGCACAGGGAATTTCGCTACTACAGGATGACTTGCTGCAGCGTTGGAGTTGGTTCTACGAAGGCAAGAAGTGTCACAAATTCAGTGAATATCGGGCTGCTTTGATAGATATGGCGTCCAGAGATGGCTTCAGACTAAATTTCACGTACCTGAACGGAAGCGATCACTACAGTAAGGCTGTTAAGAAGGGGACTCTAACGTATCTAAGTCATGAGACGGAGGACATGATCATCAGCGATATCACGTGTCCGTCTAGTCTGTTCATCGGCCCGGATTCTTCTCCTGCACAGTTGCCTGGCTGTGGACCTTGGCGCTTAGCTTATACGCCGGTGAGTGATTCAGGAGATTTCACTTGTAGATGCAGGAAATTCTGTGCTGAGTGTCACACATCTCGCCGGATAAGAGAATACTGCGGCGGCCATACTGCTTTGGAAGGCGAACCGCACGCTCTATCAAGGCAGGAAAAGATACTGTACGAGATTTTGGTAAGATGCCACGACGGAGGGGGCGAGAAGTGGGTTTGTAACAGGGATCGTGGAGGTGTAGTAACGTTTTTTGGTAGTGAAACGGCTTATCGTCGCGAGGACAGCGAGAGGGAGGAGATTAGTTCTTCGATTATCAGGAAGATACTGGGGAAAGGTGGCAGTAAGGCGGAGATGATAGAGAAGTTGGAGAAGGTCATGTTGAACCCAGAGTTGCTGTTGCAATATCTTGAACCGGACAACTAAGTGGCAAAACCGCCCTGAAATTGGAAGGAGGAATATTCTCACCGCCTTGGTGTATCCAGCCCACGGAATGCAAAACTGCAAGGCCCTCAATAACGCTTCAATATCTCAGATTAAGACCTGATCGTCCTGCTCTAACAATTAGTCATACTGAGGCCGATCCAGTGCTCGTCAAAATCCATTCGTCCAGCAGGAACTTTGCTGGAATCGCTATCACAATGATTCCGAATGTAGTCCATGTCGGCGCCGATATCGCTGCCCAAAGCACAGAACCTAGTGTTGCGCTACGATAGTCATTAGATCAGCCCTCTATGCTCAAATGTATTTGGGTAACTAAGACTTACCAAGTTGCATAAGTAGACAGCGCAATTGTACGAGCAGCTAACGATGGCGCAGTGATTGACTCCGCCATTGACACAGTACAAGGTGTGATGAAGTCCCTGCAGGCGATTCCAGCCGTCATTGCAAGCCTTGAAGCCAAAGACATCTCTGCCCCACTCACAGTTGAGCTATTGACAATGGAGTGAGTATGCATTGCTGAAATTCCGAGGGGGGTATGAGCTTGGAGACTTACAGTTGACCGCCTGTGCAAGGAACGCGCTTGGGCGACATCTAAAGCGTTCGTGTTGGGGAAGGCCTCGGGTTTGAGCGCTTTCATCTCCTCAAAGACAGATTCCCCTGTACCCGTGAAGGTGACGCCGGGGAACCGGTCGTCGGTAACCTCCAGCTCTACGAGAGCTATGTTATCCCCGGATATCTGAACGCTGCCCATGGAGAGCCCTTGAGCTTGGGGCACAGCCGTAGCGTTGATCTATTGGCCAAATTAGTCGATGCTGAGTGCAAGAGATCGCTGAAAGTGGTAGGAAGTTACGCACAGTGCAAGCCAATAGGCCTAAAGCGGCAAGGAAGATAGCGAAGAAAGACTTCATCTTAACACGAGAAGTGTCGGTGACTTGGGTAGGATGTATGCGATAGTAAAGTTGAGTATGTCCGTAGTCTAAATCGACTCTTTCCAAGATTGTTGGTGGTGAGATCGAAGAATAATAGTGGAGAAAAAATCTCGCTTCATTATACCCTCCAGTGTCCGTGACAAGTGAGCCCCGTCCTTCACCGTAAGATCCGCATTGCAATTACCCCTCGATTACGTGTGCGCACGGTAGACACACGTTATTGGGCGAATACCCAGCGGGCCACGTGCTCTAGAAGAGCGTTTGCCTACGTCTTTCCCACTGGTGCCTGACTCAGCGTTTGTAATCGATTGTCTTACTCGGTCGCTACGATAATGCAATTCGGTGCCTTGTACAGACCGTGATTGATAGGAACATTTGTATGAATGTCAAAACGATGATTATCGCCTAACGCATGAGGTAGGAGTGCTACCGATAAAGAGATGACTTGTTACCCGAATAACGGTCATCAAGCATACATCGGGTGCCCGGTCGCTTCCATATGTCTAATAGTACAGTGTGGGGATATTTAGAGGATTGGCGGGTAACAGAGGGACATCTAATGCCTCTCCCTGATAGGCAACGGACCCATGACATACTCCATCCTCGTAGCGGACTCCTCATCAGATATCTTTTGCAACTTCAGGTCCATATTTCGAGCTTGAGCTTCATCTTCTACAGCCTCTTTCACCTCCCTCAGTCTTCTTTTTGCTCTCCTCCCAGGACGGCGGTTGTTCTCTGTACGAACGGAAGTTCGCGCTCGCGGCTCCAGCTTTTGATCATCCGGCTCAGGATCGTGGACATGGAATACTTCGCAAATCGCCTTCTTCATTTCCCCCAGCCAGTTGATGATTTCATCTTCAGACAGGTCTTCAGGGAAGGGGATGATTCCGTCTTCGCTTGCGAAATTCAAGCAGTCCATCAAGAACTCTTTGAGCAGGCCATCCATCCATTCCCGAACATTCGTCTTCATCCCGATGTTCACTATGATGTCGATAGCAAGGTGGCGTAGCGAAGAGTCCGATCCAGTGGCCTGGTATATATTGAAGATATACCTGTACGGGAGATCGTCAGGGTCATCGTAGATGCGTAGGAAGAACTCGTATAGAGCCGCATTTCGGAGCGAAATTATCCCAAATTCGTTGGCGAACCTGAAGGGGTGGATAAGTCTATCGAAAGAGATCCTTTCATCGGTGGTTTTGGCAGGGTTAGGATGATGGAGGTAACCGTTCGCGAGGAATTCGAGATAGATGCTAAACGTGCGTGGTGATTCATCGGGTAGGCTGAAGTACTCGGAAGAGTCGTCCAGTCTGGGGTGTGTCAGGATGATTTTGCTTGTTGAATTTTACTTGATATTGTGCTGAATGTCTCCAAAGTGACGCAATGAGAGACAAAATGATGTAGACTTACTGGTCATTGAAGTAGTCGGACGTGTTGCGTAGTTGTCTCAACGGCGCATCAAATATCTCGCTATCGCTGTCAAGACCTACTTCTAGCGATATCTGCTCGCGACCAAGCCGTCTTTTGGAGATTTTGGTATGGTCGCCGCACGGTACGAAAGCGTCTGACACCATGGGTCCGAGTATTGACGGAGTCTTGAGCCGCTGTGTATGTAGATGTTGGAACTACGGGAGACAAGACGCAAAGTCGCAGCGGTCGTTATGTAAACCCAGAAATTGTCAAAGTGCGGTTACCTGGGATGTGGGCAAACGGTGAAGTGAAGGTGAAGACGCGCACTTCTGACAAGGGAAATAGAATCGCGCACCAACAATTTTGTGTAAAGAGAGACATCGAGAGGCTTGACTGCGACTTTGGATGGATATTGCAAGAAAGGCAAGACGCTGATGTCTGATGATCTACGGAATGAGGGGAGACCCACGCATTTGTAACCTCCAGAGCTAATGTCGAACAGCACTCCTGAACGTGCGTTCATGTGAGACACGACATGGCGGCGCCACGGCTGACAACACGCCACTGCCTCTGCAAACAATATACGGAACCGAAGTAACTCGGGAAAAGACATCAAGGTCGAGTGCGAAGCTCAGAAGGAAACGACATGCTACGATGGCGACGCTTAACGGAATTCGCGACAACTTGGAATAGCATAGCGCCGTCACGGGTGGAGGTATGAACGACACTTCCATCGACGAACAAAAAACATATCTACATAGAACACCATGGATATCATCTAGCTAGCTATCCTACTTCATATCATCTTATATCTGCGAAAGCCCCCATATAGACGCCTCGCTATTCATTCCACATACCATGAAGCGGATGCCACCGATAATACATTAGCTAAGTATACTCAACGCCCGGACAACACAATGATGCAGAGGTATCAGGAAGCAAACAAACGCCAAAACAGCGACATGTGACAATAAGAGTGGCTTTGTCTTATCGGCGCGGACCGCCCATGCCGCCAGTCATGCGGCCACCACCGGAGTTGAGACTCTGTCGTACGATCATTTCTGCCGCCTGTGCAGCAGCAAGACGTTCCTATTGTTGATTAGTAAGCGTGAGTGTAAAAAGGAAGGGCAATGCATACCTTCTGTCTGCTTCTGTCCTTCAGGTACCGCTCCGCCTCGGGCCTCATTCTCAGTATCCTCAAGATCATGTCATCGTTAGGCTCAGCCTGTGCTTCCTTCCTCTTTTCTTCCTTGGCTTTCTTCATTGTGCCAAGATTGCGCGACAGCATGATGGTCTTGTGCTTCCTAGTCGGCATTCCGACAAGTCCGGCGGCACCACCAAACTGGTGGCCCATAGCAGGCGGTGCCGACATGCGGTTTAGGCGTTGTGATTGTTCTTGTTGTCGCCTTGCACTAGCTGCAGCCATTGACTCAGACGTACGGATCAAATCTTCGGTAGCTTCGAAGTAAAAGAAGTTAAGGTTCTGAAGCTCATGGTACTTGGGTGACTTCAGTACGTCCATCGGCACACCCTCAACATTTCCATCCTCATCTACGGCGTGGAAGAAGTCGAAAAGCATCTTCAGCCACTTGAACACAATGTCAAGCTCTTGTTGCGTCAGCGGACGCTGCTGCGAGAGCTTGTCGGATAGGGGAGGTACGAGTAGCGACTCTATGGTCGCGAGCGCCTCTTTCCAGAGTCTTGTCATGACCATGATCATTGCAGCGTCTGTCAGCGTCTGCTTCATGATCGCAAAGTTTTCGTCAAAATAAACGAACAGAGGACCGAGAGCTTGCGTGACGTCCTGCTGTGTAGGGCCCTGGATGACAGACATGGGCCTGGCTTGTCTGAAGTTTCCTAAATAGTTGGTGACCTTAGATGCTACGCCCTTGTTGAGCAGAGCATCAAGTGAGCGACGCGAAAGCTTGTAGCCGATGAATGATGAGAGCTGCCATTGTTAGCACGAATCGTGCTTCGTGATGGTAATATGCCTACCTTGTCCGTGATCTTCCGTGTCATGTCACGCTCAGTCCTCTTAAGTGTTCTGAACGACTTGCCGAAGTAGAATTGGATGTCGTCTCGCTCGCCTTCCATGCTCACACGTAGCAAAAGACGACCTTGTGTATCCAAGTCAAGCCAGTATTCTCGGGGCATGTAGTCCCGGAAGTGTGATGGATCGAGCTTGAGAGACGTCCGACCGACGCAGTCATGGTCGCCCATAGCGTCCCAGTCCCAAATCGTTGCAACGACATTCAGTGGTCCATTAGTCGTGATGTCAATCGTCTCGTCCCAGCGAGGATTCAGGTTGCGGTAAATGACCCGAGTCTTTGCCAGGCGCTTCTGGTACTCATCACCAAGCACGACGTATGGGTCACTTAATCCATTCATGTCGCATGCTTTCAGGTCTTCAGCCTCAATAATTTTGATGGTGAAGACGAAGTTGTTGTTTCGAAGGCGTTGCGTCGGGGGTGGGGAATTCTTCTGGATGACTTCAGCGCACGCATCGACACCAATCTCGCGCTCGAGCTTATCTAGTTGCTGCATCGCATATTCGATGTTGTTGAGTTTGACAAGCGACTGCATCGGTAAGCATTGAACATATCGTTGAGTTGAATACATACCTCTGGGTAAAATTGAAAAGGCTCGACCTTCTCTTTCTGGCTATAGAAATCCTTGACCGTCGACAACCACTTCTCTGACTTGGTCTGATGAGCGGCAGCCTCCTGCTCGGGCGTCAAGCGATCCATCTCCTTGGCAAACTTCTGCTCAACGAGTTCGCAGTATCTCGCGAGTGCGACACCGATCGATTTCGATATGGCAGTCATGAATTTGGCGTATTGAACATCATTATCCCAGTTTAGTGAAACAATCTGCTCGATACTCTGATTGAAGGATCGGAAGACATCCACCACTGAGACACTGTGGCGCTCCTCATCTGAAGGAATGGGGTTCTGCGATTCGATCTGGAATTGGTCTGCCTTGAAAGCGTTGTCAACCCACCCAATGAGGTTTTGATCCGTCATCTGAATCCATCTCCACACAAAGTCCTGCAGTTGATCTTCAATACTGAAAGCAAAGTTTTTGCCTGGCAGAGCATCACTGTGTATGCGGCGAATCTCAACAAGCTCTTTGTACAAGTCGAAGCCGTCCTGCACGGGTACATCCTCCCCCTTGCTTTGAGCGACGTCCATGATTCGAGCGACAAGGTCTCGCGCATCTGCGGCGTACGAGGGAAACATCTTTTCAACAAGACAATTCATGGGACTAGCACCCATGACTTCTGGATTCTTGCGATAGCGCTTCTGTATCCGCTCGCAGAGCTTCACCACAGCACGACCCAGCTCAATGACATGGTAGAATTCCCACTCTTCCTTGGTGTCCGGGATGTGCTTCGCTAGAAGCTCTCGATACACGTCACCAGCCTTGTCTCTTAGTCCGTGACGTAATTGTTCAGTGAACTGATCCATGTCTTCCTCGGTGCCGGGGAAAGTAGGGTCATCGTAGATGTGGGTCTCAAGGATGTACATTACCGGTCCGAGTGCAGGCGGTTTGGTGTCGTAAACATGCATCATGAGCTCGTACAACTCTCTTAACAGGCAGTCGTGCAGCGTTGACAGAATCTGCTGGTTGAGAGTGTAATCCTGGATTGTCCATTTCGATCGATCAAACAACGAAACTTGTACCGGAACGTGGCTCATTCGATGTGACTTCTTGTCAGTTGGCGGTGGTTCTTTGACATAGTTGAAGGCAGCATCGAGGGTATCCAGACTGATGTCTTGATTAATGTACTTGTCGCGTATGACGTCTAGGAACAGCACGAGACGGGAAAATTGTGGTATCCTCCATCGGAGGGCTATCTCATTCAAAAGCTCAGCCGACTGTTTTGACAAGAGCTTCACAGATGGGTTCTCGTTGGTAGCCTCGGATGGTTCGAGATCGTTATCCGCCAGGTCATACGTCAGTGCTTCATTCAGTATCGCACGATAAGTGGCACGTGGATCTGAAGGTATGAAGGTATAGGATGAGCTATCATTTGGGTCGTCGTTGAGGCTGAGCCCATTCATATCCACAGGTTGGTCAATGACATATGAGGAGCCGTTCTCGGATGACATGGAACCCTGTCTCGAACCGTCTGAGTAGCCGGGGTCCAAAGAAGCGTTGGGCTTGAAATGTGGCACAGATCCGGGTGAGCTCTTTGCGAGCTCGGGGTTTGACTGGATGATTGCCAGTATCATCTGCGAGAGGTCTGGCACCTCTTGGTTCTTCCATGCCTCGTACGCCTCCTCGGTATCGAAGTCGTCACTGTTCAGCGTCTTCTTGGTCATGAGACTGAGGTGCGCCTGGTATGTCTTGAGGTCCTGTAGCGCAGCCTTCTCGGTCCATACGGACTTGTAGCGGTTGATGTCGGCCTGTACATCGGAGTACCCCACTGCGAAGATGCGTGACACTACCAAGACGAGCGGCATGTCCTTGACTTCATAACTTCGCGGAACCTCGACTTCGACTGTTGTGCCACCCTGACCGCCATTGCGCTGGTTCTCAGCCGCCAAATCTTGATCGTGTACGAGTAACTTCTTTTCCATCGTGGCGAGCCGATGCGCAAGTTCTGGCCTGTCCTTTTGCCAGTCATGGTCTTTGAGGCAAGAGCTGACAAGACGCAGGAAGAGAGCGACGTGCCGATCTACCATGAGCTTCCAGCTGTCATCTCCGGGCGCCTTTCCCTTTTGCAGTTCCTTTGTGGCATTTGAGTAGAAGATCAGGAGTAGATCCTCGACTCTCCTATCCTTGTCCATGTTCTTCCTGAACGACGGGTCCTTGAATGCGTTCAGGAATACGGCAAACGTCCGCTTGACCGTGGCATCCTGGAACTCAGGCATGCGCTCCTGACCCATCAACACCTTTGTGATCCGTTTGTCCAGTGCAGCCATGAAGTCGCGGGGGAAGCGCGTGCTCTTGGAGTCTCGTATGAGGGAGAAGTCCTTCATGAGGTCGTTGATCGAGGTCGACGATCGCTGGACGTGTTTGGGCGCGGCGGGAACATGCTGCACGCGCTTCTGGCGGGGCTGGAGGAGGTATGCGAGGTATGCTGCGCGGAGAGCATAGAGATAGGCATCTTGGGCCGTGACGGGGCGCTTCCCACGAGCGTTGGCTGAACTGTGTCGTCGCAGGCGGTCCTGGGCCTGGAGGCTGTTGATGCGGCGATTGCTCCCCCGGGTGCCGTCCATGGTGGAGTGAGTGGGAGGATTCAATGGCGTGGGTGGAGGAGTGCGGCCGCGGTTGGGCGCATGTCACGGCGGTGGTGGTGGAGTGCGTGCTCCCGGGCTGCAGCTGCCCAGTGGGATGTCCTAGCGGGGTCGTGCCTTCTCTTGCAGTTTCTCCTACAACGTGGCGACTCTGTCACTGGCCCTGAGTCTTTGTCTTCACTCTTCACCGAGGGTTACTACTATCGGCGGTGTCTCTAGGCGTCGCGTCGTGGCCGACGTGGTTCCTGGTGGCGCGGAAGATCCACCGGAGTGCGTCACACGCTGTTTGGTGCAGGGAGCCAGGAGCCTCATATCCCGCTGACGGGGCCCGGGCCATTTTGAAACAATGTTTTGATTAGCCGCGAGTTTCTTGCTTGATAGCGCCATGTCAGCGTCGCTGCTAAACAAACAGCCGTTTTACTAGTAGAGACACCCTCATCTGCACATTGCGCATCCTATCGCCATAGCACCAGGCACGTGCTAGCTATGGAGAGCTTCCGCTTCACCCACGCGTATCGATAGCGCGCCTCTATCATCGCACCTCTTAACACACACACACACACGGATGCTCATCGTACACTGTAGCACCAGCTTGCTGGTATAGCCCGTGTTGAGTGGTGCATGCATTCAAGCTCGGCACCCGTCGGCCCATTCACATGAAGGGCAGGAACTATGCCCAGGTGAGCGCCTGCTGTCCCTTACAACACCATAGCAGTTGCGTACCATAGCCTGTGCCTCGGAACGTCACCTTTGTCTCTTCGACCAAATATACGACATAGCGCAAGACAATACCCTAGGCAGCCACATCCACCGAACCGGCTCGCGCCAGCTCAAGTATACTCAGCCTACCCGAACACACTTGCCATTCGCATCAGACGATACCTTCGTACAATCGCCTCCACGCCATCATGCCGGAGTCGCAAAGCCCCACAAACGCCGCCGACCGGCCCCGCCTTACCGAAGCCCAAAAGAAGGAGAACCACATCCGTTCCGAGCAGAAGCGACGCGAAGCGATTAGAGAAGGCTTCGACCGACTTGCCTCAATAGTACCCGGCTTGGAGGGACAAGGCCGGAGCGAGGCAGTTGTGCTCGGCGGTGCCATCAAGCTCATGCGCGAGAAGATTGTGGAGCGACAGCAGATCATCGCCGACGCCAAGGCGAAGGGGATCGACACAACGGGTTGGGAGTTGGACAAGGAGACGATAGAGGCGTGCGCTAGGCAAATGGAGCGAACGCTGGCTGAGGAGCGACAGGCAGAGAAAGAAGAGAACAGTAATGGGGTCGAGGTGAAGAAGGAGTAAGGATGCACGTCTTCAACGCTGTATAAACGGGAGGGACTGCGACTGGGTTTGGAACATCGGAATGAATATACAAGGGCGGGACGTGTTATATTGTTAGTAGGAAGCGAAGACATGGATCTGGCTGCATGAGCCTTGTAGAGCGGATTTTGGGAAAGAGGACCAATAAGCCCCCTTGAGAACCTGAAAAGTACATATTTTCGCTATCTTCTATTCAACGTGATAACCAAGTCACTTCAGGTCTGCGACACGGCAAGACTAGAGCGCATCCATGCTGTAGACATTCACCTGTGCACATACCACGTGCTTATCGATAAGACCCGAATTTATCTTTCACATGAAAGAAGCCCCACCAACCATCAAACTAACATCTTGCATATTAGTCTAGCCTGATCCAACCCCAGTTCACCATTCCATCATGGCATTTAGTTTCGGTTTCTCAGGCGATGACATAGAGGAAGATCCCAACGATGTGCAAGAGCAAGCGCAGCAACAAACAGCAACAGACAGCAATGTGCCACCACCGATTGCGGCCAAAACACATGATCTTGATGAATTGGTAAGTAGATATGTCCTGGATTATCGCAAGGTCAGAGATGATACTAACATCAACCCAGTTGTCCACTCTCCCAGACAAACTCTCCTACTCAACCATCAACATAACAAGCCCTAAAGGCTTCACAGCCCGTCTCCCCCGCCGCGAACTTTTCGATGTGCGCCTCCAACTCATGGCTGAGGACGATGGATCTTCCCAAACACCTCTGACTGGTCTCGATGTAATGGCTCCCTATCCCCTCGCTCCATCTTAATGAGCATCCACAAACTAACACTCATCTCAAGGACTCCGACCTCCGCCAAAACGTTTACGAAGGCGGCTACAAAACCTGGGAATGTAGTCTCGATCTCGTCCGCTACCTGCTCGATCGTGGACCGCGGAAAGATCTCGATGACCTCATGCGCGTCGGTCATGTAATTGAGATGGGCTGTGGATCTGCGCTGCCTTCGCTTCTCTTATTCCAATATGCGGTTAAGAACCAACTTGGAATTTACTTCACCCTAACAGATTACAACGCCGATGTTCTACGACTTGTTACTCTGCCTAATTTACTTCTGACGTGGACTGGTACGTTGAGTATTGAGGAGAGTGCCGCATTGTTCCCTGAAACTGGCAATCCACTATTAGAACCGGAGGAGAATGGCGAGTTATATGTTACTCCTGATATTGTGGCTGCTTTCAAGAAGGCAGTTGGTGAGATTGGGGTTACTATGACGTTTATCTCGGGGTCTTGGACACCGGTCGAGAAGCTCCTGGAGATGGTTCCTTCGTCTCCGGATCTGAGTACGTTCATCTTGGGTTCGGAGACTATCTACTCGCCAGCATCGCTTACAGCGTTTACTGATGCTATCGTCGCGCTGATGGGACGAGTGAAGACAGGCAAAACGATGGTAGCGGCGAAGAGAGTATACTTTGGGGTTGGAGGTAGTGTTGATGGATTCAGGGAAGCATGTGCGCAGAGGGGATGCGTAGCCTATGAGATGGAGTTTGAGGGGTTAGGCGACGGAAGCGATGGAGGTGTAAGGAGATGTTTGGTTGAGGTGCAGATGTATTGAACTTTGTAAGAAAGAATGATTCATTGAGGTTATGAGCTATGGATGAGATGGGTATCTAGGGATGTACCAAAGTAGAAAACCTAAAGTCAAAAAGTAGAGTCAATCTCATGAACGCTGTCAAAGAGTATCAAAGTAGTAATCCAAGTTTATCCAAGGTTCCCAATGTCGAGACGATCTTACTATTTCGCCCTCACGGTGACCGTCGGTCCAGGCAATTCCCTCCTACCTTCGGCCTCATCGCCACCACGCATAAGCCTCTTATACGTATCTCCCTCAACCCTCATGTGTTCTCCGCGGCTGACCTGCAACCTCTCCACACCCTTCCCAATAGCATCAATGTGGTACTCCAAAGGTAGATCACTTCTATATCCCAACATCTCTGGCGCCGCAACGCCCTCGCGCAAGTTCTCCAACTCGGCCTGGATCTCTTGTAGCTTGAGAAGTGTGCCGGACACATGATTGACCGCTCTCTTGCGATAGGCACCAATGTTGGCAAGTAGATTGAGAGACTTGGTGTTGGCTTTTACATCGCCGCGGTTACCACCGAGCTTTGTCCAGAGGCTAGAAAGAAGCTCTTCTTGCCTACCCGTTATAGTCTGATCATCGCTTGTTGCAATTTCGTAGATGGTACCTAGTCGCTCATCGAGGTTGTGCAGCACAAGAAGGAGAGCTTGGGCTGTTTCGATGAGACGAGTAATTTCATCTTTGTTCTTGCTGACGTGCGAGACGTACTGATCGAAAATACGTTGTTGGAGCGTTGGCGGCGGCGCAACAAACGCACCCGTAAGCTGGTTGATGACTCGGCCAACGGCGCCAATAGAAGCCTCTTTCTCCGAGATACCGGACAACACGTTCATGGTCCAGGTATTTGTCGCAATTACACGATCCATAGCTGCTCCTATACGACTGTTGTAACGGGAAAGATCGACGGAAGCCTCATTGGCTGTTTGTACAAAGTACTCGAATTCGTTGTCCAGTGCCTTGCGGCTCGGAAGACGAGAGTGTTTGACCAAGATACGCAAATCGCGAATCGCTAGCTCAGAGTTCTTGATCGTGGCCGGCAGGGCAGACGTATCCTTCGATGCATCCAAGATATCCTCAAAGCGACTTTGAATATTGATGAGTTCTTCGAAGTCGGCTTGAGGTTCTGACGTGTGTAGCGAAGCGCATGCAGCGATAAGGTAGGAAGAGCCTGGAATCGCGCAAACAGGCCCCATGACAGCGTTAGATACCGTGGATCGTAGGATCCCGGATGCTAGCTGGATGCTGAAGACTAGGATACCAACACCAAGGACGACCCCCAGGAAAGGCTTGATAAAGTGTCGCATTGCGTAGGAGAAGATGTCTAGAAAGTGAGCGAGGAGTGGTGCGACGACGTTGTTCCAGAAGAGGTTCACGTAGTGCCATGGGCTCACTTCTTCCTGGTTCTGTTGTGGCGCTTGCGGGTACCCGGTGGCGGACCCTTTCATGAAAGAGCTACCTGGTGCAAGGGGCGAGTCTGATGGGCGGTTCTGGGTCGTATTTCTTACTCGATTCCGCGCCTGAGGCTTCGGACCTGGCGAGCCACCGTAGCCACTTTGCGGATTGCTCATGGAAGGCATGATGAAGCTCGGCTCCGATGCGTCTTGTTTCGGTGTTCTGTCGGATCCTATCCTTTGCGACTGACTGGCTTTGGCCCGACTCGCTGGCTTCCTCACGGACCGAGCCTGCGTTTGCGCTGTAGGTGTTGACTTGCTGAGGTGATTGCGCTTAGGTCTGGGTGTCACGGTCGTTCGTGGTTCTTGTACAGTTTCTTTGTCAGAGTCCTCTAGTTCCAATTCGCTGGCTTCTTCGCTGGCCGAATGAATGGAACCTTCGTCGCCGGATGCGTAGTCAGCGTCGCCCCAGCTACTTCCCAAGCTGTGTTCGAGCCGCCGGGAACGTGTGCCCATATTCTAAGTTGATGGTATCAAGGTCTGTGACGTAGGGCTGACGGTTGGGTGGGTCAAGGTAAGAATGCAATACAGAGCAAGTGGTAGTTATAGTTTTAGGCAGCGGTGTGTCTAGTGATGAACCAAACTGTCTCACTGACTGCCTTTGTGTAGTTGTAGGAGGCTGGGTAGAACAGTTTGCCACTTCCTACGTGTGACGTGGGGCCTGCCAATCAGGCTTCTGGCGCATGCTGTGTCTTAGTGCGTTGCAGAGACATCAAGCACTTTTGTTGTTAGTGGAGTCCTAGACGGGTGGCCCTAGCACTGTACCTGTAGTACCTGACTGCGTTCTGGGTTTAAATGGTGTTGACGTACAGACGCGTCGACGTCATGCTCGAGCTCGCGTGCGCCAAGACGACTAGTCCAGAAAGTGCATTCTGAACACCACGCGAAGTTGGTGCAGGTGTCAAGACTTTCCAATGTCACTACGCCAGCTTTCTCTCGCGCTACGGGCTGCAAGACGGGCGCAATTAGAACCAACGAGGTGGAGCCAACATGGACGTCTTCTTGTGCGGAGCTGCTCCTGCTCTGCGCCCCACCAGTTACAGCACACGGTGACGGTCTCGTCTGAAGCACCCGCCAGTGCGCAATTGAACCCTACAGCCGGCACCCCGCCTACACCTCCTCTAGACCACCGAGCCCTCGCGCAAACACATAATCTCTTCATCACATCTCCATATAGCCCCGGCTCGCCGCTCATTCTTCCCAACGGTGCCTACGTCTTCCAGAAGTTGCAGTCGTTCCTGCGTGCGCAATATCCACAATTCGGCTTCCAAGAAGTTATCACGCCGATAATATATAAGAAGTCGCTATGGGAGAAGTCTGGGCACTGGGAGAATTATGCGGAGGATATGTTCAGTGTGCAGGGACGAGGGACAACGGCGCAGATACCTGAAGCAGAAGGCGGAGAAGATGGGGAGTTCGGTCTGAAGCCAATGAACTGCCCTGGCCACTGTCTGCTGTTCAGGGACGAGATCAAGAGTTATAGAGATCTCCCAGTCAGACTCGCTGATTTCAGCGCTCTGCACCGGAACGAGATCTCAGGCGCTTTGACAGGTCTTACCAGAGTCAGGCGGTTTCATCAGGACGACGCGCACATTTTCTGTCGACCAGACCAAATCCTGGCAGAGATTGAGCAGACGCTCAAGTTCGTGGGCATGGTATACAATACGTTTGGACTGGGGCCTTACAAGCTGCTTCTCTCCACTCGGCCCAAAGACAGCTTCATCGGCACTATCGAGGAGTGGGACCGCGCGGAGGAGCAGCTGACTACCGCGTTGAACAACATCGGAAGCGAATGGGCAATCAACGAGGGCGACGGAGCCTTCTACGGTCCGAAGATCGACATCATCTTGAAAGACTCGAATGGCAAGGAGCATCAGACTGCAACCATACAGCTCGACTTCCAACTTCCGCAGCGCTTCGACCTGCAATACCAAGCATCGCCAGAGGAATTGGAGGCGGGCCCGCAGTCATCTATGGATGCAGGCCTGGACCCGGCTCTTCGCCGCCCGGTCATCGTACATCGCGCCATCTACGGCTCCATCGAGCGCTTCATGGCTCTACTGATCGAACACTACGCCGGCAAATATCCGTTCTGGCTTTCGCCTCGACCAGCCATTGTCCTGTCGCTAAATTCAGACCCTAAAGTTCTTGAACACGTCTCGCATATTCGGTCTGTTCTTTCCGGTCTCACAACCTTCGACGTACCAGCCAAGTCCGCATCGTCGCCCAAGCCCTTACCATTATCGACTATACATCTGCCCATCGATGTCGATACAAGCGATCGCTCGCTTGGTAAGAAGATCGCTGAAGCAAGAACAAAGAAGTACAACCACATTATCGTGGTTGGCGGCAAGGAGGTGGAGAGTGATAGCATGAATCTTCAGATCGTGAATCAGCCAAATGAGGAGTCCACTATAGAAGCGCTGCAAGTTTCTTTAGGAAAGACACTCACTGAGAAAGAGCGATCAAAGGCCACCGTGAACGTCGACCTAGATTGCGCCAGGAAATACTTCGAGAACCTGGCCAACTCTTTCTTGTAATAAGACGTCGATTCTGACTCAAAACCTTGTCTATATCCGATTGTGTGTTATCATACTTGCCCTATGTTTAGTCTCGCTGTTCTCCCTGCCCGTTTCTACGATTCGTCATAACGTGCGGCCGATAACGGCATTTCGCACGTTGCTTCAAGAAGAACTCCTGGTATGCTTAAAGAGAAGGTAGTGTGGAGAATGGTCAGGCTCTGCCATGGCTACTACGCCCCGAAGCCATGTCGACCGAATGACGGCAACTAAGTAGCAAAAACTATCCGCAGCTATCAAGAATGTGTCCTGTCTTTAAACTCGAACTACAGGTTGGTGTTCCCACCCTCACTCTCGATTTCACTTTCACTCCGACTCCTGAGCACCGCCAAAACAATTAGTCCTTGCACGGGTATCTTCAGATTCCTTGTCTGCGACTCCATCTCACGCGATGGCGACTGCAGTGACGTCCACTGACGAAGCTCCCCGAATCTGGCAACCGATCCCTTGTGCGCATGCGCCCGCCAAACCACCAGCGTGAGTACGAAACAAGCCCAGCCATGATTTCTTGCTAACAGACTCAGCCACGTATACGACAAGATTATTACTGTCGCGGTCGGACCTGACGAGGCCAAGAAAAAGTTCAAGATCTATCGCGGGCTGCTGTGTCACTTCTCTAGGTACTTCGATCGCATGCTCAACGGTTCGTTCCGGGTAGGCAGCTTGATATACCTTCGTCTACGAGATGTGGAAGCCGAAACCTTCAGTATCTTCTACTGCTGGCTGAATTCTGGTCTTGTGCACTACGGGGACGGCCTGGCCTGGAAGAGTTTGACGGATGCCTACATCTTCGCCGACTACCATCAGTCACCCCTCTTCCGGAACGCTGTCTTGGACTATCTGTATCTTCGCTATTCAGCAGAGAAAAAGATCACAGTCTTTGCAGACCTCTTGTATGGCAACACAACTGAAAGAGACTGCATGAGTAAGCTTGTTGTCGACTTCACCGTGGCAGCCGACGGCTTCAGACAATATGATAAACATTATCTCTTGAATTTTCCCAAAGAGCTTCAGGTGGATGTTATGGTGGCATGTCGAGAACGGGGACGAGTCCTGGGTGACTGTGCAGAGATCGAGGGATACGCTTGGCTCGCCAATTTGCGCAACAGCTTTTGTGAACGATAGCACACACACACATAGAGAGAGGCCACACAAGGTGATTTCGATTCGTAATTCTACCTCTCCCATGTTGCAGTTCAGTCGCAATTTCTAGTCCGGGGCGCAGGTGCACTTAGGAGACGGTATGGCAAGCAGGTGGTTTTACCTTTCAGATTATATGTGAGACTTTCAGTCTACAATGCGGGTAGATCTGTAGGCTCTTCCAAGCTTGTTGAAGCGGTGATCGTTGTTCACTTTCATACTAGAGCTACGTCCCTAGTGCATGAATGAAGCACATCTGAGACTATCTGATCCATTTTGACCATACGCATGCCGCCCTTTCGATGTTGCGCTCCATGATCTTGCTACGGGGCTTTCATGTCCTCGTGAATATCCAAAACACATCATACATACTGGTTGTTGTGCTGTTATACCCTCATCTGGCGACTGCCAAATTTTACAGCTGCCCATAGAGAAGAGGTGCATGCATACTACTCAGGGTAGCTACTTTAGCATAAATGCATCCTCACCTTCACCTTCACTTCGGCTTCTCGGCTAGTGGAGTGTGCTGCCTACAAAAAGGTACGCAAACGGTATTTACACCTTGTGAGAAATTTATAAACAACATCTACGCTTTTGTCAACGAAAGCAATTCCAACACTGTCACGATGAGCCACCCACTAGCACGGTGCGCAGACCCATGGGCCGCGCCTATCATCACCAAGAAGCACGACACAATCACTATCAAGGTTGGCACCGGCGCCAATATCCGGCAGTATGATCTACATGTTGAAGCACTCAAAGCGCGCTCGCGACACTTCCATGAGGCCCTTCCCGCCTCCCCCTCAAACGAGGAGCGTACAACAATTCACCTTGCAGAGACCGCGCCAAAGCCTTTAGATGTCTTCGCCAACTGGCTTTACAACGGCAAACTGGACTACACCAACGACCTCAATCTGAGATACCTCTTCTCATGCGAACTCTACGTATTCGCCGACACCTTCGATGTCTCGCTTTTGCGCAACAAAGTCGTGGACGTGTTTTTCAACAAGCTCTTGCGCGACGCACAGTCACTGCCCTAAGACATCATGAAATACACCGAGGAATACCTGAAGGACTCCGCTCTAAGGACCATGATGCAAGACATCATGCTGAACTGCGGCGAAACGAAGGACATGGCCGAGTGGAAGGTCAACTTCGCGAAGGGTTTCGGGGTGAAAAGAGGTGGTAAGAAGGACGTCGTTGAGCCACTTGGTAGGAGTTCAAATGTGAGAGAATACTTGATCGGGTTGAAGAGTAAGGTATGCGGGAAATACCACGAGCATGTGGAGAGGGATGAGATGGTGATTGGACATGAAGAAATGTGGTTCTTCGATCCACCTTTGCGATAGAAGGGAGCACTTCAATGCAGTATGAGACGTCCGGCATACGGACGATAGCGAGGTTAAAATGCAAAGAGTGGGATGTCGTAGTAGAGTTTGTTGCATTCGGTTGTCACCTTGTACATACGAACAACGTAATCTGGCTGAACTCACTGAACCCCGGTCCATAACCCTATGACTCCTGGCTCAATATATAATGAGCATCTGTTGGACTGCGCACCTTGGTATGATGGATTGTACGTGTGATGCGTGTATGGAGTTTGTGGATACAGTTCTTTTGCTTTAGCCCAACGCTAGCCTTCGTTCGGTAAGACCCTGGTTCATTTGACTAACGCCATGAGCTTGTACAATGGAATCCGATTCCTGTGTCGTCTCAATCTGATCTGCTCCAAAGATGTTCTATGAACGCTTTCAAAGCGCTTCGCAGCCGCTTCAGCTGATGACTACAGCATATCCGCACAGCCACAGCCATGCAATGCCGCGCAGCGCTTGGTCGCACCAAACAACGTGTGGCGTACGAAAACATCAAACTCCTTGTCGCCCAAAGCACTCTTCTTTGTTCGGCACTCGCTGGTCGGGGATGGCGTCGTGGCAGTTAGACAGGAGGGTCCTAGATGGTGGTATAGCATGAGGGTAAGGGCAGCCAATCGTGTCTACGTCGCCAGGACAGAACGGAGGAAGGACAGTGTTGAGTCCTTGGGGTAGACTATAAACGGGTATTTCCGCTTTCTTTGTAACTCGAACCTGCTAAGGCATATATCGTAGGATATAACTTCTAGAGAGTATCGCCGCCTTCAACGGAGATTGAAGCGCGCCTTATCTAGCACGCGGCTGATAGGTACAGGCTTCTCGTTCACAAAAGAGACCTCGGAGTCGGTGCGTTCGTCTACGAGCGAAGCTCGAGATGCTGGTGGCGAGATCACCGGTTCAGCCGAACGCATCGTCAGCCATTGGGTGACAAGCATACCGAGACAGACTGAACTATGCATCAGCGTATGTTAACCACAAGAAGCGGTTCGTAAACTTACTATCAGCGAGGCACATGAGCAGACAAGCGTGGCTCATCTTCGCGAAATCCCAGGCGAGAAACAGGCTGTTGTTACACAGAGTGACAAACAACATGAAGCCCGAGCCCACAACATTTCGAACCAGCATGACTCGCAGGTTGTTCCGAGTGGATACGGCCTGTCGTGTTCCTTTCATCCAATGTCGAAGTCTCTGGACAGAAGAGCCGCTTGGTGTACCATCAGTGTCGCTTGCGAGACTGAATATCCTAGGTGCCGATGAGCCCAGTGCTGGTCGAAGCTGCCATACGAAGATTCCTGTGAGAACAGTGTTCATCAGGATGTCCAGCACGATGATCGCGATCGTAGCCGGTCGCTCGATGCCTATCCTGCATTCGCCTGTCTGATGGTTCAAGATAGCCATTGGGCTGACAAACTGCCATCCCATGATCGCGAGGAAACCGCCCGTGACAAAGATTCCTCCGAATACATAGAGCATATCCCTTGTGCGATCCACAAAGGGAGCTCGTACGATATGAACGCGCTCCAGCAAGAAGAGATATCTGTATTTCGTTCAGTATCCGGGCTCTGGGTGACCGTCGCGCACGATTAAATACTTACAGTGCAATCTTGTCGGCGCTGTACATGGCGATGCAGACTCTTATGGCGGCGTGACATTGAGCGTCCGTTTGTAGACCCAGTCCAGCTATCTGTATGGCTGTGGCGAATAGAAAGGCCGAGCAGATGAAGCCTTGCGCAAACACCAGTGCATCCGACACCCGAGTTTTGGACTTCTGGCCAGCCATGCGGCCTGCTCGATATCCTACCAAACAGTTAGCGAACGTTTGAGCAACCTCCGAATATGAAACGGTCAACACAAAACTCGAATGCACTTACCCTGGGCTAACGCGAGACAAAACGCAAACAAGATGCATATGATAATCACCGCAACGCGATGTGGTGGGAGCTCGTCCAGGTTGACATGTTGGTGGCCTTCGTCCCGAGTAACCAGGAAAAGCGGGGACATTGGCTGCGCAGCCACACCAGCGATGGCGATTTGCACAAAAGCAAATAAGATCGCAAAGGTAGAAGATCGCATCAACGCTGCCAAGGTGTCCGTTGAGACATGGGGAGTGGTCTCAGGACATATAGGTTCACGAAGCGAGCTCAGATCAAGTGTTCAAACTAATTTGCGTATTACGCCGTGGCAAGACTTCTCACTCATTGTCAATCAATCACGACACGGTATATCCTCGATCTATCGGATCGTAGGGCAATATGTCAAGGGTTAGCGCATCAGTGGACGAGTCACCGCTAAAGCTTGCTTCAACGGTTCCGACGAGGGGAAGCTGGAGACAACTCCGTAGCGCCGAGCAGCGACCCCGTAGCGAGCCTTCCACGCGCTATGGTGCGGAGACGTTGCGCTACAGCCCTGCTACTAGACATCGTTGGGCTCTAGAAGTCTTGATCGACTGGAGAGTTCTGACCGCTGCTTCATGAGATGCAGAAGTCGCTTTCAGCCACATGTTTACGCCCTCCAGGAAGACTACTTTGAGGGCCCTGATTTCCAAATACCATGGTGGCAGTCGAATGAGTCTACGCGTGTAAGCTTACGGAGACGGGTCCGGAGATTTCAAGAGGCCCGGATCTCGGGTTGAGAAAAGGACCGGATGCCGCATGCCCGGGGCTTATCATCCAGGGTTGATACAGAGGGAACCTTGGAAACCTTCGGGATGCATCCTTATCTCTAGACCCTCAAGATGTCTAACAGCCCTGTCATCACGTAGTAGAAGCCTTCGTCATTGATGTTTCTCGCTAAGTCTTTCACACGTTACCACTCTTGTTCCGGCGCCGCCACAGCTATCTCACTTTATAGAATAGTCCTCATGTAGTGCATTTTCTCTACGTCGTCTCGATTGTTTTGCCTTCCAATAGTCCAGGTATCAAGCGCTTGGGAACTACAATAGGGTTTGACCCTTCTTTGGGGGCGTGCTCGGACGAAGCAGACCGGGATATCTGGAAGCTGTCGGAACTGAGCAAAGGATCTACCATGTACCATGAAGGGTCTGTTATAAAATCTTACAGCCCGAACCGCCGCTACAGCTATATAAAGAGACACGTAACCTCGCCAAGCCTACTCGTATAAAATGACAAGCCTCTATGCCAGCTTCCCCCGCCCGCCTTATCCTTCACTGTACTGTGAGACTACTCAAGCATAATGCATACCCATGTAAACGGTATCTCGCGCATGAGAAACGTTGTTGATTTGCAGCAGTGACCACTACTTGATCTTCGGATACGTTGTCATTTAGTGAGGTAGTGTCACCAACAAATGCGAGAGCGATGGTGGTACGAAGGAACAACGACAGACAAGCGTGACGTAGCGAATCATGGTGTGTTAGTATGGGGTGCAATTGAGTGCTTGTATGACAGTTTGTGTCTGCTTGGTGTTTGTAGAGTACTTTGCTGAACATGGTCGCGCTTCGTTTAGAGTGTAACTGCATATCCGTAGACTGCCTCTCCACTACCCCGACGAACTTCCTCCATCGTTCACGAGCTCAAATGAGACTCGTAGCCTTCTCTACCGATAGCCATTTGCTCTTTCGCTGCCCAAATCCGTCAGCCGCCGTTGCAAGAGCCGCGTATGTTGAGCGATGCTGAGATATCATTTTGCCAATAAACGAATGGAAAGGTTCGAGGGCCGTCTACCAGGCAGAAGAAGTATTGGTATCGACAGCCGCGGTAGTGTCGTCAGCCCAGTTGCCGGTCGACTCAACCGAAGCGTCACCCCAACCTCCATCCGCAGCCGTCGAGCCGCCAGCATCTCCCCACTCACCACCAGTAGTCTCGGCAGGAGGCTCAGGGCAGCGTTTCTCGCCATGACCGAAGTTGTTGCAGTTACGGCACTTTACGCGGGACCAATCACGAGGCTTGGGGCACTCGCGGGAGGCATGACCCTCCTCATCACAGTTACGACACTTCATGACTCGAGGCTTGTCACACTCGCGGGACATATGGCCTTCGTCTCCGCAATTGTGGCAGGCTCGACCACCGCCACCAGCCATAGGCTTACGAGGCTGAGTGCACTCCGTCTTCCGATGTCTGACAAATGTTAGCGAGACACTCCAAGATGCTCCACACGAGTTTTACTTACCCCGTCTCGCCGCAGTTGAAGCAGGCTTGGCCACCAGACCCCTGAGGACAATCGCGCTTCTGGTGACCCGTCATACCACAGCCGAAGCAGGAACGGTCACCACCACCGCCTCCACCGGAGGGGCAATCACGCTTCTGGTGACCAGTCTGGCCACAGCCAAAGCAAGCCCGATCGCCGCCGCCACCGCCGCCGTTGTTGTTGTTGTAGCTGGTAGTGTTGACCGTAGAGAATTCGCCAGCAGAGCTCCAGCCATCGTTGGCAGCAGTCGTAGCGCCGCTGAAGCTGTCACCACCAGAACCGAACTCGTTGTTGGCGTCAGCAAACTCGTTGGTGCCGCTGAACTCGTTGCCGCCACCAAAGCTTGTAGCGTCGCCGCCGAAGGTACCAGCAGGATTCTTGGCCTTCTCTAACTCTTCGCGCTCTTTAGCCTCGGCTTCGCGATGCTTCTTGGAGTTCTTATGGCCATTCCAGTCTTTGGTGAGGATCTCGCGGTCACAGAGCTCGCAAACGGAGATACGAGCAACGTGCTCCTTGGCCTTGGGATACGGGTTGGACACCATATTCGAGAACACGGTAGTGGGACCACGAGCCATGATCAAGATTGTGGAGGGTGTAAGAGGGGTGAACTAGACGCAGTCAGTATCAGCTGTTTGTACTCCAGGGACGGCAGCAGTGCAGTGTAGCGACACAGACGTCGGTCGAGCGCCTAAAGACTCCGGGCTTGACTCAGCTTGGAGCTCGTGGTTTGCGCGAGACATGTCCAAAATGAGTGTGCGCACTTGCAAATTTGCAGAGCAGGCTGACTGGGCTTGAAGACCCAAGGGTGAATACGCGTGAAGTGAGAGAGACTTACCTTGTATAAGCAGAGTATGCGTCCCAGGCGGTCAGCAATGAGGTTGCTGTCTCTTGATCGTACAACTGGCCTCGCACGTCGTCGCTGGTGAGGTGGGGTTGCAGGAGCGGAAGTGAGAGCGTGGGAGATTTTATATAGGCAGGCGCGAGGCAGTGGACCCTGCACCAACGACAACAAACAGACGAAGCGAGACCGGGTATGAGCAGAGGGATACCATAGAAGGCGGTGGAAGCAGTGAGAGGATTGTGATGATGACGCTGGCATGCATGACGGGTAACTGCACAAGAAATGATAGCGTGAGGAGTACAAAAGTGAGCCTATTTCCGCGCTCTGGCGGAGCTTGCACCACCAAGTGATGAGTGTTGGCCTAGCTATGCTCAAGAAGAAGACACGAGATGGTTGTACTGGACGATCAGCTCAAGCACCTACAGGCACTCCGTCTTCGGCCTCGATTTCCTCCTCCTCTCTTTGACTCTCACTCTTTGCCGGCTCTTTCCAACCTGTACCGGCCTGTACGAGCACGACGACGATAGAAAGTCCTACCGCACAAAGGAACAACGCCTTGAGTGCATCCGCGTATGCCCCAACAGCGACGACCCTGTCCTTGCCTTCCAGCTTACCTACAAGTGCTGGACTTCCTAATAGCCTTCGAGTGAGCTCACCGCGATTCCTCAACCCAGCCTGCGCGAAGCCGTCATCCAGAGATTTGTGCAGTACGCGAACGAAGTAACCACCGCCAATCGCCGAACCGAAAGAACCTGAAAAGCCGCGGAACGTAGCAAGGAGAGAGATTACAATTGGGTGCACCTCCGGGAGGGTGAGATGGAGAAGATGGACTAGTGCGTAATTCGTGGCAGCGCCAGTAACAAGTCCATTGAGGAATACCATGGCAACATATAGACCCCACGGACTTGAGGGTGTGGAAATGAGAGCCAGCACGGCCATAGTGATTGGAAACAAGGCCATCGCAACAACGGTGTGAAGGTAGAAGCTACCAGTGCGTTTGATATGAAAGACACCAGCAAGAAGACCACCGGTTGCAAAGCCGGCGTTAGTGGGAATGAGGATTGACCCAGCTACAGCCGGCGCCCAACCTCGAACGGCAAGTGCATATACGGGCGTGTAGAAGAGGATACTCCAACGGGCCATCATGAAGCCAGTCGTGCCAAGGCAGGTCAACAAGGTTCCACGAGATCGTAGAACGGAGACTGGAATGACGGGATCGCCAGCGACGTAGGCCTCGTTGAGAACGAATACAGGAAGGGCAAGAGCCGAAAGAATGATTGGTGTTGGAAGAACCCTCGGACCAGATAAGCCAAGAAGGAATAGTACAATTGTGGTGGTCAAGAGCAGAGCTCCGGAGTAGTCGATGCGGGCTAGCTTTTCGCGGATCGAGAGATTTTCATACTTGATGTTCTTTGAAGTATGACTAGCTGGGATTGAAAAGAGGAGACCCAAACCAGCTACAAAGCTTATTGGTGCCTGTATGCCGAACAAAGGTTTCTGTTGTTGTCTTAGTCGAGCTCATAAGATCTCGTCATCTGATTGTGTTGACTTACCCATCCAATTCTAGGCTCAAGCGCGCCAGCTATGACTGCTCCGAGTGAGACACCGACTGTCATTGCAGTGTTGGCAAGACCCATATACAGCCCTCTTCGTTTAGGGCTGGTCATCTGGATCGCCATGATGCTAGCAACGATGAAAATGCCACCGCCACCAGCGCCAGTCACAACGCGGCCGATGATAAAGTGTTCGAAAGACACAGATGTGGACGTGATGGCCGATCCAATAGCTATCAACATCGTGGAGAAGAACATGCATAAACGTGGACTAAACACCTGACACAACCGTCCCATCAAAGGGGCGAGAGAAGACATGGCGATGAGATACGATGAAGTAAACCAGCTGGCAGTCTCGAAGGCATCTAGATCTGCAGCAATAGATGATTGAGTCGTTGTGATGATAGAGATGTTCGTAGCTGTCGTGAAGGTTAGGTCAAGTTTGTTTCGCATAGTTTGGGGAATTTTGGCCACCATTCTCGTGCATAGATGGAACTGTGCATGATTGGGAACAGGAATACATGCTCACGGAGCGCGGGGAATTTTGAAGACCTACCTTGCAGAAATATCAAGAGACCGACAGAACCAACTATAAGTGCGCCTCTCAACGTTGAAATGGCCGGTTCATCATCTTTGCCCTCTCTATTCGTTAAGGTCGGCGATATCGAAGGCTGGAGCAGGGGCTCGCGTTCTGCTGAGGTATTCAAGACTGTCATGACAGACGGCTTCCGGTGCAATGTCAAAAGAGAAGAAGAATGCTACCTAGCGATGAGAAAAGAGAGACTTCGCGTAGAAACGCGTCTGTAAATGGAAATCATGACGATACGTGCAAGGATGCTAGTGCTTCCGCCGATGACAAATGCAGAAAGAGGTCGGTTGCCCTTGCCCGAGGGCTTTCGTCCGCGAAGACCGCAGGATAAGCGACGACGGTATGAAGCGAGCGCGCGGGAGATCAGTTCCAACCAGAGACTTGGATGTCGTTCACGAGTCGAAGCAGAGAAAGCCCAAGGCGACGTTGCAGCGCGTGAACCTGTGACATGAGTGACGTCAACGCTCATTGGCTGCGGGAGCCACGCATCGGGGGCGCAACTGCCACCCCGGCCGTGATAGTGGAAAGCTGGCCTCTACAAGCAACTTCACCACGACTGCCTACAAGTAGTCGCGCCTTTGCCTCCGACCTCCCGAGATGACGCCATGAGTTTCTTTCTTCGCATTACTTTGAATTTCGACATATACCCACAATGAGGCCACAGCTTCAGCGGCGTGTGCCGCTTCTCTTCGGTAAGCACCTGCGCAGGCAACGTGGGAAGCTTCTGACTGACTTGTAGACTCGCAGTCCTTCTCTCACTATTCTTATGCGTTTCTTCGGACCAAAGCAAGGAGGCCTGGAAGTCAAGATGGGGGAACACAGAAGGAGACGCGAATCCACACCAGGGCGTACTGGCCTTCGATGAGGCCACGACGCTTCTACACACGATCAAACCGGCTGCTGCACCATGGTGGAACTTTGATAAGAAGTCTGGCATCTTGGGCACCAGCGCGTACTATGCGAAAGAGGTCTTTTTTCTTCTCTTCATGAACGGTCCCCCACAGCAGGAGCTGTTGACGACAAACCCACACCCGAAGCAGCTGGGGCATTCTCTGTCACAAGCCGTTGCCCTGCTGGAAGAGGCAGCAGCCCAGAAGAATGCCGACGCAATATTCACCCTCGCCGAGATGAACTTCTACGGCAATTACACGCATCCGCGCAACTACTCCGAAGCCTTTCGACGATACCACGAGCTCGCGACTTTGAACGGCAATGCATCGGCACAGCATATGGTTGGCTTCATGTACGCGACCGGCATCGGCGGAGCAGTGAAGCAAGACCAGGCAAAGGCCATGCTATACTACACATTGGGCGCAGAAGGCGGAGACGTGCGGTCAGAGATGGCTGTTGCATACAGACATTCGGCAGGCATCTCTACTCCGCGTAACTGCGAGGAGGCTGTGCATTTCTACAAAGCGGCAGCGGAGAAGGCTATTGCATACATGCGATCTGGACCACCTGGCGGCCACTCCATGCCGCGGGAGTCGTACAACATCGCTGACGATCAGGGTGGCGTGTATGGCGAAGGCGCGAGTACAAGCAGCTCCGGTCCCAATGCCAAAGTCGCCAGCGCTCAGTCCGACGCCTTTTCCTCCCTCGACGACGTTTTCGAATACATGGATCTCCAAGCACGAAAGGGCGATGCTAGGGCCACGTTCAATCTTGCCAAGCTGAACTACGATGGCGCACGAACCTTGAAACGTGACCTCCCAGCGGCCAAGAAACGCTTCATGGAGCTTGCTCGCATGTACTGGCCCCAGAATGGCAAACCCAACGCGAATGTGTCGCCTACCGTCGAGAAGCTGGCCGCGAAGGCTGCTGGCTACCTTGGTCGCATGTTTCTGCGCGGTGAAGGCATGCCGCAAAGCTTCGAGCTTGCGAGGAAATGGTTTCGACGTGGCTTGGACTTGGGTGATGCGTTGTCGCAATACTCTATGGGTATCATGTACCTGAAAGGCCTCGGTGTGCCTCAAGATGCCGTGAAGGCTGCTGAGCTATTTGGCGCGGCTGCTGACCAGGATTTGGCAGTCGCACAAGTTCGGCTAGGTGCGCTCTTCTTGGACCAAGGCGACATCGCCATTGCCGCAAAATACTTTGAACTTGCCGCTAGGCACGGACATCTGGAGGCCTTCTACTACTTAGCTGAAATGACGCACAACGGTATCGCTCGCTCCAAGTCCTGTCCTTTGGCGGCCACGTATTACAAGATCGTTGCGGAGAAAGCCGAACTAGTCTCTACGTCTTTCCCCGAAGCTAATGAAGCTTATGCGAATGGTGACCTAGAGACCGCACTCGTAAGCTACATGATGGCAGCTGAGCAAGGCTTCGAGGTCGCGCAGGCCAACGTGGCCTACCTCCTGGATCAGGTCAAGCCTCGTTTTACATTCAACTGGCTTTTGCCCTTTATGAAGCAAGAAGCCTCGCTAGCTAGCGACGCGTGCCTGGCTTTGGTATACTGGACGCGCTCTGCCGAACAGAAGAACGTTGATGCTATGGTCAAGATGGGGGATTATTACCTGATGGGCCTCGGAACACAACCTGATTCTGAGAAAGCTGCAGCTTGTTACCAAGCCGCAGCTGAGACCATGAGAAGCGCACAAGCCATGTGGAATCTGGGTTGGATGCATGAGAATGGCATCGGCATTGACCAAGACTTCCACCTCGCAAAGAGACACTATGATCTGGCTTTGGAGACGAATCCACGTGAGGCCTATCTACCTGTCGTTTTGGCACTGTACAAGCTTAGGTTCCGGAGTTGGTGGAACACTTTTACAAACGGCAACATTAAGTCCATCCAAGAAGATCCCGGTAAGGCGTCATCCTCAGAATCTATTTGCTGTCTGGATGCTAACAAGGCTATAGTCGTCAAGAAACAGTGGACACTCTCGGAGTGGCTGAACGCCTTTCTCGAAGCCGAACTCGCTGGCTGGGACGACTACGAACCCGACGACTACGACGACACGCATACAGCCGGCGACGACTTTTACGGCGACGGCTATCATGGCGACGAGATTGACTCGGACATTCTGGAATCACTCATCATCTTGGCCCTGAGCGGGGCTTTGGCCTTCCTGCTTTACTACAGGACACAAAGGCAAAGAAGACAGGAGGAAGAAAGAAGACGACAACAAGAACAGCAGCAACAGCTGAATCAGGGTGTGCCTGTACAGCAACAGCAAGCGCAAGGACAACCACCACAGGATAGGGGTATGTTCCCAAACCCAGGCGATCCTGAATTCATGAATTGGGTAGCAGGTGGCGTAGGACATTGATGTGTTGCTATGAGGTGGTGTTCAGGGAGTCTATGAGCAATGACGAAGCCAGGACTAGAGAAAGCAATGAGAAATCTTCAGCATACGTATCCAGTATCACTTCACTGCATTACGCCACCCCAATCCAAAGATCTGGATTGTATTTGGCTTGCTCACATTCGAGATGATCATTTTGTCCGGGTATTCTTCTGCGCTTCGCGCTTGAGCATAGATTTTTTTCGCGATGAACTTCAACTGTGTACGTTGGGGGATTGGCATATCGGGAATGGTGGTTTGCCAGGGCTCGTCTAAAGTGGTCGTCTTCATACCGAACTATGGTTTGGTGAATCATCGACCGCGTTGCGCTGCAGCGTGGTCTGTAGCGTGAACGAAGTTTTTCCCATCGACTCATTCCCCAATGAAACGGAGCTGTAGGTGTTATAAAGTGCTCCTGGGCTCACTCACCACATCAGCTTCCACCTCTGATTTCTCAGTAACATTATCAAGATGCCAGAAATTCATACCGAGTTCCATATCGGATCCAGCCTCAGGAAAGTCTTTCGACACAAAAAAAAGCAGAGATTATTACGCCCAGATACTCTCAAAGATCTTCGCAGACTCGTCGACACTGATGACTCCAAACCAGTGTGCCACTGTGATCAGTGTGATCCACAACTTTACAAATTCTACCGCAATTGCACCCTTCATCTTCACCATCACCCAAAACTCGAGTTTAATGGTGCTGCAAACGAGTTTGGGTATCAATGCTTCGAGCCCTTGATGATGGCTTCGCCATTCCGGAGCGAAGCCATGACATTGACGAGAACGGCAGTACGATACTTCGACTGACCCATCGAAACACTCAATAACACACAACTCACCGCGTTGACAAATATTCGAACCTGGATACAACACTACATGTCGCTGCTCTTCCCCGACAGACCGCCTACATCACCTACCAGTCTCGACACAGTCTTTCCCATACCCTCGATCCGCGACCTGTGGACGCAGATCAATGTCCTCTTCTTCGGCTCCGACATCTTCTACCGCAAGTCCAAATTCCGCTGGCTCACTAAGCCTCTCAAGAACTGCCCAGACGCGATGGGCACAGCGTATCACGGCTTTTCCTACAATATTGTAATAAGGCCATCTCTAGACAGCTTCGACATGCTCGGTACACTCTTACACAAAGTCTGTCATTCATTCTTCCAACAATAGGCTTGTCGCAGCTGCCGTAGTCGTGCAGGCAACCTCTGCTCAGACGGCCATGGACGCGCATGGCAGATTCTCGCCGCGGCTGTAGAACGAAAGTTCACGGAATTCACTGGGCTGCCGATTGACCTCGGTCGGTTTAAGTCTATACAAGCGCATTGGGAAAATAGGGCTCGGTTGTCTACTTTACACGACTTTGGGGATTGGGAATTGGATAGGCATATCCTGATGCAGAAGTATCGATGTGATTTGGTGGCGGCAGTTAGGTCATATGTCAGACGAGGTGCGAAGGCTGAAGACTTTCCGTTGAAGGTGTTTGGCGAGTATTGGTGGGTCGATACGATGTAGGCGACAAATTTCAAGAGAGATGCCAACTTGGGGCATGATATGGAGGTTTATTGGAACGAGAGGACACTCCAATGAGATGACGAGGTATGACAAGACGCGTTAGATGAAGAGAAGCGACACGAACAGGATTGCAAGCAGCGTAGAGTTGTTGTTAGTTCAACTTGCACTTGGAGAAGCACCGCCCATAACTGCGTGTGATGTTAATGCAAATGAGCGCAGTTTTAAACTATCTCATGTGAAGGCCATTTCCACACTATTCTCACTCAAACAAACTGCAATAAGCCATAGTCAACGCGTCGCACGTTCCCAAGAGACTTGATCAAGCCCACAGACCCCTATAAGGCTAGAGTACCACTTAGAGCTCCTGCTCATCCTGGCTGGTTTTGCTTCTGGTTGATACCAAGCCTCCGAAATCGCTCCAAGAAAGGCCGTTTTTCCCAAGTGCTGCGTCATACGCGAGTTGCCGATTCGTTATCCGTTGCTTTTTGTGGGGGCTGAGCGCCAGCGCATCTTTTCTGGAGAGAGTATTGGAGGCCGCGGTCTTTTGCTTGAGAGTCGGAGATGGATTGGTTACTGCATGATACAGGCCCTGGACAGTCACTTGGCCACGAAGACTGTACCCTGGGGGTGTCCCTGACATAGACGAGATCTTCGACATCTGGATGTTTTCCATCTCGAATGGCCTGCTTGGTGCAGATTGTCTCGACGTGGGTAATGCAATAGCTTCCTCGTCAGCCCTTTCAGTCGCATTGGGGCTGGCAGTCTCTTCGTTCATCCGCGTATCAATCGGGCTCTCTTCCCTGCTTCGCTTTTGACGGCCCTCACAGTCCACTCTGGCTTTGTACATATCCATCATTACCGTGTCGTGAAAGAAAAGCTCGCCTGAGCAGAGACTACCAAATAGGTTCCGCGTGCTGAGGTCAGGTGTCCAGTGGGTCTCGTCAACAGTACATGGAAAGATGTCTCTAGGACTGAAAGCTCCGACAAGGCCACAAAGCTCGGAGTAAGAAGAATGCCGACTGTACGGAAATCGAATGGTCCTGTTGAGTGGCGGTCCATTCTCAGAATCTCTCAAAACATTCGATGACAGTACAGAGACTAGAGTCTTTAGAGACAAATCGTGTTGGGTATCTTCAAACTGTTTTTGTAGCTGCAAATCAAGGTCGAGCTTACCGTCTCCCAAGAGAGTCTGTTGAAGTAGCGTGGTGACCTTTGCAAGCAACTTTTCATCATTTATGGATGCAGCACAGAGCTCCATCAACTTATTGACGTCGCCCATCCCGCCAGACTCCAGCTCTTCTTTTTGGTCCAGGTCACCCTTTCCACCTCCCGCACCCAACTCGGCAATTTCTTCGCCGTTGGCGCGCGTGACGATCGGAATAATGTGTACGATTTTGGCGTTCGTGTCGCGCTCCAAGACAGAACAGCCCATGCCGTGCTCGCAGCTGTGGATGCGGACGTTCTCGTGGGAGGTCAGACATCCCGGTTGTATGTGATTTCCATTTTTGAAACCGCATAAAGCAGGGGCCTCACGGATCTCAAGTCCAGATTCTTGAAGTGCTTTGTTGCTGGCTTGGACATCGAGCCCCGCTTCTCGCAGTTGTCGCTTATCCAATGTGGACAAGGAGCCGTATATGCGTGCTCGGTAGTCGTCGAGATGAATTCGAGAGCCCAAAAATGCAGACAACGCTATCCATACATTCTCATAGCCAAAGGTCCAAGAATGGAAGTAGAATATAGTGTCGTCGGAATAGTCACTCACTTTGCTGAGCAGCTCTTGTATACCTTGCGCTTTGCTCGGAAACTGGCGGTAGGGCTTTTCCTTCGTGGCAAAGGTCGTGTCCAGATACATACAGTCTAATTTCCGGCTTCCGAGTGTGTATGGCAGAAGTACTGGGTTCTGTATCAATGAGTTCACCCACCATTCTTCTGCTCGAATGTCGCCGGTATAAAGAACTGCTTTGCCATGACCCTCAATCAGGAACATAACAGCTCCAACGCAGTGGTTAGCATCGATAAGAGTGACCCTGATGCTGTTGCCCGGTGCTAACTCGATTGCGGTTGGTGTGTCCAGAGGAAGCGCCTTGGCCAACTTGCGTATGCTTCTATCGTAAGTGACATTGCGACTTTCGAGAATGCCTTTAGCAAAGTTGACGCGATAGTGGTACGTTTCTAGTCGCAGGAGTATCTGCAAAGCATGTCAGCTTTTGCATGACATGTATGGTAGCAAATTTGCCACTTACCTCTTTGGTCGCAGCCGAACAGTACACGAATGGGGCCCGCAACGACTCCAGACCAGTCAAATGATCGGAATGTACGTGACTCAAGAAACATGCAAGGGGTGCCTTAAGTCCAGGTTGTTGTCGAAAGTAGTCTATTCTGATCTGAGGAAACTCTGCAGTGACGCGTTAGTCAGGGCACACTGAGCGCCAGCCACGGCGGGGCGACATTTACCCGCTACAATGCCTCTGAACGTTGACATGGAGATGCGATCCGAACAGTGTTGATCGTGACATTTCCAGGTATACTCTGAGATCTGGGTATTAGATAGATGTGCGGACGTAGAGCACGATGATCGTGAGGGCAAGTGCAGGTGGTGGGAGAGGCGCGTCGAGGTTAGCGCGATTTCGATGCGGGCAGCCGCGTTCGACCCACACAGTGACGCTTACTCCTGCAAAGTCACTCTACATTCTCGCTTACTACATCCAAAAGTTGAACGACGGAGGTGCTGAATATCGCTGCATATCGCTGCGCGCTGGCATGAATCTTTTGAGAGCTCTTTATTACACCTCGGCTAGTACGGCATACCTGCGCATGCCATAAAGCTTCTATCTACACTACGAATACATCACTGACTTTCACAACTTGCCCCGTAGCCATCGACTTGTTACCGCAGATGCCCGTCAAAATCGAGAGCGCACCATCGATATGGCTCGCAGCTCTCATATCCTGATCGATTTCTGCACCTTGTTCGCCAAACAAGTCAGCTAGCAACACCTCATCGCCTCCCCCATGCGCACCGACGGAATCTGGGATCTCGATATCTTGCGGCTTCTCGAAAAGCTTCCTGAGTGTGATTGATCGCGTTTCGAGCGATCCTTCAAGCGATTGGTCGCCCCCACTGTTCACGTAGCTGTTCTCGACGACTTCCATCTCTACACGACCGCCGGTCCCGTTGAACGAGACGCGAAAACCTTCCCAGGGTGCGTATGCGGTCAGAGAATAGGTCAGCACCGCGCCATTCTCATATCTCACTAGGAGGTTCATTGTGTCTTCTATGCTTATTCCGTCACCGAAGACGCTCTGGTCGCGATAGTATGCGTCTTCGTGCTCGGCATCAAGGTACATCTTCTTCAACTTGTCATTGTTTTCCAGATGAAGTGCGAATGGATCGCTCTTTGCCACTTCGCTGCCATGGGCTCGTGTGTAAAACTCCTGTACACCTCTCTTTTCGGCATTTTCTCGCCCGTAGAAGTTCAGGTTACCCTGTGCATACACTGTTTCCGGACGCGAAGATAACCAGAAGTTGACGAGGTCGAAATGATGTGTTGATTTATGAACGAGCAGACCCCCGCTGTTGCGCTTGTCGCGGTGCCATCGACGGAAGTAGTCTGCGCCGTGCGACGTGTTGAGCATCCATTCGAAATGTATGCTTGTCACTCTCCCGATCGCGCCAGAGCGGAGAAGTTCCCATACTCTGGTGTTGTGGGGTGCATAGCGGTAGTTGAACGTAACGCGCACTTTCTTGCCCGTTCGTTCTACTGCGTTGAAAATCTCGCGACACCGTGGTGCATCGATGGTCATAGGCTTCTCCGTTACGACATTGCAGCCCAGTTCTAACGCGCGGACGATGTAGATGTTATGTGTACGATCGATTGTTGTTATGATGACTTCATCTGGCTTCGTTTCCTGGATCATCCGATCGAAATCCGACGCCTTGAAGGTGGGAACCTTGACATGACCAAGAGACTCTAGCTGTGTGTTCGCAAAGTCAAGTCGTGTTTGGTTCGTATCGCACAGCGCTACGACAACAGAGGTTTCTTTGTAAGTTGTTGCTATCGCGGTGTAGAAGAAGGACGAACGACCGCCTGTGCCAATCAGCGCGTATTTCTTTTGCTTATTTTCCCCTGCCATATTTGCCAACAAATAATACAAGAGTAGGAGTTCAATCAGAAGTAAGGCGATCAAAGGCTTCGTCCTGTAGCCATTTCTTAACGTCTTTGGAAATGTTCCATCATGATGCATCGGTGTATCGCTACCCCGGTCACACCCCTCGATGTTCGGTGCAGTCAACCCCGAACGCTGAACCACATCATGTCACGACGTCGATCTTGTATTTTACCGTCCCTATAGCCGCCCGGTAAGCCAATGTCCGGAAGAGAGGCCCCACAGCATTCACCCCCATGGGGAAAGTGAGGCAGAGACGATCATAGCCAGGAATAGAGTTTACCGCGTGAGCTCTGCGGGGAAGCTCACTCCTTGACTAAAGCTCGTGGATTAACGGTCTTCTTGCGATTGAAGAACCAATGGCAAAGCGTGATACGTGGAACAACAGAGCTGTGAGGGGCTGCTAGCACAGGCAGGAAGCTCGAAACGCACATGGCCATCCAGGCGTCCCTTCATCGATACCTGAATGCGATCAAGATTCGGAGACGCAACCAGTCGGTCTACGATATCCGAGCAAGGGCTTTTGGTTGATAAGTAGAGGAGCCGATCCCTTGGTAAGTCATTCAAGGGAGCAACCCAGGGTCCTACAGTCTTCGTTCCGAGGCATCATGACCACAACACATTCTGAAGCCCCTAAAGAGGATGCCATCACCCATATCGAGTACTCTTCATCTCCATCTGCACACAAAGTTGAGAAGGCGGACGCGGCGGCCAAGTTCTTGGCCAACGCCCATGTCGATGATGCGTCGTTCTCATATGAAGAAGAGCGCGCTGTCCTCAAGCGCGTAGACTATCGCGTTCTTCCTCTTTTGCTGTAAGTACTTTTGTACGAACTGCAGATAAAATATGCACTGACTTTCAACGTCTACAATTAGAGGAGCTTACTTCTTCCAGCAGCTTGACAAATCCTCTTTGTCCTACGTCTCCATCTTCGGTCTTCAAGCAGATGCCAGACTAGTAGGACGTCAATACTCATGGCTTGGCTCTATTCTATACCTTGCCCAACTGGTCATGCAGCCGCTCGCAGCCTTCCTTCTGGTCAAATTGCCCACGGGAAAAGTTATCGGAACAGCCATCTTCCTCTGGGGTAGTAGTCTAGCTATCATGGCCGCCTGTACAGACTTCAAAAGCCTCCTTGGTCTGCGATTCGTATTGGGGTCCTTCGAGGTAAGTCGGAGCTGTACGAAATGCACATGGAACATACGTTGACTTCGTATCTTCACTTTTGTAGGCCATGATCGCACCGGCATGTGTGGCAACTACAACGATGTGGTGGCGCCGGTCCGAGCAGACCCTTCGGACTGGATACTGGAACGCTATGAATGGTGTCACATTCATTGTTGGGTCACTATTCACCTACGGCTTAGGACACATTAACAGCGAATCGCTGTACAAGTACCAGATCATCTTCATGTTCTGCGGTCTTCTGACTGTCTTATATGCATTCGTCGTCCTCGTCCTAATGCCGGATAGCCCGATGAAAGCCAAATACCTGACCGAGCGAGAAAGGTTCATCGCAGTCGAGCGTCTGCGGGCTAATCAGATGGGCATCCAGTCAGGAGAATGGAAGTGGGATCAGGTCTGGGAGACGTTTATTGACCTTAAGACCTGGTGCTGGTTCATTGCCATCATCGCAATATCGTGAGTAACGACCCTTTATGTCTCGATATCGTTACTGATGTTCTTTGTACAGCATAGCGAGTGGCGGAATCTCTACTTTCGGCAACCTTATCATCCGCGACTTCGGCTACAGCAACTTCCAATCTATCCTTTTCAACATACCCTTTGGTGTCATTCAGATCGTCTGCATTCTGGGTTCTTCCTGGGGTGCAACGCGCTGGAGTCGCAAAGGTCTTGCCATCGCCCTCGTCGCCATCCTTCCTATCATTGGCACAATCATGATGTTGACCGTGCCGCGCCAGCATAAAGGCGTTCTGCTCTTTGGCTACTACCTTGTATCATGCCTCGCCGCTATTACACCTTTAATATACACTTGGCATGTTCAAAACACTGCCGGTGACACAAAGAAGAAGTGTACGTCGGCTATGGTGTTCATTGGGATGTGCACCGGTAAGTGATATCCGTTCAAGACCAGATGTGGGACAATACTGACTGCGTACGATAGGCAACGTCATTGGCCCGCTGCTATACTCGGTGGACGACGCGCCTCTTTACCGGCCAGGCCTTATCTCCAACTTGGTCATGTTCACGCTCGTAGCTATCATCGCGCTCTTAATACCCATATACCTAGCACTGTTGAATAAGAGGCACGCAAAGCGCAGAGAAGAAGTGGGTAAGAGCGCAGTCAGAATTGACGAAAGTATGTTGAAGAAGAAAGAAATGACACAAAAGGGCGTGGAGATCGAGGCACAAGATCAGAGACAGGAGCAAGACAACGGCTTTTCTGACCTAACGGATATGAAAAACGAAGACTTCATTTACGTGTATTAGGACCGGGCAAGGAGGAGAGCGCAAACCACATGGCTGCTACACGTGGGTGGCCAGCACCTAAAGGGTAGCTGACAATAAGGTTGAAACTACATATTTACGTAGCGCACCGTCTTTCCCCGCGCAGCTTAGCGGCCGTCCGAGTGAAAGTAGCCAATTCCGATGCCCTACTATTCCGATGCCCTACTATTCCGGTGCTAAGGTTGTGATGAGACCATGCGTGCCAACAACCACGGGGTTTGCCGTGACAGTGCCGAGCGGCGCGTTGGGGGATATCGGCGCCCACAGACCAGCATTACCTAAGCCATTCCGGTCCTGGAACCCACTACGGGGTCTGCCTTGGCCCTTTGCAGGACGCCGCGCATCAGGCCGCCGATGTTGCACCAACTGCCTGGTCCCATCTCTTCGTGCTTCCCGCTCGTCTCGCGACGATCCGATCGCCATCACTTAGAGTTGAACTCCGGTCCCCTCAGCTGAAGTTGCTGAACCAGCTAAAATGTACCAGCCATCGATCTAGCGAAAGGAAACGTTTTTCCGGATTGTGCAGCCACGTCTTTCCTGGCACAAATAATGAAGGAATAGCTTGCGGCGGAACCTCCCTATGATGTACAACGCAGAATCCCTGTATTGTACAAGACCTTGACATCACCGAGATCTTGCTGTTCCTGACTCTACGCATTAGACGAGCTTATTTGATTAGTAAACTTAGGCCCTGCGAACTGGCGAATACGGGGCCGCGTCAGAACTCGCCGGTTAACGCATCTGCTCTGCGCACAGCTTCTCACGTCGCACATTAAGCGCGGCCCATACCCTTCTCGTCAAGCATAGCAAGCAAGCCGAATCGATTTCCTGAAGAAGACGCCCTGTCAGGCTGAGTGTATAGCCACGAGTGCGCTGATCACCTAAGAAAACATGCAGGTCCCCATCCTTGTCAGGGACGAATAGACGACATCGGCCACCTCCGCTATTGGATATATATTACGCTTTCGAGACTGGCACGTGCGACACAGACTTAGCAGTAATTTCCATCTGACTAAGTATTCCCCCGTTCTCACCTTAGGAACAGCTGCGGCGCAGCAAGTCGACTTGTTTCACCTCCCTAAAGAGCTTGCAATCATTGCACGGAAGACACTCGATGCGCATGAACACTAGGAGTACCCTGGATCTGGACTAGGACTTGCCGTTCCGAAGAAGCAGGTTTCTTCGTACAGCGATGTCCTTTCCAACGTGTCGTCAGTTTCCTAGAATGTCCAGCTGAAAATCACAATCGCACTGAGGATTCATTGAGACACGCAAAAACAGCGCTGCTTTTGCCTAGTCTCCACATGCTTGGATGTCTCGCGCAATTTGAGCATTTAGAAGTACCGTCTCGCTTCACTGCCGATGGCCACTTGAAGAACATCAAGATTGATGTGCACTGTGGCTTATAGCAAATTGATGGCGAAAACAGTGGTTAATTTGGGGAAAAGGGCTTTTCCGTTGCCAGTTCTGCTAATACCGGATAACGGCAAGCCGCTGCATCCAGTTGGGAGGAAACCTGAGGTGTGTCTGGAAAGTCATTGAACGGTGATCGAGTCCCAATTGGCGGGATCTCAGCACAAGTGGCCTATCCGTGCTGTCACAACGGTAGAAACCTCTCTGATCGAAGGACGCTAGTCCCCTAGGCTGGACTATGCAGGCAGCTAGGCCACACAGCCACTGCGGTCGAGCTCCGCTCTACGTTTCAAAACACCGCTTTCCGTACTCAAAATGCTTGAAGTCAACATGAGAACCATACCCGGAGCTTGTAAAGCTTGGCCACATTAGTCGCTCGGTCCGACGCTGGCAAGTACCGCAAAGCGAATCAGCTTGCATCTCTCCCCCCCGATAGAGAATGCTACAGGAGGCCAGAATACGTGAACGTCAGCCTTAGTAGCGGACTCATGCCACGAGCGAACATGTGGTAACAAACATTCTTGTTGTCATCGCGATCGGAGATGAAAAATGGCATGGGGAGTTCGCGCTTTAGGCGGGTCATGGCACGTTCTGCTTCTCTCTGTTCATGCTCGGTGTATATTTGGGCACTGACAGCAAATACATGTGGTCCTCGGCCCATCACTGCACCGCAGTACGGGTCCAGGATGGGTCCAGGATGTGCAACTTCTGGCATGCTACCCACGACTCTTCTCCTGAAACTCGTATCTTTAAGATCAACATTTCATCTTACGATAGCCCTGTCACCTGTAGGGCGCAACTGTCAAGATGATTCGATGCTACAGTATGTGCGAGACTAGCGTTGGGGCGGTGTATCTAGGACTACTCGGTGCTCAGAGAAACTTTGACACAGGGGCGCTTGCTCGAAGCAGAGAATCAAAGGTCGACTATCTCTCACGCATAAGGACTTTCTTTCTGCTCATCGAAGCTAGCATTTCGACAGTATGAACAAGATGTTCCTCCGCCACATCCTCATTCGAATCGCCATTGCCGCAGCGCTGTTGAAGATCTTCAGCATCTTCAGGCGCCAACATACCTTCCAGGCATACATTGAGCGCCGCAAGATCACCTTCGACGACTTCCCTGAGTCCTACGCTAAGGCTCTGAACGATTCCGTAGCGCGAAATGAGCAACCTCTGGAGTCCGACTACGTCTCTACATACACCGGGTCTAAGATTCCGCGCACAATACACTACATATGGTTTGACAGAATCTATCCAAATCATGAAGGCTCTAGTGGAGGCCCATCCATTGGATTCGGATCGCCCAAACTCTGTCGAGAGCACAACCCGAGCTACGAAATCCGCATGTGGAATGCAACGAGCGCTCGCGAGTTTCTGTCCACCGAATACGCCTGGTTCCTACCGACATACGATGGTTACAGATATCCTGTTAGTATTCTCCATGTATCAACTGCAACTGGAACATATACTGACTTCGCCCGCCCATGTTCAGATCCAAAAGGTTGACGCCTTGAAGTACTTCGCCCTCTACCACTTCGGCGGCGTGTACATGGACCTAGATGTCGCATGCCGACGATCACTAGATCCGTTGCTAGACTTCCCAGCCTGGTTCCCAGAAGCATCGCCACTGGGCGTCAACAACGACTTGATGGCATCGGCGGCAAAGCACCCGGTCGTGAAGAAGATGACAGAAGGCCTCGTCACACACAACTGGAATCTACTTTTCCCGTACCTCACAATCTTCTGGACAACTGGACCGCAATTTACGAGCACAATCTTGCAAGAATGGTTCGAGGAGTGTCTTAATGGGCAATGTAAACAGCGGAAGGCACGGAATGATCTTGGTAAGCCAGCCACTTTTGTCTTGTAAAGGAGAAAAGTCCCAGTAGCTGACCTGTCTTGCACAGACCCCACCTCCTTCCTCGTTCTACCGCGAATCTTCTACTCGGAAGAGTACACCTTCTTCGGCCACAAACCCGGCGGTTCATGGCATGGCTCGGATGTCGCTGTGGTGTTGTGGTTTGTTGATCGGCCATGGGCAATAGTAAGTGTTGCTGCGGCTTTGATCGGAATGGTCGGTGGTATTACTAGAGTGAGGAGGATAAGAGCTCGCCAGCGAGTGAAACGTGATAGTCCATTCGTTTAGAGGGATTGAGCTATGCAAATACCATATGCTGTTCCATGAACCACCAGATTCTGGCCCATGTTTATGGTCATGCTGGCGATTGTTGCCCACGTGCTGTGTGGTCATGGCAAGCTGAGTCGTGCAAAAGCCCCGTCTGAATCACCAACGGAACACGGAGAGCAAGCTTGGACGAATGTCTAAAGGATAATGAGCCTTCACTATATATACACCGGGAAGTACAATTCAAGATAGAAGTCAAGTATGCCATGCTGGCAGTTGCTTCACTGATTGTTCTTTAGCTGACGTTCTTGCCTTCCCAGGCATTTCACTATCCTCACTTTATCTATGCTTTCTCCCCAATCCATATTCACGAATTCTCCGCCAAACGAGAAACAATACGCTTACACCGACCATGGACCACCCAAACAGTATGCTTTCACTCTGAGAAGAACACGATTTTGCCCGATCTTGGAGCCCCAACACCGAGGTGATGCCATTACAAAGGGAATATGTAGGAATAGTCGTAGTAGTACAGAAGTCAACAGCGCCCGCTAACCGGAATGGATGAAGCTGTTCAAGAAATGAGAAATTGCTGCCAGGGTGTATTACACTCATGTGTGGGTTCTGCATTGGTGAGGCCATGTTCACTGTGACAGCCGGCTGCCAATCAATGTGCTGAAGCTGTCGCCTGCTGGTCGTGGCTCCTTGCCAGCTCCAAGGTAAAACTCGCAGCGGAATTTGAGGCACTCGGTTCCGCGGACATCGTGGTACACCTGTATGATGTCACCAGTATGTAGATGTCCAAAGATAACACGCCCCTTGTCGTCCTTTTGCTTCAAGTGTTTGCCGTTTATGGAGATACCATGTGTGGCGCAAGTCCAGATACCAACATTCAAATTCTCCAAGCTGGTCCAATCTTTGCCTTGTTGTGACAGATCATCCACTGTCTCTTGGGTCTGGCCGCCTGACGAGTAGAAAAACACTATAAAGGCTGTTTTAGGAACGCGGGTGTCTCCTTTATGTTCGTACACGATCGTGTTGTTGCTCAAGCGGCCCCAAGAAGTCTTACTCTGATCGATGTTGAGAGTAAGGTTGGGTGCGAAAGAGTCGGGGGTTGCGATGAGCTTACCCAGTCGCCGGGGTGGCGGACGGATATCAAGCTCTGCTGGAACAGAAGGGATTGCTACCGCTGGAGATGGTGCTCTCGCGATGCTTGATCTTGTCGACTGCGCACTTGCGTCCGAAGCTGCTGTTGTGTCCGGATATGCAGATGTTTCGGTGGTGGCATTGCGGCCATTGGACACGAAGTCAAACCCACTCACTCTGGAAGCGTACTCCAGATTATGCGTGTTCGGGTCCATCGGATCGTAATAGTAGGAGGCAGTCAAAGGAAGATTGATCTGGCGATTTATAGGTCGTGCTCTCGGAGTTGGCTCACTGATCTGACTGAAGTCCTTGGACGACTGTTCCAAAGAACTGTGCTGAACGACTTCCGGGGTCCTGGGGGTCGCAGGCATAACCGGGCTCTGTGTCCTGGATACAGGTGAGTGCGGCGAGGTCATGTTGAGATCTCGTACCAAAGACTCGGCACCAAGAAGGCTAGGCGAAGAAAAGCCGCGCTCTAGTTGTGCGGGCGCAGTGAAAGGACCCTGAAACTCTGACTGACCAGTCGTGTAACTCGTTTCACCTGCTCCATCATTTTGGACAAGGCGGACAGACCCATCTTGCGACAGGGCGTCATGGGCATGAGCACTCAAGACGCCGGAACTCTGCAAAGCTGACTGGCCAATTTCACCGAACAGACGAGGTTGCCTAGGTGTTGGGGCCATTTGGAAGCTCTCCTCATTTACACGGTGTGAGGAAGTAAACGACGGCTCAACGCTTGAGTCGCCGCGATCGCGTACCTGGTTGCGCGGGTACAAGGGATCGGCGCGAACTCGCTTTGGCTGACGCTCGTTGACAAAGCCCATAAGCTCTTCATCGGACAGAATGCCTCCATCTTCGTCTGACTCCGGGATCTCCTCCTCCTGGAGACTGAGCTGCGACAGCTGCTGCTCGGCGTCCTCAGGCTCGTCTTCTTCCGCAATGGACTGAAGAGTCGGGTCGGTGAGAAGTTCCGCGCCATCCTTAAGCCAAGGATGGTTGAGACAGTCGCGATCGGTTGGACGTTCTGCAGGGTCGGTTCGCAGCATACTAGTAAGAAGATCGATACAAGCAGAGGACACACCAGCCTTGCGTAGCGGTGTCGGGTCGAGGGGCGTTTTCATGATATTATTGAACATGGCTTCGCCGGTAGCATCAGCGATACCCCTGAATGGAGGTTCGCCGCATAGCGAATACCATAGGACACCACCAAAGGACCATATGTCCACGGAAGAGCTATACGAGTGGTACGTCTTGGCACCACGTCGACGTTTAGTTCCCTTTGATTGACCGTTGAAGTCAGGAAACACTTCTGGGGCGCAGTACAACAGAGTTCCGCAGAAAGTCTTGAGGAAGGTCTCTTCGTGCTTGACAACTTTTGAAAGTCCGAAATCAGACAGCTTGACCGTGAAAGGATCCAGATCGGAGATGAGAATGTTGTCGGGCTTGATGTCGCGATGTGTGATCTTAGCGCGGTGCAGATAACTAAGCGCGCTCAGGATCTGCTGAGCCATTGACCTCGCAACATGCTCCTCCATGGATCCATGATGATTAAGGTAGCCTTGTAGATCTCCTTGCCGCACGAACTCCATGATGATGTAGAGATAATCGCCCTGGTCGTGGTACTCTGTGAACTGGACGATATTTGGGTGACGCAGGTCTTGCATGATCTTCATCTCGTTGTCGATCTTTTTGTCTAGCATACCGTTCTTCATGAATCGGCGCTTTTCCAGCTCTTTAGCTGCGAGGAGTTTTCCAGTCATTTTTTCAGCGAGTTGGTAAACGGTCGCAAAGGCGCCTTTACCAATCTGCCCTGGGAAGAGTTAGCAGCTATTGCTTGTGTTATTGCAGCAACACATACCGACGATATTATAGGTATCACCACCATCCCACTTCATCGCTGGTCCGCCATATTGCTTGGTGATTCGCTGAATAACCTTGCCCTGTGCGTCCCCAGCGTCTGGAGTGCACTCCGTGATGAAGTTGCGCAGGTTGTCGCGGAAGCGGTCCATGTAGTTGACTCTAGACGGTACACGGACGATGAACTTGATCATCTCTGCATCGTTGGAGTTCTGGATACAGATGATCGATCCCGAGCTCAGCATCCGCATCTTACTAAAGCGTGGATCCTTGCACTTGAGGAGCGCATCGTCGACTATGGTGCCATTGGTGGACATGTCATCGAGCATGAGAAGACCATCCGCATTTAGATATATGCGGAAGTGTTGGTTGCTTATCCTCTTGCCGGAGTCCTGGCCAAAGATGACGTCGGCGCTCTGGTGGTTGCGTCCGAATATGAACCCGAGCGGCTTGAACTTCAATCTCTTCGCCGATGACATGCGTAGAGCTAGATCTGCGCCGGCCCGCGAGCTGGTACCTTGTCGTCCTTCCGGAGCGTTGATGATGAATGTCTCCTGCTCTTCAACATCGGTAATTGAACTACTCATGGAATCGAGTGAATTGCGGAAAAGTACATGCTCGGGTCGATCTTGCGCTGTCTGCTCCACGATCCGAATGGCTGTAGGAGTAGCTGGGTGGAGAATGACCAAGACATCGGCAATGTCACCGTCATTAAGACCCGAATTGTTCCTGCCTAGTCGACGTGGATCCAGGACCTGTTGAGTTGCAGGCTGTGTCTGCTGAGACGGGTCGGCCTCCATGATGGGTACCAGGCTAACGTTCCGAAGCTTATCTTGCGGCGCTTTATGGGAGTGACCACCCAGGACCAGACGAACGGCGTGCCCGTGGGAGTTGAGAGGGAGGCGACTGAAGATATCGAGCGGGTGACTGAAAGGCGGGTCTCGGGGTTTTATACGCGACAATTGCGGGGGTTCGTTTTACGTGCGATATCGGTCTAGCGCCAGCTGGTGGTCGTTGCGCTTCTAGTAGAGTGAGCGATCGCTTTGGTAACGTAGGCACGCTGTTGGGCCGTGCGTTCAATGGATGGTAATGGTCGCGTTGAGAGCGTTCTCGCTGGACTTCGGCACAGGTAACAAGTACTCTGGAATGAGCTCGACTCAGAGTCTCTGCTACGTACTCCAAGTTAATGGGACGTGTCAATGTCTCTTCAACAAAACGAGCAGCTGAGACTTGTGAATGAACGCTTCTTGAGAATGCAACTGGACGGCACCAGTCCTTCGTTATCCTGTCTGGAACAGATGTTGCTGGAGACCGGCTTGACAGAAAGCGCTTCTTTACTTGTATGGCCCCTGTGCTTTCTTTTTCCAGGCCTCAGGTCTCCGACACTTTTCAACTTGTATGGGATGGAACGATGACAAAAGCGAGTCGGCTCGAACGGTAATGCAATATGTATTACAGCGACGCAGTCGCAGAAAGCGCGGGATGTATATGTAGTGAGCGCGGCGATGCAGATGTTTGCCTTGATGGCATGCGCGGACGGGTGTGGAGAAGACGATGCGAAGGGTTGCCCTAGGAACAAGCTCTACGGCGATCTGTCAGCATGAACACGTCCAGGTAAGCAACAGCTACGCGATTGCAATTGAGGCGAAGACAGACCTTGCTAACAGAACCACGCAGACACCGAACACGAACGTCGGAAGTGAAAGGAAGCAGATCCTCGAGGCGACGCGAGTTGTGAGACTTTGGGTGGCCCGCGCTCGCCCCGCTATTGGCTGGACGCCTCCAAGTGGGCCCCGACGGCACCTCCTCCCTCGTGCATGCAAGGCAGCACTCCGTACAAGGGAAAGATACAATACCTCTGTGACGTTTGCGACGCTGCACTACACAAGAAGAAGCTCCGACTTGTGATATGTATAGACGAGACTGCTTCTGAGAAGATTGGAAGTCTTTACATAGGTGCTGCTGGGATGCTGTGAGGCGGCAGCATCAAGATCACGTGCTTACGCGATTTCGTGTTTTTTCGCGTCGTCGGCAACGTCATCCTTGGGTTGACCCTTACTAAGTGGGCCCATAATCTGACAGGGGAATAGTGGCTATCGCTTGCATGTGTTGTAATCATAGTGTGTGGCTTGTTTGCGATGTTTGTCCGTGGACGCATTCCACAGACACTTCTGGGCTTCGCGTTCGAGCTTGAAGTCTTTTCGCAAGAGACTTTTGGATATGTACATTGGGGGGTTGGAAGTCGGAAACAGTGGTTTGATCTCCAGACACTCATCTGGTCGCGACAAACTCTCGATCTCATGCCGTATGTCAGATCTTTACGTGCAGCTGCATTTGAGAGACCCCGATTGCTTTACAGAGTCTTAGCCTTTATAAAGTTCATGTTAACAATATTTTCCATTGCGAAACACGTAGCGTTACTTAAGCTATCACACGAGCGTTATGTCTTCCCAACGATCCAACGCAAGCCCTTCTCCCTCCCCATCCATCAACCCTTGCAAGTAACAATCACCGATGATCTCGTATCTTGGTCCTGGAATTGTGTCATCTGTATCACTACGCCGACGTAAGACGAATGGCGTCTTGCCACCAGTCAAAAGGAATACTTCGTCCCCTTCAACCGTCCCCGCCGGGCCTAATCCGAAAGAATGATTGCCAGTGACAGGGCTCCACCTCAAGAAGTCCTCGCCAATAATGAGGCGCCGCGAGAGCGTTGCTATACTTATCGAATTGTCAAGATCTGGGATGAGACTCCTTCTCGCATCCAGACTTGGATGGATGCCGGGACCGAATGTGTTTTGAAGTACCTGCTCGACTTGGATAAACAGGTCTTTCCATGGAGCGAGAGGCCGTGGACGAGATCCATGAAAGTAGTCAAGCAGATCGAAATCCAGTTCGGTATCAGAATAGATGAGAAGCTCACGTAATCGAGCGATCAACTGAACCCCATCCAAGGTGTTATTGTAGAGACCATTAGGGAAGTACTGGTCGCGGCCACCCGACGGGCGGCGATCGTATAGAACCGGATGTTTTGGCCACAACAACATGAATTGCCTCCACAGTTGCATAGGCCTGGATAAATCATTGACCACGGCTGTGTCGTCTGCTTTCCCAACAGGAGAAATTCTCGAGTATGCTGCCCAGCTCTCAAAAGTGCTTGCATCGTACGCTTGTACGGTACGTACACCATATGGTAGCCCAGCATAGGTGGGGTGTATTGCACCTGCGCATATGAGTTTCACGAAAAGCTCATCTACTGGCGTTTTCACCGGCACTCCAACCTTTGCTAGCGACGTATGACTGTTCCACAGGCACAACCATTCATGGAGTGTTTGCCGGGTATAAGCCGCATCGTCCCCCAACATGGTCTCCCCGAGTACAACCACACACATCATCCTCGCGGCTCGTAATCTCAAGGCAGATTCTCCCATCGGCTTGACTGTCATGGGTGTAGCCTCGTCACGATTTGCGTTGTATAGACCAATGCCTTCTGCGCGTGCAGTATACGTATATCCTCCTGGCGCTCCCCAATCCGGAACCCACGAAGGCAGATCGTTTCTGAACTTTCGCCCGAGCTCTGTGCTGAACATCGAGAGTGATTCCGTCGTGTAGATAGACTCTAGCGCAGCTTTACAAAAGACGCTTTTTTCGCTCAGCGAATAGTCTGGTGTCAATGGTGTCCTCCCTGGCGGAGTCCAAGCCATACCGAGGAGAGCATACACTTTGTCTCTGGGATCAGACGCTTTACGATCGCGAAACTGCGTCAACAAGTTCAACAACCCAGGCGATACTGGGTGAGTAGGAGTGATGGATGAAGAAAGCGTGCTCCATCGAAGTTGTTCTATCCCCACGATCTTCTTGCAGCTGTCAGAGACGACCTTCTGCTGATCTGATGGCAGGCCTTGGACAACTTTCTTGCAGCAAGCGGCGCTATGATAAGTATAGTTGGCTGCGCCTTTGGCAAATATGTCCCAGGATGCAGATATCGTACCGTATGTAACAACAACATGAGGAGGCGTTGTCACTTCTTGTATAACCCAAATACGAGTCCACCAGGGTGTGAATGGCGCATGCGTGAACCTCCTCAAGGTTTCGAATAGCTGTGATCGAGATTGGGGTTGGTCGTGATGTGAACCTGTCTTCGATGACTCTGCGTCATTATCGAAGACCGGCTGTGTATGAAGATGTTCATTGAAAGAAAGGTCATGAAAGAATGAGAAGATGTCATAGACGCCTAGTCTGCCGCTAGAGTTCTTCTTGCCAGACGGTGCGGGAACCCTATATTCAAAGTGTCGGATGGGTGGTGTTTCAGTCAAAGAGGGATCGGCATGGTCCAGGCTGTCTCCAAGATACACTATGCATTCCTCACACTTCTTGTAGATAAGACCCATCAGCTGAACTTGATGAGTTCTTTCCTCGCCATCCTTCTGGTTGATGCATCTGAACGCCGAGAGGTTAGATATACATGTCAGCATATTCGAGTGTCATACATACAACGCATCAACCCAGAGGTCGAGCCCGTCTTTGTACGCTTCCCGCAAATGTTTCAGTGCACCCTCAAGATTCACCGTAACAGGATAGCGTCGGCCATCAAGTCGAATCGGTCGTGTCATATGTTGCGAGCCCCATACATAAGACAATGTCCGATATTTCGCGACTTCGATATTGACATTCGACAGTTCGCAGCGAATCGGTTCGGTCCATCTGCCAGGCAACAGTCGCACGACTCGAATGTGATTCTCTTGAAGTGGAAGGCCGGGATAGGTCGCCGCATGTTGCTTGCGCGCGCTATCGGGAGAGAGCAACATGCTCGCATGGAACGATTTGATGATTGCAATGACGAAGGAAAGAACAACCTAAGCTAAGTGTGATTTCACATGCGCAATGCTCGCGGCTAGAAGGCGTGGCAGCAAGCTGACCGGTCAGGAACACTACCACGGCTGTGCATACTACCCCGCGTCGAACCGGAGACGCCTTATATTTGTCGAGAACAAGTGGATCTGTCTTCGAACTCAGCAGAGACCGCGCAGGTAGCCTCGATATGAGGGGTCGAACGGATGACATCATATCGAGCCTGATATACTCTTGCCAGTGTTGATACCAGTGATCAGGAGCCTACCATTACACAGTAGATTTGCTTGAATGCGAAAGAGAAGCGGCTGTGGTGCGTGAAACATGGTTCGATAGGGAAAGCGCCCTTATGTATCTCTCATAGGTTTTACCGAATGCAGCTTAGCCCCGCGGAAGTGACATCTGGCCGCAACCAGGAACTCCGCAATCAGATCCACGGCGCATGCCTTTATTCTATTCCTTTCACAAAATCTAGGGCCTCTTATCGTAATGAGGGGCATTTGGGCACTTCCGGCGGTTTTGCGCATTGCGCTGGCGAACCAGCATGCGTTCAGCGTGTTCGACGACCTGCTCGCTTTCCCACAGGTATGACGCGCCACGCACCCCGACAGCAGCAACATCTGCTAACAGCACACCCAGTATGAGGTTCTGTGGCCAGACACTTTCGTTACCGAGAACGATGCGACGCTTCTCCTCTCCCACGGATCACCCAGCTCGAGCTCTGCAACACCCGGTTCGCAAGAGACGCAAGAACTATCGAAGCGCGACAAGCCGGCAGCGAACATACCACCCGCAGACGATGCGCTCGAACAAACATACGAAGCAGTCGTCTTGCACGGACAGCGGTACCTATGCAGCATACCCATAATACCAGAAGAGGTACCGCAGAATGACACAACATCGGCCGAGGAAGCCAAAGCCGAGGAAGAGAAGGAGCTCATACGCGCAGCAGACCGTGGATGGGAGCTACTCGAAGGCATGAAGGGCAACTGCATCTACTATGTGAGCGGTTGGTGGAGCTACAGCTTCTGCTACAAGGACGAAGTCAAGCAGTTCCACCAGCTGCCACAAAGTCGAGGTGTTCCCCATTACCCACCTGTCGAAGACACGAGCGTATACAGCTTCGTATTGGGAAGGTACCCGAAGGAGGAGAAGACCAAGAAAGCGGACGCGCGCAAGACACTAGGCAACGAAGAGGGCAGCAAGGAGGCTTTTGATGATGAGGATAACACGACCGACGATGACGAGAAGGGCCTGGAGATCTCGAGACTAGAGACCAAGGGGTCTAGCAGATATATGGTGCAGCGGCTGTCCGATGGTACTGAGTGCGACTTGACGGGCAAGCCGCGCAAGATCGACGTACAGGTATGTCCTTGCAGCTTCATTGTTTCTTACCACAATGCTAACATCTCCTCCAGTTTCACTGCAACCCGCAGTCTGCCGATCGGATCGCCATGATTAAAGAAACAAGCACCTGCTCCTACCTCATGATCGTCGACACGCCTCGCCTCTGCCACGACGTTGCCTTCACCCCGCCACAAGAGAACCTCGCACATCCTATAACCTGTGAACCCGTCATTCCAGAATCTGAAGTGGACGCATGGACAGAAGCACAGCTATCTGCCAAGTTGGCCGCAGCCGAACGACTCATCGCTGCTCACAACGCTGCCGACGATGCCAACACGAACCCGCTCCGCGACCTCGCCGACGGCCTCGAGGGCTCTACCAAGCGCATTGTGATTGGCGGCATTGAAGTCGGAGCAAAGTCGTTTGTGGGAAGCGAAGGCAAAGTGATTGAGAAATCCGTCGTTGTCGGTGGAGGCAAGGAGACATTTATCGGCACCGTGGCGAGTAGCGACGGCAAGCAGATGTCCAAAGAGGAGATGAAGAAGCTCAACATTGCCGATCCCAAGGATGTCGAGACCTTGAAAGCCAATCTGAGGAAGCTGGCTGGCAAGAAGGGATGGAAGCTGGACCTTGTAGACACACCAAGAGGCAGGGAGTTTAGAGGTATCATCGATACCGAAGATCAGGAGACTGAGAAGACGAAGAAGAAGTCGACGAAGAACAAAGATAGCGATAGTGCGGGGATGGGCAAGGAAAAGGAACATGAGGTTGAGCAGGATAATGAGGAAGAAGAGATGCAGGAGGGGAGTGAGGAGGTGTACAAAGATGAGCTTTGAAGCACTTCTGGTATAGTCATGACACTTTATTACGGCTATTATGATTATGACCTACATGTTGGTGCAACTAGGATAAGAGTTCGTACTGATCATTTCCAAACTCGTTCTCAGTCCTGGCAGAGCATGTAAGATACGCCTCTTCGGCCAGCTGAGCATGCACTCCCGTGCCGATAGGCGACACACTGTCGATGCTACTTTGGCCTTACTGGATTGGGCCCACAGCCCCAGGGGTAATTCTTCCCTGGGCACGCATATTGCATGTAGTTGGAAGTAAGCATGCCTTGGGCGTTTTCCGAGCCCTCATGGAGAGGAATGCTTCCACATTCTAAGGAACATTAGACCCCACTTGTCAACGACCAGAAATGAGTACAACTTACTTTCACACCCATGTTTCAGGAGTCGCTTGACCAACACTTTTACATCCTTGACGGCAATCGGCCGGTGAAGATTTCTAGGGAAGATACACATGCCGTAAGTGTATCCATACTCACATGGTTCGCATACGATGTGCTGGTTATTTGTGAATTCCCAGTCTTGGTCTACGGACGGTAGTATCAGTGAGAGCACCCATGATAAGAAGGTAACTGAATTAGTCTTATGTGTACTTACCCATCAGATCTATTGACCTGAGAATTCGCTCGATAGTCTTGTCACCGCAAGTCTTGCAGAAGCTGCTACCTTTGCAGTTGATACCTCTAGGGGCGCCAAGGGCATGCACGTTTTCGGACGTCCCAGGAGGAAGGGAGGTATCGATGGGATCGTCGACGTCGATAGTCTGGTCGGCAGGAACGTCGGTATCGATAGTTTGGTCGACAGGAGCATCTTCGTCGGCAGTCTGGTCGGCTGTAACGCTAGAAGCAACCTCATCGCGGGAAGTCTTGCGCTTGTAATCGCAGACACCCTCTTTGCAGCCAGACGTCACGTAGTTGACCGTGATCTCGCCGGTGTTAACATCGTTTCCCGGCTTAGTAGGGCAGCTGCCACATCCTGACAATGACTTAGTATTGGAAGGCACTGTAGGCCAAGGTATACTCACTACCGCACTTGTGGTTGACGAGGTCATTGATCTTGCTCTTGATCAGGCTGCCATTGACCTTCTCGTCCGTCTTAAGCTTCTGTGGGAAGGCACAGATACCCGCGCAGTTTGCGCTTAGTGGCGAGCATCCAGGGCAAAGATTGCAAACGATCTGGTCGCCGTTACCCCACTCTTCCTTGTCGTCTAGATCAGAATTATCAGCACAGCTCAGTGCGACGAGGGAATGCATATGAAATACCAAGAGTATCAACATATTTCTTGATTGTCGCGAGGCTGACTGTGCAAGATGGGAGCGAGCAGAGGGCGCTGCCGCGGCAGTTGATTCCAAGAAGCGCATCTGCATCGTTGGGGTTTTGGTCTCGAGGTATGACGCCATATACGGAGTTGGGGTCTGCAGAAGATTAGTGTGAGGCGTTTACATGAGCTGGAGTGGAGAGCACACGAGATGGATGAGCGAAAACAGCCGCCGCCCAAACAAGGACAGTGGTTGTCGCGGTTAGGAGCTTGGTCTTCATGTTGATGGCTGCTCAAGACTGGTGTAACTATAGAAAAAGTCGACGTCCAGCTCTGGTTTAACTCAGTGGAGGGATAGACGAAGAATGAAGGCGGCTGAGAAAAACCTAGGAACTATATACTGCAATGGGAGCGTGTTGGATCCGAGTGAAGGTGAAGGCAACAAGATCCAGGGTCCAGCAACCACTTAGAGAAAGCTTAGACTGAGTAGCGGTAGAGAAACGGGTACTAATTTTGAGAAAGCGTGAAGTTCACCGTATGCGTTGCCGTATCAGACACGATAGTCTGTACTTCTATTCTCTTGTAGCCAACGCGAGACCCTACACATGTCTTGGCAGCGCTCATTGACGTCTCTCCATAGGATTGGATTCCGGAATACACACCAGTATAGGGAACTCACACGACTCGAGACCATCGCAGCTACTCATGGAGTTCTATGTCTTCATCTGGTTATAGTCCTATACCTCACTGCTAACAAGCGCTGCGACCATAAACTCTTCGTCGCCCTTCCTTGCTTAAACAGTTCCAAGGTTACTTTTTTAAATATGGCCGACTCTTAGATCCCCAGTGACGTTATTCCAAGCCCCAAACAAACAAATTGACGGGAAAGACCATGAAAAGGCGAGGAAATCGGGAAAGAGCGAAGAGCGAGGAGTGATGTAGTGAGACACTAGAAATGAATATGTGCATCGTACTCGTAGAAGTAGTCTGACATCTGCAACATGTCCATAGATTCGTTTCAGCACACGTATACTAAAGTTGCTATGTCTTAATAGAAGGTGCATGTCACTACATACACGTTGGACAAGACGGTGGCAAAGTGCCTAAGAGAATATACATATATTGAACAAGACACCCGGTCTTTCACTTGAAGGCGCGAAGAAAACGCGTCGTTCAACTATTCAAGATGAAGTAAAGTCGCGAATGAAGGGACAGAGGAAGCGTGGTCGAGTGAAGCACGTGGCAAGCGAATTCACTCGTTCTTTCCTCCACTGTTCTGACATCATCCTAGCGGCACTAAGCCAAACACGATCAACCCCACCTCTACGGAGCCTCAATTCCCCCTCTCTCTCCAAATCAAGTTAATACCACAGGCGTTTGGGAGATTGCTCTCGAAGGTAGAAGGATCAAAGGTCGCATAACTCGAGCCCACGCTTTGGTTTTGGTGTTCGCATGTGTGGATCATCCTATCTAGCGATCGTGCATGTGGGATTCGCACGTGCGCGATACTCGAGACCATCTCGGGTCTCCATGGGAAACTAATCAGAAACACATATCGCAATGACAACACATTCGCGTGGTGCATGTTTGACGATGAGACTCTTCTTCGCGAAGAAAGCGCGCCCAAGTGCCGCTGCACAAGGCAGACAGTCACCCTCTCACCGGACATGAGATAGCATCGCACGACCCAGAGGATCATCAATCTGCGATCTACAACGCACACCTGCATCTCGCGTCCTCTATCCATGAACACATCATTATAGAACGTCAGATGAGCCCAATAGCCGGTTGGTGGTAAGCGAGCATGCTTCGAGACAGCGAAAGCGGGGCGCAGCACTGGAGGACCTCTTCGTATCTGCACGCCGTCCACGAAGGAACAAGCGTACATGTCTCAGCCTCACTTTGTGCCCCAGGCAGAACGGAGGAAAACAGGCAGAGAGGTAGATTGACATGACACGTTGACTATTTTGCCTACTTTTGCCTACTTTTGCACTTGCAAGTCGCGAGGGGGTTGAGGAGTGTTGGTCGCGTCGATGAACATCAACGCAACGAACGCAAATAGCACAAGGAGCAAAACTATAATCTTGTCTTAGATAACCTATCAGCGTACATGAAGAGTGAGACCGAACTCGAGACAGACAACTTCCGCCCCCGCCATCATGTGCTATCGCTATTGTACAATCCCGATGTCCTTCACAGCCCCAGCTTACCGATCTGCCCCCTGTCCACTTTCCCAATCTCCCGCTCTCTGCTCCTACCCACCAGTCATCCACCCCCACGTGAGGAAACTAATCTCGCACTGCAGGACAAGCGCATGTCCGGTGAAGCGATTTCTCGAAGTTCCTGGACTACGCTTCATTCCAGGATCGGTAGGCGTTGGGAACGCTTCTATGGCTATGTCGTAGATTTTGTTACGGGGAAAGAGGATTGCAGAACCGTTGGTATGGTTGTACGTTGCGGCCTCAATCTGATCGGTGTGTGAGGGCTGTGAGTATGCGAAGGGGAGAGGTTGTGGCTGGGGGCTGTTTGGTAGTTTGACGGGCACGTCAAGATGGAAGGCGAACGAAGGAGAGTCAGCATGGGTATCGCGACAGAAAACTACCGGACTGATATGACAGGAACAGAAAGTAGACTGTCCAGATATGAAGCACTTTTGATATTCTAATATGGAGATCGTGAATGGCCGTAAAGTGTTGTTATGTGCATGACGTATCCCCCAACGCCCAGACGGGTATCAACTATAGTGACAGTCGTGAATCGCCGTAATCTTGGTATCCAGAATGTATTCTTCTTCATTCATATAGCCCAGGTTCCTTTTGACAGCTCACAGTGGTTCAGTCTACTCCGGAGTCCACTTCGCTGTCCGTTTCAGCACTTCTGCGCGGCTTGCCATCGCCGATCTTCCATCCTGCACCATCTCTCACAATGAGTCCTTCGTCAAGAAGATAGCGCTCGAGCCTCTGATCCCTGTGCCACGTAGCAGGGTCGAGCATATCCATGCGACTCTTGTAATCCTTCTCGAAGTGACGTCCAACATGCTCCATGCGCTCCTCCCAGGATGTAACACCGTTGAAGGATCGCTCGCAGAACAGGCAGCTCGAATGTTGTGGCGCATTTCGTAACTGTAGGCTGCAGCGCACTTGGTGTTCCGAAAGATTCTCTTCGCAGACGGGATAATCTTTCTGGGTGCGGCAGGACTTGTCTTTTGGAGCAGCGTGCATGCGACGGAGATGCTGAGTGAAGAGGTCTTTACGATTGAAGTCGTTGTAGTATAATGTCTGTGCGTCGTTGGAGTCGATCGACGGGGTACATAGATCGCAGCGCCAGTAGCCGAGCTTGATGTGCTGAGTGCTGACGTGCCTCTTCCACTCGTTTTTGGAAGAGAAGTTGGACGTGCAGCCATACCCGGCGAGTGGACATGGAAAAGCTCGGCGATCTTCAGCCTGAATGCTTGAATCTGTAATGGCTTTTTGTGTCTTGAAGGCCCGACGGTATTTCTTCTCCGATCTGACAGATTCAGTGGGACTTGGAGCATGAGAGTCTCTACGGATCGGTTTGCGACGCTTCGATGTTCGACCCGAGCTACCGCGTGACGTTGTAGACCTTCTTCGCTTAGAACTGGAAGACGGACTGTAGTCGGAGTCCGAAGCGGGTTCCTCAGGGAAGTCAACGGGTTCTACGGATTGGGCGTCTCGAACAGAGTGTCCGATACCAGAGTCTGCGTATCTCGTGTAATCTGGAGCAGCTTCTTCTTTGACTTCGCTGTGATGGTGATCACAGGTAGCTTCTTGTTTCATAACAACGTCCTCTACGTCTTCGGCCGCTGCTTCCGGTATCGGAGGCTCGTACTCTAGCTCACGAAGGCTGATATTACGCTCTTCGGTATGAGACTCGCATGCGAACGCTCCGCCTTGAAGATACTCAGCTGCCGGGTATGACACTGGGAGATGAGAGTAGTCCATCGGGCTTCCATATGGGATGCTATGGCACATGTATGGTGACCGAAGCTCGTCCTGGGTATTTTGACTGGTGTTTCCAGAAGAAGTACGATCCGGTGATGCGTTGCGAAAGCAGTCTGCCGGAGGCCATTGTTGCTCATATTGCTTCTCGTATCGGCCGTCTGGGAACGGGATCTTCGCGTAAAGCATACCTGGCGTAAGGGGGCTTTGCTCGTACAGGAAGCGTTGCATCGGCTGCATGCTGACAATGCCATTATCGAAATCGTCCAGGTAGCTTTCTTCTTCTATATGAAAACGCACTGCATGCTCTTTGCATGGTTGCATGTAGTTGGTGTATTCTGTCGCCCAAGCGGGATAGCGCGGCTCGTCCATCGCCTCAATCTGCGGTAGGTCTCGGAACTGATGAGCGTCCATGGCTGATGCTCGGTCGTTGCACAGAGCCGGGCAGGGGTAGCGATAGGGACTAAGTACCGCACGGCACTTGAGAGCCAAAGAGTGGGGGGAAATGCGAGTGCTGTAGAAGGTCGACAGATACAAGATCTTCTGTTTCTAGAATCCTGCTTAGATGGCGGGAGCAGTCCTTCAAGTAGAGGAGTGTTCGAGGTATTTCGATGTCGTAGCTCTGCCGGACAGAAGCAGCCCAAGTACAGGTAATAGGGAAGGAGGCAAAAGAGGCGGAGCATTAAGCGGGTGGTGTGACAGACCAAGGCAGTAAAGCAGGAAAGCTAGTGTCAAGTTGCACTGCCGTGACCTTTCGTACCGTCTTTCTGTCCCTCGATGCCATGCTCTACAGTGTTTTATGGTGTTTGAGCCGCAGAGCCGCATCGCCAGCCACCAATGAGAGCCCTTGTGCCTTGGCAATATGTAGTCCCCTGTTCTCAGCTTCACCGGTGGGCCGCAGTGCACAGTTGTCCAGCCACCACTGCGCTGTACGTGAACTCTAGCACCTACCACCGACGGATAGGTTCAAGCCCCATGATTAAGCCCCTGATCAAAAGCAACCATGCTAGTACCGAGCGGATCGCTACCCCATCGCGATACGTCCAAGCCAACTTTTGTGCTAGAGCTGCTTCCGCGGGCTGCACGTTCGCTAAGCTGTCGGAAGGACGAAGCGGGACCATGTGGACGTGAGCTGTGAGGATGCTAATCGCGGACCCACCAGTTTGAGCGTTGGGGGCCAAAACAAATAAGGAGATGAACGACAAAATGCATGACCCAAGGACCGAATCACATACCTTCGACAATTGTGGTTTCTGTTAGGAGGCCGCACAGGAAACCCAGTAGTAAGCTACTGTTGTGCTACCGCACCTGCGCCAGGGACGTGATTGTTCCGACAGCTGCCGCGCAGACGGAACGCTGATGAGAGGCCCAGGTCCCGATGAAGAGCAGAAAGCCGTCGTCGGTCGGAGGGTGCAGTATCACAGACTCTCATTGGGAGCCGCTGCATAGTGGCTCACCAGCTGGGGCGCATTTGGCTCAAGACACTTGATTTAGGCATCAAGATAGGGCGAAGCATGGTTTCCCTGTCAAATCATTTGTCGTACGTTGCTGGAAGGCAGCATCAAGGCATTAGCGATGATGCTTTGATTCCATGAGTGGCAGTAGAGATAGCGAGCGGATGCGCCTGGGCTGTTTCGACGGCTGTATGCATCCTCCAGTCCCGTCATGTTGTCGCCTCACGGCTCAGGCATCAAGCTCGATCCGCAAAGGGGTTTGGTCGGCAAGAGCTTCCAGTGCCTTGGGCTTTCCGGGCGCATTTGGGGGCGGTGCGTCCCGTGTCTTTGGTGATGAAGACTGGCGAGTGGCGGCGGAGATCTGTACGTGGATTAGAAGGACTTGAAGCCTGTGCGCCGTCGCAAGTCGAGAACAGCCCACTCGGATGACTTTGCGCTGCCCCTGCATCGGCGCGGGGGTGAGACGACGTGATTGTCTTCACAGCACATTCGCTGTCAAACTGTCAAAACATTATCCGGCGGCTCTGCGCAGGCATTGAAAGATGTTCGAGAGTCTAGAAATAGCGAGACGCAGGAGATGCACCGCTCTTGGCAGGGTATCCCCGCACATGGCTTGCAAGCCACACGGCCATGGCTGACCGCGAAAGCCGTACGAATGGGACAAGAAGATGGTCATAGAAATTAGCTATCTTGTGCCGGTGGTGTGTATCGGGGGTCTTTGCGCAAAACCGACGCGGGATACTAGCTTTGTGGGCCCATTCTAGATATCTATGAACGCCATGGCGGTGCTATAGCCAGCAACTGATGCCCTGTGCCGGCATCATGCTCCAAGTTTGGCAACAAGGCGGTCTTCGATGCCCTCCAATATCCATCGATGCTCTAGCACCTCCAGATTCTCGGCTTCGTTGAGAAACAGCTTGTCCGGATCCTGCTCAGGACCCATCATGCCACCCGCGCCTGGATTGGCCATGGCCATCTGCTGTGAGACTTGGTTGGCAGCTTTAAATAATACTGTTAGCTTGACTGACTTGACTTGAGTAGGCAAATGCTCTTCCCGACATACCATTGTTGCTTCCCAGAATGAAGTTATAGACGGGCTGGAGTCCGAACAAAGTCAGGAAATACCATGACAAACTAGACACCCATCTGACGTCCAGGTCACGCGTGCCAACTCCAGATTGCAGCATGGACTTGAATTGTGGAGTCAACGGGAAGGGTAGTTTCACTGCGCATATCGGTTAGCAACAGATCAGGTTTGCTTTTGCAGCTCGGGAGCAGCCGGAAATCAGAACATGCCGACCGAACGCGCCAACTAGTCGCAAGCATGGTTCCGACACATACAAGAGACCAGCCGCTCGCTTCACCCTAGAAGATAGTACATGTAGGAGCTGCTTCAGAGCTAGGCAAAGCGAAAGGCCACGCAACATGTACTCCGGCATAGGCATCGGACCAATGAACACGTGAAGACTCATGCTCGCTCGGCTCCAAGTGAGAATCGGTTCTGTCGTCTGAAGGATTTCGGGACCCAAGAATACTCTTGATCGCGAGCCGCTTCCCCCTCGGATGCAGGAATATTTATAGAAAGGCAGACTTACTGATAACGAAACCAGAGAAGAAGGCATTGATCCATCCCATGATCAGCGTCTGCGGGATCATCATAGTCATCTGCCCCTTCATCATGCCCATCATGCCCTCCATCGCCGCAGGATCACTCATAGGATTCGGTCTGGGTTTCCCCCTCAGCTCCGGCTCAGCCAAAAACCTTCCTTCCTGGTAGGCCTGCACCATGTAGGCTTTGCGGGTCGCGAAGGAGCCTGGCGAGAGGACCTGGGCATTGGTACGTAGGTTGACGCCGCGCACGAGGGAGCGCTGTTGCCGGATCTTGGCAAGGTCGTGTTTCTTCGGGGTCGACTGGAGGAGTGTCATTGCGTAGTGGCGGAGGATGCCTGTCAAGATCTAGATGTATGTTAGCGTCTTGTATATTCAGAAGAATTGAGTGCACTGTACCATGACCACTGTAATGGGGAGCAGGATCCACCAACTGTAGAATTATCAGCCATCTTCGTCATACAGCAGCAAATACCGGAACGTACAACAGGGCGGGATCCCGATGGATCGTCTGAACTACAGGCTGTCCCATGGTGCCGGTAGTAGAGAGATGCGCGGGGTGCGGAGGGGGTGTGGGAGGTGAAGGTCGGTGGTGGTGGTGGTTGTTGCTCGACGATGATAGCTCGCCGCTGAGGCTCCGGCGGGATGTTGTGAGACCAGGGTCCGCGCTTTGCGCTTATGGAAAGGTGTCCAAAGCTACATCACCAACTGCGCAACGAGCTTCAGGCTTCACGACTACCTCTGCTCTCGTTTTGATTATAGGAACTATACGGATTACAACTTCAAGATGTCGGCAACCCAGAAAATCGCAGTCCACTCCCTCGCCGGTATGCCTCCATTCCCGTCACCACAACCAACCATGCATTCACCTATCGACCATGTAACTAACACACGCAACCAGACCTCAAGAACACAACCGACGATGCTCTCCCCAACTACCTCAACAGCCTCAAGTTCAAGCAGATTCACACGCAGACCGATGTGCGGTTAGTCCTCGGCTACACAGCCGTCACTATTGCCGGCGCACTCTTCTACTACGACTGGAAGTTCGGCTGGGAAGCCAGCAAGCCCTACACACTGCCTGCTGTCGTCGCATACTTTCTGTTGAACACCGCATTCAGTTATTGGCTATGGTTTGTGGAGAAGGGTGTGGTGTATGAGGGTGAGGGCAAGACGGGCAGGGTATATTCACATGCTCCGCTCCCATATATATGTGTTTGGTAATACTAACAATATCAGGTGAGGATATTGTCCTCCACGAAGAAGCACATCCCAATCTACGAATGCGACGTCGTCTTCACACCCGCCCCCTACGCCTCCAATCCCAAACAGACGATCCACATCCGCGCGCCCCTGACCCGGTGGTTTACCTCAGATGGCTACTTTGTCGCGAAACCCTTCCAACAATGGCTCGCTTCTGAGGTACCAGTTATTGGCGCTGCGGACCCCAATAACGTGGTAGAGGAGATTGGTCGCGGAAGTGCAGGCATGGATCAAACGATGAACTTGAACAGCTCGAACGCGGTGGACATTCTGCAGCAGCTCAAGGCGAGCGGTGCCAAGTTTGCAAGCGGAGATGCACAAAGGAGGAGATAGAATATCATGTGAGGATAGTTGGGACCCAGGAAGGAAAGGAGACTGGCGTTCAGGTGTCTACGGTTTGCCATTGAACCAGCTTGCACTCGAGGAAGAGCAAAAGCGTCACAATGGTTCAGCGGGGCATTCAGAAGGGGTTTCCTTGTTATGAGTGTGATTCTCGCTATTCAGGAATACTATGCAATGGCCAAGCTATGCTAAACGCCAACAAATGCCCATGAAACCGACATCTTGGTCGTTTCCCCACTATCCAATCTGGTCGTCCTACATGGCCCAACTTATGACATCTCCTGCTCGAGCATGGGCAATACCTCAAGCTCCCTTTGAACGATCCTCTCAAACTCTTCTCTGTCTATGCCTGACGCTCTTGCCAACCGGAATAGACTCTTGATATCCGTGCTGATATGCTGCTTGATCGCAAGCTCGGCCTGGCTGTAGTTCTCAGCCTTCCGCTCTAGTCTCTCGACCGAGTTGGTCGATGCCGAGGAAGAGGGTCGGGGGTGGCTCAGGGCGTTCGCGGTAACGCTTTGGTCCTGCTCAATGGACTCGAGATGTACCGCGCTGTCGTTGCCATGGACGCCGTTGCCGTTCAGAACGCCGCTTGAGTATGCTGGTGGCATCGACGAGTCGTAGCCGTTGGGACCCAGGTTCGATGTGTCAAGGGGTTCGGTCTGCGGTTCGCGCGTATAGCTGAGAGCATTGCCATTGAGCGTCGACTCGCCAGCTGCGGGCTCCTCTTCGTCTGGATCGTGCGCATCGAGCGCTGGCTGCACTTCCGACGCGTAGCGCTCGAAGTACTCGAGCTCGGACTGCGACGGTCCGATCTGCGTTCGGCTGCTGGTTCCTGGTGCTGGGGAGCGCCTTGGCTGTGGTGTGCGCCCGGGCGTCTGATCGTATGCAGCCCAGTAGGAACCATCGTCCTCTTCTTCTGCTTCCACCGCAGCGGCTTCGGGTTGGACCACCGCTTGGTAGGGTGCAACGCCGTTGCCCTTGACCGACATAGACTTTCGCCTGAAGCCAGCTTCGTCAGCAGTGGGGATATTCTCGAACCACTCAGTACCGTCGTCAACGTCTTCTGTTCCTCTCAGCTCAGCCAAAAGCCAGCGGCTTCCGCCTTCTCCTCCAGTGCACCAGAGGTATGTTGGGATGATTCCATACTCGCCCAGTATCAGCTTGGAGTGTAGGGTCTCAGGGTCTGACCGTCGGTATAGTATCTGATCCGGTTCTTCTACTTCAATCTCTCCAGAAGCTGGGTGAGGCTCGACGTTTATCTTCTCGATTATTTGCGGTAGTCGTGACGCGATTTCTCGGTCCCAGCACAACAGCGACAACCACTCGTTGGAAGACAGAAGCTGTACACGTTGGCGGAGGATAGGCGATAGGAGGGGCAGAAGACCCGGAGGCACGTCTTTGGAAGCATTCGCTGTCGCCAGACAGGCCAGCAGTGGTGGGAGGAGTTCCCTGGAATCGGGCCGTGGGATGACTTCGTTGAGCCCAGGCATGGCAGCGGCGTGAAAGGGTATGTGGGGTATGGCGTAAAAGGTTGATCGCGCTGATGATATCCACTCAAGAACGCAAGGAGCGTACAGTATCTGGGACTGTGATCTTAGTGTCGGTCAGTCTTGAGGAAGGCGCCGTAATAGACAAGCCTAGGACGTTTCGTAGGCGTTGTGCTTTTCGCGTGCCTTTGTTATTTTGCAGAACCCAGTACACTTCAGGCGTTTGCCGCTGAGCACAGTATTAGGTGTTGTGCAACTCCCCAATGCTCCGTGGTGTCGTTTGTGCTGCGTGTATGGTGCGGGCTCTGTCTGGTGATGCTGTCACATGCGAATGTGACCAGTAACGCGCAGAAATTCGCAGACGCAGATGCGGGGAAGGGAGGAAGCGACAATGGGTGGACTGTAGGATTGAAGTGAAAAAGGAAGAGGAAGAAGAAGAAGCGCTCTGAAGCACTTCTCGTTCCATTTTCGCGTCCAGCGGTGCTGCAGAAAGAGTGGATGCTGCTGTTGTTAGCCTCCGCTCCACCGAAGGGTGACTGCCGTTAGACACACCGGTTGCGATTGCCCGCACGCCTGGATCGCGACCATGGAAATGGTTAGCCCCATCTCCGAGCCTCGTCAATCAAACACACTCTACATCCCACGACTCGGTGCGCCCAGAGCTCGTCAACGTTCTTCGACAAAGAATCCTGGGCTCGCAGGAAATTATTCCGTTGGTTCTAGGGTGCTTTTACCGGTCCTAGGCCCTCCATTTGGGTAGCAGACATCTGGGCAGGACATGTATGTGCACATGTTCGGTGCATCCTCCCTGCACAAGCGCTTCGGTACCTAGGTACGCTCTACTTCACGATGGCATCAAAAGTCCGTGGGAGAGGCCTGCAGTGACGTCAGCTTTTGCGATCGCCGGCCCTGGATCGACACAACATCTGCACAAGACCCTCATTCCGGGTACCTTACATGTTCCGGTGATAGTACTCGAAAAGCTGTTGCGACATCCATAGCCTGGTTTGGATCTTCCATCTGCGGCTGCGTCTCACTTGGTGCGGGGATGTCAACTCGACTGCTACTTGAACAATCTCGCGATGGTGAGTATGTGCATAGCCCGCCAGATGGAGCGGCGCGTTTCATGGCTATTGGTATCAGACCATGACTGTCACTCGTGGCTTCAGCATCCATCACAGTATGCGGCACTCGCAGCTATATATCACAACCTATGGGTGCGGCGCACTATACATATATCGTTTCCATGTGAAGCGATCCTGCCATTACCGCCATACTACTCGCCCATAGCGATATGACAGCATGGCTCTCGAGACCTAGCCTAGATCAAGGTAGTGTACGCTGAAGACAGCAGGTCAATGTGCTCCTTCGCCATATTCCCGTGAGCCCCACAACAATCCGGGAGACCATCCGGCTTCGCTCATAAAACCAAAACTGGGGCCAGCCACTACCTTATCCGCTTGCGACGTGGCTAGGAAAGCTTCATCTCTAGACGTGGCTGAATCGCTGATCATGCAAGGCAGTCCATGCTACTGTATGCCGTCACATCGCGACGTTCGCAAATCAGCGAAATGAACAGCAGCGCAACCTCGTCTGTGTCGTCCACCGCGCGAGTCTGATCACTAGCAGGCCGCTACGTCGCTGGTATGCCCTCAAGAAGAGCAATTGCAAGCTTGGCCCGCCTTTATATAGCATCAGTGTTCGGCTGCTAAACTGCTAAGCGCCAGCCTACACGGGCGCACAACAAAGGCCGGCCACATGTTTCGCACCTCGAGCGCGGTTTGGAGTAACCGCCTCAGTAGGATTTGATGACAGGAGTTACTACAAGCATCGCACACAGCAGAGTGAGCTCGCCATGAGGATATCATCTTGAAGCATAGCCACCCGCTCGCCCCATGTTCAGCCCCCTGCTCCCGCTTCTGTATAGCAACTGAGGCTGTGCCGTTTGTATCAAGCCTGCCAAGAGCGTGTCACGCATCTGCAAATCTGCCTCGAGACGCCAGTCAAGCTCACAGCTACCGTCGCGCCGTCGCGCTTGTTTTCGGTCGTTCTGCCTCTTTCTCACGACCTCATAGACATCTGGACAGCCTGCGCCCACATTGTTTCGAACGGCGAACAGCATCTGCTTGGCGTGCATCACTCTACCCCGGTCTTACCATTCTGGAGATCTTGGGGGAAATCAGCCTTGACCGGTGCCTCGACTTTCGCTCGTTGCTGCGGCTGGCTCCACCGTCGACGTCGAATCCCACTCTGTTTCTACCAACCATCCGAGAACTCTACGCTGTTTCTCTGTTGTTCGCGCGCGCCGTCTCCCGATTTCGCTCGCGACCCACCCTGAAGCTGTCAACATCGTAGAGTGCCGGCACTGCCTCTAGCCTCAACGGCTCCAAACTTCCGTCCTGTGCGAGGCAGATCGCCATCCAGCTTCAAGCTACAGCGGCCTGTCCTCTTTCGCTTTCAGCCGCACTGCGATATTTCTCTCCCTCGTTCCGCCATCCCACCAACCTATCTGGGTAACTGGACGCGCTGCGACACTTTCCCCCTCCTCTGGTTT